TGTTGGGGGGGTTCATCACTACGGACCTGCCACTGCTTCTACATATGTTTGTGTGCACACATGCACATTTTTGAGAAGGAAAAAGGTGAATTGCTACTAGTTCTACTTTAAATATGCTAATAAGGATTAAAAAAGTGAAGTTCTTGGTTGTATACTTGTGTTGTTGTTACAATGAAAGCATCTTGGTTCTTCTGGCTTTAACGTAGTTAGTTGCCTTATCATGTAGTCTATAGAATTAAAAAATACCAATATTATTAGACAATGTTGCTACTGAACGTCACTGAAGATTTTTTGACAGCTGTTTGCTGGCGCAGGATGCACCATGGACGGGTGGGACCCTGTGCCCTAGAGCAACTTCTCCGTCTTTGCAAGGATGGGCTGGCCGTTTAAATTCATTTGTTTCCACTCACTTTTAGTTTTTAGGGTTTTCTTCTTATTTGTTAATATTAATAAAACAAGAGATTCTTGTGCCAAAAGCGCCCGCGTGCGGCACATCCAGAGCAATCTGTTTTCCATTTTTGTGTCTTCCATGCTGTTCTCTCCCAGGTGCTTCGAAGTCGTGTTGGGTTTACGGGTCCAGGGCCTCCCCCCGGGCCCAGCCCGCGTGTCCCTGTCCTGTCCTGGCCTGTCCTGGCCTGGCCTGGCCTGGCCTGGCCGCCGCTGCGGAAGGACTTTCTGAACCTGCTGTTCTGGGCTCCTGAAGTCTCTGGCCGGGCATGTGAGGAAACAGTTTAAAAATCGCTGTATTTCTTTTCAAATTTTTATTTATTTCTATATTTTTGCATCGTTGCTCATTTCTGTACAAGTTTGCTTTCTCCCCGGGGGTGCAGGCCCCTGAAATCCCCACCGCGAGACCGAGACCCGGCGCCGGCACCCGCTCCCCGGCTGGGCGACCCGCTGGGAGCGCGCCCCAGTGCTGCCCCCACCCCTCGCTGGGTCCCCGCTATTCCTCCACTCGGTCAGGCCACCCGATATTTTTGTTTCCTCCTGAGGGTCCCCCAGCGTCCCTCCCGCGCGGCTGCGGGCGGCACCGCTCTCCTTCCCGCGCGCCCCCGGCACCCCCGGGTCCCCCCCCGCGCCCCCCGCGCGCCCCCAGGCCCCCCGCGCGCCCCCGGGCCCCCCGCGCGCCCCCGGGTCCCTCCGCGCGCCCCCGCGCGCCCCCAGGCCCCCGCGCGCCCCCGGACCCCGCGCGCCCCCGGACGCCCGGCTCCCCCCGCGCGCCCCCCCGGAGGCCTCGGGGCTGCTCGGGTCCCCGCGCCCCTGCTCGCCCCGCCCCGCCCGCCCCGCCCGCCCCGCCCCGCCCCGCGCTCTGCGGACGCGCCGCCCGCGCCGCCTCCCGCCTCCCGCCTCCCGCCTCCCGCCTCCCGCCTCCCGCCCGGCCGCTGCTGCTGCTCGCGGCGGGGCGCCCGGCCCGCGCCCGGATGCGGCAGGACCGGCCCGGGGGCTCCCTGCGGCGCGGCGGGCGCGGCCCCCGGCGGGCGGGCGGGGTGGGCGCCCTGCTGAGCGCGGTGCTCCGGAGGCGCAGCTGCATCGCCCGCACCGCGCCGCGCCTGCTCTGCACGCTGGAGCCGGGTGAGCCGGGCGCGGGGCGCGGGGCGGGGGCGCGGGGGGCGCGGGGCGCGGGGCGCGGGGGATGCCTGGGGCGCAGGAGGCGGCCGAGCAGGAACGACCGGGCGGCTTTTCCCGGGGTCCCCGAGGCCCCGGCGCGCCTGGAGCCCCTTCTCGCGGGGCGCGGGGCGCGGGGTCCCTCCCTGCCCGGTGTTCGCGCCCGGCCGGGCCCGCGGGCGCCGGGAGCCGCGGCGGGGGTGGCGGGGGGAGCCGCCGGGCCTGCGCGCTCCCGGCCTGCGGCGCCGCGGGGCCCCGGACCCGCCCCCGCCCCGACCCGCCGCCCGCGGGAGGAGCCGCCGGCCCGGAGGGGGGACGTCGCGGGCCCTTTGTCTTCCCGCCGAGCCCGGGGCCGCGGGTCCCCCCCCGCCCCCCGCCCCCCTGTCCAGGGCGCGGCCTTCGCGCCTGAGCCCGGGGCCGGGACCGCGCGGCCAGGACGCGGGTGGGGCGCGGGGGCCGGGCGCGGGGGCGCCGGGACTCCGGGCGCGTGACGTCAGGCGGTGCGGGCCGCGCTCCCGGGTCTTTGTGCACGAGCGACGTCACGACTGCCCCCCCCGTCAGCACCGCGCGCCTGGACAGCGGCCGCTGCCCCCGGGGCCCCGCGAGGGCGCGCTCGGCCGGTGCCGGTGCCGGTGCCGGGGAGAACCGGCCCGCAGCCCGGGGAGCACCGCGGAGCGCTCCTGGGCGCGCCTGGGGCTCCCCCTGCCTGGGGCTCCCCCTGCCTGGTCGGGACCCCCCGGCGCTCAGCGGTCGGCGCGGGCAGCTCAGCCGCGGTCCAGCCCCGCCCGGGCGCTGGAAGGGCGCGTCATCGCGGCTCTGCACCCCGAAGCCGAAGCCGGCGCTGCGCGCACAGCCCCTGCCCGGGAGGGGTGAGGGCTCCCCCGGCGGCCACGGCCCCCCCCCCCTGCGCACAGGCCGCCCCTCGGTGATGCACCCCGGCTCTGGGGCTCTGGCCGGCTGGTGCGCGCGGGGCCCGGCGCTTCCCAGGGACAGGTCCTCGGAGTGGGGGTGTCAGCGCCCCTTCCCTGGAGTCGAGGTGGTGGGGAAAGACTGTAGCGTTCTCCGACTTGATTTTGTCATTTTTTTTTTTTTAAGATTTATTTATTTATTTACACAAGCCCCGGGCACAGTCAGGAGCGCGGGAGGGCGAGAGGCTCCACCAGAGCCAGAGCGGGGAGCAGAGCAGGCAGAAGGACCGAAGGACACTGCTGAGGGGAGCAGCGGGCGGCAGGAGAGGTCTGCGCGCCCTGTGGGACCCTCGCCCGTGGCCGGGGATCGAACTGGCGCTGCAGAGGCTGCCGCTGGGCCACCAGGGAGGCCCCTTGATTTTGTCATTTTGAATGAGAATTCAAGAGGAAATAACAGTTGTCAGGTGTTTTCTGGTCAGTAACAACAGCACAAACCCCCACGACGGAATGAAACTAAAATGCGATGCGAACATCCAGCGCGGCGTCCTCACAGTGCTTTCTACTTCTGCCCCACACGTGTGAGGTTGGAGTGACAGGCGTTCCTCTCAGGTCCGCTGTTAGCTGGCGGCTGTCGCTGAACATACACGCGGCTTCATCCTCAATGAATAAGTAGAACAAGACGGAATTTTATTTTTTCCAAAACATGAACATCCCATGTGTAAAGCTTCCCTGTTGTGCGGCCGCGGAACGGCTGGCACAGCCCTGGTGTGACTGGCGGCCAGGGATGGTGGGTTCACCGGTCACAGTTACCCGCCTCTGCGAGACACCTCATGCCGGCAGCTGTGTCGGGGTGTGGTCCCCGAGTGTGCTGGTGGCTCCCCAAGAGGAGCTAAACAGGGGAAGGTAGAACGTCACAGTCACTATTTTTGTTGTTGTTCTTTGGGGCTGGGGGCACCTGAGGGTGATGTGGCTTCCTCTTTGGACCCTGCCTGCTTTCTTCCTCGTCCGTGATTTCACCATCTTCATCCTGTGCTAAGGCTCCCTCTCCACCGACACCGTCCCCGCGGCCACCGGGCTTCGCTCCTCACTGCGGTGCGCTGCTTCGGCTTCTCACCTTTTCCTTCACCTCCCTCCTCTCCACCCAAACTCTCCGCCCGGGCGCCCGCGTCAGGGGCGTCTTACCCTCGTGGCTGTGGCGGCCTGGGTGCGTCGGCCGAGGCAGGCGCTTCCAGGCCACCTCTGAGGTCACTGAGGTTAGGAACCTTCCAGCTGAGCAGACGGGGCCTTTGCAGACATTGCAGCTTTGTCAGGGATTCCAAGACGCTGCTGTCTCTCCGTTTCGTTCCACTGAAGTCTGGACGTGTGAGATTTAAGAGGTTTTCTGCTGACACGTCCAGACCTTGAAGATTGTACTGTGAGAGCCCAGCTTTTCAAATGCAGGCGCTCAGGGAGATTCGAAACTAAAATCAAGTCTCCTTTGTTAAAGTGAGGCTCTCCGAGGTGCACAGATTCAGCCAGTCAGCCCAGCGTTCCCCTCCCTTGCTTCGCCCTCGGCCAGGGCCACCTGAGAGGCTGTGGGCTGCTTCCTCAGGGCCGGGGCCTTCCCCTTGAGTCCCTGGTTCCCTTTTATTCCCTCTTCACACCTAACTTTCTGTGTGGGGAGGGAGAGGGCCCCAAGCCCGTGCAGTGAGGGCTGTGGGGCAGGGCCTGCTGGCAGTGAAGGCGACGCCTGGCCCCCGGCGTCAGCCTGGGTGGGCACAGCAGAGGAGCCGCCACAAGCAAGTTACTCTTCAAGACAGCTTAACGATACGTGAAAGCTGGAGCAGCGGCAGACCTCTCCTGCCTCCTGCAGCTGCCCTCAGCAGTGTGCTTCAGTGAATCTGCCTTTTCTGTTCTCCAAAAAAAGGAATGATGTTATCTCTGTAACTTGTGCTATGCCACTGACGTTTGCGCACTAGACTTAGTCTGCAGAAGTATCCTGGAAAACAAATTCTTTGCAAGGAATTTTCTTCCCAAGTTTCGCAAGTACGAATGACACCACGCTAGCTGGAGATTGCTAGTCACCACAGCAGTTTACGGAGGCAGCTGTTATTATCCTCATTTTGAAGATAATGAATTAAGATTAAGACAGATTAAATTAGTTGGGAAAAAAACAGATTAGATCAATTGTTTTTTAAAGTCAGCAAGGTGGAGGTCTGTCTGACTTGCAGCCTGTGGTGTCACTGCTTTTTGTTGTCTCTGCATTACTCCTGAAATCGTGGGATCCGCCCTTTGTGATGTTTCATTCTGTTGCTATGGGGGATTTTTCTATTTTAATAATCAATATTCTTACTTTTTCTTTCAATAAAATTGACTAACATTTAGTAAAAATAAATGCTTCAAGATATTTTGTGATGATTCAGTAGAACAAGGTAAGTTTTTTACCTTTATTTTTGATGTAGCTTAGATTTACCCCAAATAACAATTATTTATATATTTTTCTTTTAGGAGTTGACACAAAGTTGAAATTCACTCTTGAACCATCTCTAGGCCAAAATGGTTTTCAGCAGGTAACTTTATTTGTCATTTTAAAAATATTCTAATTTTGGAATGGCTACGGAAAACGTGGAGATGTATTCTCAAGTTGGAAAAATTGTATATGCTTTGAGATGTATAAGGACATGACCCAGCTCTTAAAATAACATACAAAGCTACAAGTGGCCTGGATTTTTACTGTCACTGAAAAGTTTCGTACTTCTTATTAATGACGCAAGTGTGAAAAAATTAAGATTGGGCCTCTCTGATGGCGCAGGCGTTTGAGCGCCGCACTGTGAAGCTGTCCGCAGCCTCTGCAGCGTGGGTTCGATCCCTGCCAACCGGCGAGGGTCCCACATGGCGCGCAGACCTCTCCTGTCACGCCCGCCACTCCCCTCAGCAGTGTATTTCGTCAGTCTGCCTGTTCTGTTCCCCGCTCTGTCTCTGGTGAATCCTCTCACCCTCCCGCACCTCTGGCCTGTACCCCAGCTCTTGTATAAATAAATAAATCTGTAAAAAAAAATCAAGATGACCAAATATCTGTTTTTCTAAATTCATAACACATATTTTGATTTGGGATCTAAGCCTTCCCAGCTGCTGTACGTGCTGCAGACGGCTCACCGCTGCGCTAGGGGCTCTTCAGGGGTGGGGGCTGGGGCACTCATATTCCTTAGACCAGTCACGTCTGACTGAGAGAAGATTTTATCAGGTTCTACAGGTGCAGGATGGGGGGGTGGAGATTGAAAAGTGCTTATCCAGGTCAATTTATCCCTCGGCATTTGTCTGTCTTTTTGTTCCTAGTGGTATGATGCTCTCAAGGCGGTTGCCAGACTTTCCACAGGAATACCAAAGGAGTGGAGGAGAAAGGTGAGGAGGGATCGTAAGACTAAAATGCAAAAGGGCTGTCGCTTATCCACTCATCTCTTTTCAAGTGCCTGGAATGGCACAAAAGATATTCCCAGATTATGTTCTTTGAAACCTATCTTTCTTCAGTATTTATTCATTGGGTGAATATTTGTGGGTGATCTATTCTGTGCCAGATACTGTTCTAGGTTCTGGGGTACATCCGTGGGAAAAAAGGAAAAAGACCAAAGATTTTACTTTCTGAACCTTAAAATGCGTGCAGTATGAAATGGTAGGTGCCATGAATAAAAAGCAAAGTAGAGAAAGAAATAAGGAGAGTGGGAGAATGGAAGTAAGGAGGTGTCATTTTAAATAGCGAGGTGACCTCTGAGTACACCCCTGAGGTGAGGAACGCGGCAGACAGAGGGCCTGGCGTGCGTGACACAGTTACATTTCAGAGGGGCCATCTGGCTCCTCACTTGGGAATACGAGGTACAGGAGGCCAGTGGAGACACACAACAATTCAGCAAAGAGAGGCACCGGGTTTGGGTAGTGGACATGGAGAAAAGGATCCAATTCTTGACGTATTTTGAAGGCTGAGTCGACGCAAACTCCCCCTGGATTGAATGAAGGATGTGAGAGAGATCACAGTCATGTCGTCAAGATTTTGACCTGAGCTCATGGAGGGGTCGGGTTGATGTTTACCAGCTGGGAGGAACAGAGCCGTGTGCTGGTCTGTGTGTTGGTCTGTGTACGCAGCCTGGGCGGTGGAAGGGTAGGCGATTGGCGGCGAGTCTGTTAAGGTTGAGATGCTTGTTAGATATATAAGGTGATGACGTCTAGTGAGCATTTGGACTTAAAATTATGATGCTGAGGCGAGAATCTGGTTGGAGATATTAATCAGTGTTACACCTCAGAGTTGTATTCAAATATCGAAACTTGAAATGCTCTCTTAATAATAAATTTTAAACCTAGTCTTAATTAATAGGCCCAGAATTTAAACATTGAGGTTCCTCAAAATATGCATTAAAATGGCATTGCAGAATATGTTTTTTATAAACAGCTTTTCAGAATAACCTAATAAAAGGAGTAAAAATATCCAGTGACTCCTAAAAAAGTTAGTCATTATGGGAGCCCATCTGTCAGCTGAGTGTGTGTGTGTGTGTGTGTGTGTGTGTGTGTGTGAGAGAGAGAGAGAGAGAGAGAGAGCGAGAGAGAAGAGGAGAAGAATGACTTGAAGGCAGATGTTACTCCATGGTGGAAAAAAAAAGCCCATTCTCTGGATCAAGAAGATGTGGGACATACACACAATGGAGCACTATTCAGCGATCAAAAAGATAAACTCATATCATTTGTGGCAACTTGGATGGAGCTGGAAGGCATTATGCGAAGTGAGATGATTCCCTTAGATAAATACCAGATGGTTTTGTTTATATGCGGAATATGGAGAAACCCAACAGAGGGTCAGGAAAAAGTCAGAACTTGAAAGCTGACTGTGGACTTGAGGCATCCACAGGGGAGGGGGAGAGAGAGGGGCCTTGGCGGGGCAGAGCACAGGTTGGGGGCAGAGCACAGGGTGGTGGTGATGGCCCACGGGTGCTGTGGTTGGGGGGAGCGGACCATGGGGACTGCACCCCAGGGAGAACTCAAATACTGTCCAAAAATTAACAACCATGTAAGAAAATAAATAAATTCAGTAAATTTCAGAAAAAGGACCCTTTCTCCATGAGTGCGCAAGTAGCGATTCAGAGCCAGTGTTACAAGCTCACCGAGGATATAGCTAGTCCCATGAATAGATACAGAATTTGAGGCCTTTTTTGGGGGGTCTGTTTTCTTAACAGTATCCCTGTAATGGCGGGGTCCCTGCTTGGCCTGTAGTAGAACTCGAGGAATATTAATGAAAGAATAGACGCAAGGCCCCGGCCGTGCTGTTCTGTGCAGCAGAGCTTTCCGTCAGGCTGGTAGATTCCCACCCGTGGGCTGCGTCTAGGCTGGAGTCAGTTCTCATTTTCTTATTGATGCAATACCAATTTTTTGATAAACGTTGGAATATGTCTCTGACTTCGGCCTTCTTTACCAACCTGTTCACCTGTAGGTCTGGCTGACCTTGGCAGACCAGTACTTGCACAGTATCGCCATCGACTGGGGCAAAACCATGCGCTTCACTTTCAACGAGCGGAGCAATCCTGACGACGACTCCATGGGAATTCAGATAGTCAAGGTAATGCCCGACCCGGCCTGCCGCCCGTCGCGGCGTGGAGACTCTGAGAGCTGGATGGCTCCTGGGCAAGGGTCAGGTCATCGCTTCGTTTAGGTCTGGGTCTGCTGTTTGCTGTTGTTTACTTTTCAGTGGTGAACTTTGACTGTGCTGTGTCTTCTTAACTTTGAATGTTGACAGTGAGAAGAGAATATTTCCATTCATACTCATATTTTTTACCTCGCTCATATGATAGCAGATTAAAAATTCTTTTATTCTGTTATCATGGGTAAGGGTAAGGGCTGCCAGCTAAATTTTTACCTAAGAGTCACTGATTGAGAAGTATAAGGTTAAGTATATTTCATATTAGAATAAATGAGCTGGGGACCTCCCTGGGGGCACAGCGGTTAAAGACAAGGCACTATCGGGCCTCCCCGGTGGCGCAGTGGTTGAGCGCTGGGTTGCGAAGCTGCCCGCGGCCTCGGCAGCGCCGGTTCGATCCCCGGCTGCTCCCCGGCCACCAGAGGAGGGTCCCACATGGCGCGCAGACCTCTCCTGCCGCCCGCTGCTCCCCTCAGCAGTGTACTTCGGTCCTTCTGCCTGCTCTGCTCCCCGCTCTGGCTCTGGTGAATTCTCTCACCCTCCCGCGCTTCTGACTGTACCCAGTGCTTGTATAAATAAATAAATAAGTGAATAAATAAATCTTTAAAAAAAAAAAAAAAGACAAGGCACTATCAAGTTATCCCAGCCACTGCAACATGAGTTCAATCCCCAGCTAGGGAGCTGCCCACAGGGCACAGCAGACCCCTCCTGTCTCCCTGCTGCTCCCCTCAGCAGTGGATTTCAGTGGGATCTGCCTGTTCTGCTCCCTACTCTGTCTCTGGGGAGTCCTCTCACCCCCCCACGCTTCTGCCCTGTACCCCAGTTCCTGCATGCATAAATAAATAAATCTTTTTTTTAAGATTTATTTATTTATTTATACAAGAACTGGGGTACAGGCCAGATTTGCAGGAGGGTGAGAGGATTCACCAGAGACAGAACGGGGAACAGAATAGGCAGACTGACAAAATACACTGTTGAGGGGAGCAGCAGGTGAGGCCGGAGAGGTCTGCTGCGCCTTGTGGGACCCTCACTGGCGGCTGATCTAATGTGTCTGTTTCAGCCAAATGCTAAAAATTTTTTGGAATTTTATGTGATATGCTTGAAAAGCCCCTGCACTATCCACATGTCAGTTATTTGGAATTTTAGAATGTGTTCCATAGAGATGGACTGTTCTTTATCTGAGATAATTTCTTTCTGTTTCAATTATGAATTAAGGCAGTGCACATTTTATGACAATCATGTTACTGAGAGACGTCTTTATTTTGTCATGGAGGTGAATATTATGTCAGTAATATGGCTTCAGCTTCTGAAAACTGTTATCTCTGGAAATTAAATTATAGGTATTGCTCTCATTAAATACTAAAGTGCAGCAAATGTTTCTGTCCCTTTTGTGTAAGTTTGTAAAGCAATTTGGAGACAATGCTATTTCTGTCTCGGACAGGAAGAATTTTATGTTTCTGTTTAGTACAGATTACATTTTTTTGCTATTTTGATTTTGCTCCTTAATATTGCGTGGAGTTTTCATAGTTCAATATTGTATCCCCCCCTTTTTTGTAGAAGGGAACAATGTTAGCATATAAAATATGTGAGTTTTGATGGTTGTTTCATCTGCAGCATATTAATTATCGCTATTAAAATAAACTTAAATTATATGAAATTATAATGTAATTTTTGTTAATTCTAAGCCACTTTTTGTATTAATTCTGAAAACATGTTAAGTATAAAATTTGCCTGAAATTTCCCTTTAAAATGTGTCTTAGTCAACTGTTTTTAATAATACTGGGGAAAAGTGTTTCTTAGTATACTGGAAAGCATTAGGAAAAGAAAACAAAGAAGTGTTTTGTTCCATGTGTATAAGGTACATGCACACTTTTAAAAACTAAAATCCACAGTGATAATCCGACTGAATTTCGTGCTGAGGCAAAGAGGTCCTCAGAGGCGCCTTCTCGGCAGAGATGCCAAGGAGCTGTTTAAAACACGCCGCTTCCTCCGTCTAGGATCTCCACCGCACGGGCTGCAGCTCCTACTGCGGCCAGGAGGCCGAGCAGGACAGGGTCGTGCTGAAGCGCGTCCTGCTGGCCTACGCCAGGTGGAACAAGAACGTTGGCTACTGCCAAGGCTTCAATATCCTGGCTGCGCTGATCCTGGAGGTCGTGGAAGGTGATGAAGGGGACGCCCTGAAAGTGAGTCCTGGGCTCTGGGGAAGGCGGGGGAGTTTCTTCTAGAGCAGAATGTGGGAATTCAGTTTCTCTACCCTGACGCCCCGTCCTTCCAGGGTATTTGCCACACCTTTGTCGTTACCCACGAAACTACTTCCCTAGGCTAAAGCCAGATCAAGTGACCAACTGATGTCGTTGCTAAATGTGAAGAGGTTGATTATATTTTTTAGTCACACTTGTAAGAAAGATGTTTTTTTAAAGCAAGTTAAATGCTGATTGGGGCCTCCCCGGTGGCGCAGCGGTTGAGCGCTGGGTTGCGAAGCTGCCTGCAGCCTCCGCAGCACTGGTTCGATTCCCAGCTGCTCCCCGACCACCAGGGGAGGGTCCCACATGGCACGCAGACCTCTCCTGCCGCCCGCTGCTCCCCTCAGCAGTGTACTGCGTCACTCTGCCTGCTCTGCTCCCCGCTCTGGCTCTGGTGAATTCTCTCGCCCTCCCGCGCTTCTGACTGTACCCAGTGCTTGGATAAATAAATAAATAAATAAATCTTTTTTTTTTTTTTTAAAGTTAAATGCTGATTGGATTAATTACCCATTGCTTTTTGGCCCACCAATCCTCGAAACAGCAAATATACATTAACGTACATTTTCTTGAGTTAGGAGTCTGGGTGTCCCTAGCAGACTTAAAAATCACATCAAACTGTTGACCGGGTTGTGGTCTCATCTGAAGGCTCAGTGTGGGAACACTCACTTCCAGATTAGCTCACTTGGTTGTTGGCAGGGTTTGATTCCTCACAGGTTGTGGGGCTGAGGAGCCCAGTTTCTTGCTGGCCACTGGCTGAAGGCCTGTTTTAGTTTTCTGCCATGTGTGTCTCTCCATTTCCCCAAATGGTCGCTGGCATCCCTTAGAGCGAGAAAAATAATAAAAGAGAGCAAGGCGGAAGAGGCAAGGTGCTGAGGGATAGCCTGGTCTCAGAGGTGACATACCATTATTTTTGCCCAATTTTATTCACTGGAACCCAGTTACTGTATCCAGCTCCCTCTCCAGGGAAGGGCTTATGCGAGGGCTTGACCAGCAGGAGGCGGGAATCACTGACTCGACCATGTTAGCAACTGTGTGCTCCACCCTTACGCTTAATTCTAGTCGGCCCTTGTTAGCTTGCTTTACTCTTCATTTTTGGGCCAAGGGATGACGGAGGTAGGAGTGAATGTCCGTGATGGAAGGTGTTTGCATGGAAAATTTATGAAAGTGAATTATGTTTATTGTCTTTTAATCCTTGATGCCTTGAAACTTTATTAGTGAAAAAAAAAATCAAAACAAAACCTGGGAACATTTGAGGTGGGGCCCTAGAAATTTAAGCTTATTGGCCTGCATGTGAGTCAGTGAGTGAGCAGAAATAGCGTCTTTATGAAAAATGAAGTATTTCAAGTGTGCAAGGTGACTGTCACCGTGTTTTCTCCGGGCAACATGGAGTTGCTAATTCATGATTGAACCTGTCGATGGCAGTGCTTTGTGATGGATGGGATGGATACTTAGTCTTTTATTCAAGAGCCTCTCCCTACTCCCCAACTCTGTGTTTGATTGTGGCAAATGCCCAGTGATAGGCTCTGTCACTGAATAATGTGATATGGAAAAACAACCACATATTCCCCCTGGTTTATACCCATCATGGTGGAATTAATTATAAATCCACGATCTAAATATGTATTCACCCTCTCACTTTTTCCATTCATTTATTTAAGGAAATAGCTTTGAACGCCTTGTTTCCCTAATAGGCAGCGGTGGCTGCAGAGGCAGTGATAAGTCAGATGCATGAGTTCAAAACATTTCTCATTAAGAAGCATTGCTGTTCACGCAGCCCGTCAGCCGGGGTCTGTTTCTTCCGGTGTAATTTGTGTGACTGTGAAACAAAAACTGTTCGTTGAAAAGTTGGAGCAAGCAGTTTGCTTGGGGGTGCGGTGGAGAGGTTGGGGGAGGGAATATACATGCAGTTATCATGAAGGCCTTGGTGATACTTGAGAAACTGAAAAGTCACATAAAGACGGATTAGATACAGTTGAGAATTGAGAAACTGAGTCTGTCTCTTCCTCTAAGGCACTCCACGGAAAGAAATGGCACTGTCATCTTTTGGGATCGTATGGCGAGGCATTTCGTATGCAGAGGAAGGTTGGGTTCATGAAGAAACAGTCCAGATAGAAAGGGAAACATTGGGTGTCGTCTTTTTCCAGCAGCTCTTTTGACCTCTGTGAGTTGTAATTATTAGGGAAATACATGGTTTAATTTTCCCTGATTTTTTAGCACTTACTGCTTCTCCTTAGTAACTTTTATTTTTCTATTTGTTGAAAATTAGAAACCCACTGTTATTTATTTCTGAGCACTTAATTTCTAAGAGTGCTTTGAGGATCACAGCAAAATTGGGAAATGAAGGTTCAGAACAGCACAGGAGCACGCATGTGGCGGGGCCCTCCGCCCCCCACACCCACACGCACACGCACACGCACACGCACAGCCCCGTGCCCGCGGCACCGCCCCAGCGGGACGTTTGCTGCATCGGCAGAGCCTGCGTCGGCATGTGGCCGTGTCAGCTGGATTTCCCAGTTCAGGGCTTCCCCTGGGCTGTGTGTTCCGTGGGTTCGGGCAGATACGCGAGGACGACGCGTGTTCAGCGAGGTCATGCAGAGCTTTCCCGGGCCTGCGAGTCCCCCGCGCTCCACCTCCTCTTCGCTGCTTCCCTGTCCCTGCAGCCACAGAGATTTCCTGTCTCCATAGTTTGTGTTCCCAGAATGTCCTGTAGTCGGCACCGCACGGATGCGGCCGTTCGGGGTCCCTTCCTCCACGGGGCGACGTGGGAGCCGAAGGTGCTCTGGGCCTCCTCAGGGCTTGCCGCCCAGACCAGGGCCCTGTTGCCTGGGGCCCCGGAGGGCGACTCGGTTGCTTCCTAGTTTTAGAAATTATAAATAAAACGGTTATCAAAATCTACACATGGGGTGTGAGTGAGTGAGTGAGTGTGTGTGTGTGTGTGTGTGTGTCTAGTTTTATGCGAGTAAGTTTTCAGACCCTTGGAGTAAATACCGAGGCGTGCAGTCGCGGGGCTGCATGGTAAGATCAGGCTTAGTTTTTAAAGAAACGGCCAGGCTGTCTTCCGAGGTGACCCCACCGTGGCCGCACCCCTCCCGGCGGGCACCTCCCTGGCTCCGGGCCCCCGTCAGCATCGGTGCTGTCCGCGCCGAGACCGCAGCAGTCGTGTGGCTGCATCTCGTTGTTGTCATTTGAATCCCTGGCGGCGGGTGTGAGCCTCTCTCCACAGCTCCTCTGCCGCCTGTTTATCTTCTGCGGCGAGGTGTTCGAGCCTTGGTTCATGATTTTAAAAAGGCCGTCTTCTTCGTGCGAGTTTTAAGAATTCTTTGTATGTTTTAGATAACAGTCCTTTATCAGACGCTGCTTTTGCAGTTATTTTATTCCAGCCTGTGTCTTGCCTTCTTATTTTCTTGACGCTGCTGTCAGAGCGCAGGCGAAGTCCAGCGTGTCAGTGCTGTCTCTCCTCTGATGGTGTGTTTGAAAAGCCGTTCCCCTGCCCAGAGTCACCGACGCTGTTTTTGTGTAGTTTTGTGATTGATGTTTACGGCTGTGATTTCTTTGGAGTCAGTTATTGTGAAGAATGTAAGATTTATGTTTAGATTATTTTTTCTTTTGCATTTGGATTCCAGTTGTTCTGTAACAGGGTGGTCCCCAGGAAAGGGGGAGGTTCCCTGCCCCACCCAAGGGAGGGTGGAGCTGAGCAGGAAGAGGAGAAGCTGCAGAAGAGACTGAGGAAGGAAGGAAGCAGGATGGAGCCAGGAGACCTGGAGGAGGTGCATGGAGCCTAGAGACACGTGAAGAAACTGCGCTTGCCTTTTGGTCGTGGACTGGGTGACACAGATGTGGGGGAGACCCGTGGGGAGGTGACCATGGCAGCTTTTATCTTGATGTTGATTTTGCTCTTTTCCTTCCGGGCTTGTCTGGTTGTTTGTGACCCTTTGCTGTGGGTCCCCACTGGAAGATGCTTTAGACTTGTGGCAGGCTTTGGGGCCTTGCTCTGGGCCAATCCCATTTGGATGGACTTTTACCCACGAGGGGACGGGTCACTTTGGGTGCTTGATTTAGAAACTAGACTCTTTGCCTTACCTGTATTGTTTCCTAGTTTTATTAAAGTTCCTTCCCATTAAAGTCTCCTATGTTTTGTGTTGATGCGGCGGATGGCAGAACCCATTTAGAATAGGCAGGTTTGCGGGGTTTGGGCTGCCCCTTTCCCTGCCCTATAACAGATTTGGCGACCACGAAGATTTAGGACAGAGCCATCCGTGGTTAGTCAGCCCCATGGGAAATTGGGCTTCCCTATGGCACTGGCTACCATAAGCGCAAATGTGATTTTTGGTTTCTCCAGTGTGTTTGTTTCATATGTCGATTTGCTGTTGAAAAACTGGCTTGGGCTTTGTGAAGATTCTGTGTGTTTATGTGTAATTTGTTTGTTGTTCCAGCTCTTGTTAAAGGGGCTGTCTTTGCTGAACTGCCATCGTTTATGCTAACCGCTAAAAAAGATCTAATATTTGGTCTTTGAAATCCAGCAGGGGTTGGAGGGACACAGTCCCGTGAGCTACCCCTCGCTTTCTGTCTGTGTCAGCGTCTGGGACGCCTTAGGCAGAGCTTGTGTCGCAAGAATTGCAGCGATAATTGCACATGTTTGGTTTGTTTTTCTTGCTTTCATGTAATTTTGAGGGAGTATAATTTTTCATAAAAATGTCTTTCTTGATATTATATCATTTACTTTTGATGAAAATTGCAATAATAGGTAGACTTTGAATTTTGTCTTCACGTCCCTGTAAAACCCTTTTTTCCTTCTTCCTGGAGTGCGAGGTCCCCGCCAGGGAACTTGGCCCTGGGGATCTGCTCTCCTCAAGTGTCCCCAACACCCCCAGGGCCTCCCCCTCACATAATCACGTAAGCTCCTAACTCCAAGGTGATGATACATTCTGCCTCAAGACGAGGAGGTGAAGAGGGTCCCGGGGCCGGCCTGCTCCCGTGATAAAGGCCTCAGCCGGGCCTTCTGACGGGTGCGCCTTGTCCTCACCGACCTCGTGGCACCCCGATCCCGAGAGTAGGAACTCCAGCGGGATGAGGGGACAATGGCACTCTGGCTTATCTTGGGAGATAATTTTTTTCTTTTGAAAGTAGGGTTTTGTGATTTGCTGCAAGTCCAGATGGAGGTAGCACTTCTCCACCGGCGCGTGGAGGAAGTCAGCTGCGATGATGTCAGTTTGTCGTTTCCGCGCTCTGGGGAGTGGCCGTTCAGGGCGGCCAAGGCCGGGTCGTCTTAGTGGTTCTTGGTATCTTAAAAAGGTAATAGCTTAGAAAGGATCCTGACCCACATCTTTAAATCTTTAAAAATATTGAAGATTTTGAGGACCTCGATGTGATTGAAGGATCACAGACTGAAATTAAAATACGCAATTAAATTACACTGGAAATTTCTGACAAATAGAAAGGTTAGAATGAAGTTAGTAATTTGAAGCATTTGTGAGATAATTTTACGAAAAATAATCAGATTTTAAAAGTATTATTTGTTCAAACAAACACTGGCATCATGGTCCCTGGAGGGGAAGGAGAGGAAAAGCTGGCGTCCGCTGCGACAGCCCGGCTGGTGGTCAGCGACTCCCGAGATCTGCCCCAGTGGAAGCCTCTTCACGGGCACCTCCTGGTTTCACATAAAGGCCGTGGGATTGTGCTGACGTCCAGGAGTCGCTGTTGCGATCCCCGCCGCAGCCCAGGAAGCCTGTGCTCTGCCTCGTCCCAGTGAGGCCGCGGGTTATGTGGTCACAGCTGCTCGGGAGGTGAACTCAGGCCTAGAGGCCCTTCTGGAAACTTCAGGCAGCAGCAGACTTTGGGTCTGAGTTACTTAAATACTCATGCTGCCCGCTTTTTCCCAGCGGGGAGGGAGCCACGGGAAGCGAGGCTGTTGGGCAGTGCCACATTCAAAGGACGGTGGCTCTGGTGACCTCCATGCCACCCATGTGAGTGTTCTTGAATGTGTTCTATTTAGTGTTTGTTGGGATCCCAGTTTTTATGAATGATCTTATTCTTGATCTTTTTCTTCAGATTATGATTTACCTTATTGATAAGGTGCTTCCTGAGAGCTATTTTGTAAATAATCTCCGGGCGTTGTCTGTGGATATGGCCGTCTTCAGAGACCTCTTGAGGCTGAAGCTCCCTGAATTATCTCAGCACCTGGATACTCTGCAGAGAACTGCAAACAAGGAAGGCGGAGGTAGTGCTGGTTCGCAGCTGTCAAGTACTCTGATTACGCTGTGTATGGGGGCCTAGGCCTGGAATGGAAATACGTGTTTTTAGGTATTTCTGTTGGTGAGGATTTGATGCACTGGGATAAATTTCTAGAGTACAAAGGCAAAACTAGACAAACCGGGGCCACATGTTGTACCTCTAACCGGTCACGACTAGGGAGTCAGCCAAGAACCTGTGCTTCGGCGCCAGGCCAACAACTGACACGGCCCCCCGCACTCCGGGTGGGGAGGGCACCTTCCCTGCTAGGCCACCTGCTTGAAGTTGACACCAAACCTCCAGGACCTCTTTCAAAGCAAGCAATAGCTATGGCTTAGCACAAACTGTGGTTTTTGCCTGAACCATGGAGATTACGGGAAAGAGGAATATGTATTTTCATCAAGTTGCAGGAGATCAAAGGAGTCAATTGGGTTGAAACATTTAATGCTCCTTTTATTCATCGTGCCAAGGATATTTAGAGTTCCCTGAGATGAATGGTCTTTCTGGACTCCGGGCAGAATCTGAACCCGGCAGGAAGGCACTCGGTTGGGGGATGGCCATGGGATGGCTCTGCAGGTGACTGAGTCTTCTTGCTGTCCAGTGGGCCCCGGCCAGCTCTCCGAGGGCCTGAGCCAGGGCTGTCATTGCACCCCCGGCTTGCACTTCCCTGGCTGCTCGGGACATTCGGAAGAACAGTCAGAGTGTGTTGTTTCCTGTCAACAGGTGTCAGGTCCTGACCCACATTTAAATGTGGGGAAATATTAAAGGATTTTAAGGGCCTAATCTGTGGTTAGAATACCCTGGGAAAGTTGGCAGCACCCAGGGGTCCCTTTGACAGTGCTGGAACGGCCCCTCAGCTGTGGCTGTGCAGTGTGGCTGTGTGGGCTTCATGGCACACGCAGGAGGACCAGCCTTACCTGGCTTGTGGTCAGACGCACTTTACCCGGCTCTGCCGGTTCCCCCAAATGCCTTGTACTTGTCTGCAAGGGGTGACCCAGAATGCGGTTTCTGGACAAAATACTCCTTTGTTTATGGAGAAGAAGGAAGAAAGATAAATGTACATGACTGTGATTTGGGGGATCAGTCCAAATATTTAGGTTTTTCTATATCAGTAAAATATATACTTGTGCCATCATAGGCATAAGGAGGAGGCATAATTAGGAGGGAGCTCTGTTTTTAGTGAACCAAGAAATTCAGAGTGAGCTGGTTCCAGATTTTTAAAACTATGTGTAGTTCGGTTCAAATATTTTAATTTCATCTTATTTAATCTCCAAATATTTTGGGATTTTCCAGCTATCTTTCTGTTACTAATTTCTAGTTTCACTCCATTATTGTCTGAGAACTGTGTATAATTTAAGCAGCAGGAAAATAATTTGTAGTGAGCAATTTTTTCTTTATCATCAGCATCTGAGTAAAAGTGGACGCTGGAATTTTTTTTTTTTAAAGATTTATTTATTTATTTATATAAGAACCGGGGTATAGTCCAGGTGTGTGGGAGGGTGAGAGGATTCCCCAGAGACAGAGTGGGGAGCAGAACAGGCAGACTGACGAAATCCACTGCTGAGGGGAGCAGCGGGGAGACAGGAGAGGTCTGCCTCTGCCGCGCCATGTGGGACCCTCACCTGCCAGCCGGGATTGAGCCGGCGCTGCAGAGGCTGCGGACAGCTTCACAGCGCGACGCTCAACCGCCTGCGCCACCAGGGGAGGCCCCGGACGCTGGACTTGTAAAAGTCAGATTTTGCTTTTGAGAGGCTAAAAGCCTACCTTTTTTAAAATCCTGTTTTTAATGAGGAAAACCTTTGTCTTAATTTTCAGCACTCTGCAGTAGGTAGAGCCACGTTAACTCTCAGGTCAACATCTCTGAAGTACCACAAAGAATTTGTGAATTTAGTTCTAATTGACTTTCATTAGTTTTTTAATCTTAAGATTAAAAAAAAATACGTTTATGTTTTTCTAGAAAAAGGAAGGAAAGAAGGAAGAAAGAATCACAATGTAGAGCAACAAACAAGTCAGTCAGGAAATGTAACACCTGGGGAGACGAGGCTGAAGGGTACTTTGGTTTCTTGCACGTTTTAATTCTGAAACAAATACAGCTGCGGGTTTTATTTCAGGCGGCTACGAGCCCCCCCTCACCAACGTCTTCACCATGCAGTGGTTCCTCACCCTCTTCGCCACGTGCCTCCCCAACCACACCGTCCTGAAGATCTGGGACTCCGTCTTCTTCGAGGGCTCAGAAATCATCCTGCGGGTGGCGCTGGCCATCTGGGCGAAGCTGGGAGAGTAAGTGGTTCCGCTCTGCTCGGTCCCGGGGCGTTGGGGCTGTGAGCAGTTCCGCGTTCTCACAGGCACAGCACCCATGTTCAGGTGCGAGGAGCAGAGCACCCTGGGGACTTGGTTCAGTTGCTTAAACTCCCACGGTCTCAGCGGGCTCCCTGGGCCCCGGAGGTCAGCTGGGACGGCCTCCGAGCCGCAGGCTGCTTCTGGGCTGTGGCTTGCTCTGCGCTCCCTGTGCACGAGTCCGGCCCGGCCCACTCCTTGCTGGCGTCTCTCCGGGCGCTAACTGGGGCGAGAGGGAGGACCTTCGGTGGAAGACCAGCGAGGAGTAGGTGGCTGTTGGTTACCTTTACAGTTCACCTTATTTAAAACCTTTTGTCGTTTATTTGTGTATTTTCGCCTCTCCCGACTGTGATGGACTCACTTGAGCAGCACAGCTGACGTGTCTGGCGTGGCCAGTAGTGGACCACGTGGAGCTTTTTCCCTTTCATCACGGATGAATTCTGTGTGGGAATCTGTTACTGCTCAGCATTCTGCCGGAAGGATTTTACTCACGTACTGGGCTAGAAGCAGGGCTGAAAAACTGAGGGTGTTTTCACCCATCTCCAGCGTATTATGACGGTTCCGTTGAAACCCTGTCTTCTGGGTAATGGAGAACATCAGGGTGGGATTGTTATGGTTAAATTTAAGATGCAGAGACGTCTTTAACTTGTCTTTCCGAGAGCTGTAAATGACTTGAGTGGGTACCCATAGGCAACATGTCAGAAAACTAATAAATTGCTGCCAGTATTTTGTTTCAAAATCCTTTTAATGAGCTATTTTATTTATGACAAGTTGTTTCCTGAGAGGCTTACGCCATTTTTCACTTTCCCCAAGCTCTCCCAGCTCTCCCAGCTGTCAGTTGAGGGATTAGAAAAATCCTTGTGTGTGTGTATTTTTAGACATCACATAGCTGCCCTTGCCTTTGTTTTATTGCACATTGTTTTTCAAGTAGGCACATGCGTTTGTGGAGGGTTTGGTGGCTCCGATCTGACCCGTTCCCCCTGTGCACGCCTCTGGCGAGTCTCCTTCCTCCAGCCTGCTCGCACCCTTAGACGCTCTTGGGCTTTGATGGTTGCTGAGGGTGTGTAGTCCGGTGACTAGGTTACTAGTTTCTAGCATTAGAATAGTAAAACCCTCTGTTGTGTGCTCATTCAGTTGCGGTTACTTTTGTGTTAATCCTTCCGTCTGGGGCAAGAGGAAAGGGGCCTCCCTTCACGCCCGTGCGTCCACTATCTGCAGGAGCAGACTTGGCTCGCGCGGTCACCCTCGGGACGCACGCTGGTCAGTAGGCACCCTTAAAACGCAATGTTCATTGAGCGTCTGCAAAGGCCAGGCAGTGTGCTACGCATTCTAGATGTAAAACCCGCTCACTCGTTCCTTACCGTCGTCCTGTGAGGCAGGCATGGAAGGCACTTTGCTCTCTGTTTTGCCCATGTGGGAATTGAGGCACAGAAAAGGTGAATAAGTTGCCCAAAGTTACCTGATGAATAAGGGAACGGCCTGAGTTTTTATTGTATTATTTGTACTGAGATGACTGTGTTTACAGTGCTGCATGTAAGTGGGGCCTCGGCTCAGATGCATGTCACCCCCTCACCACCCGGTGCCCATGGTCCCCCAGAGCCAAGGAGCCGCTCCCTGCTGGGGGCTTCCGTCCTGCAGCCGGATTTCTAGGGTTTGTTTGGTTTAGTTTTTACGTTCCCTTGTTTTCTTTCTTTTTATTCCACAGATGCAGGAAATCATCTGGTGTTTTTCTTTCTCCTGACTTACTGCACTTAGCAGAGCCCCCTCCAGCTCCACTCATATTGTCATGAATGGGAAGAGTTTGTCTTTTTTAACAGCATTGTCGTATTCTGTTGCATATAAATACACCTTCTCAACCCACTCATCTGTCCCGGGCTCTGAGGTTGTTGTGCAGCTGGCTGATGTCATAGTGTTGCAGCAAACACAGAGGGGCATGTATCCCTTCGAATTACTGTGTTTTCCTCTTTCTGTTAGGCATCTGGGAGTGGGGCTGCTGGGACGCAAGGTAGATTTATATTTAATCTTTTTTTTTTAAAGATTTATTTATTCATGCATACAAGAACTGGGGTACAGGCCAGAGGTGCAGGGGTGAGAGGACTCACCAGAGACAGAGCGGGGAGCAGAACAGGCGGATCCATTGAAATCCACTGCTGAGGGGAGCAGCCGGGAGACAGGAGAGGTCTGCTGCGCCATGTGGGTTGCTCCCTGGCCAGGGATGGAACTTATACTGCAGTGACTGCAGACAGCTTCATAGATTGCGTCTTACTCCCTTGCGCCACCAGGGAAGCCCAGATTTATATTTAATCTTTTGAGAAACCTCCACGCTGGTTTCCACGGCGCTGGACCAGTGTGCATTCCCACCGACTGTGTACGGGCCTCGAAGGCCCTGATCAGAATGCAGGTGTCCGGGCCCGAGTCTGCCTTTACAGATGTGAGTCCACTGATAATAAATTTATGAAATGTAGGGAGTGTGGGAATCAAGCGGATGGAACTTTACATGCTCCCGAGTCTTTGCTCAGTATCACTGCACAGCTTCTGAGCATGCGGCTTGTCAAGTGGAAATGAAGACGGGCAAGACACAGCTCGCCCGCGTGCGTCGTTCGTCGCGTGGCTGGTTCTCCGCGGAGCCGGGACCAGGCGGGAGTGTTCTCTCCGTCGTGTCGAGGGGGAACCCGCCCGGGACGGTGGAGGAACTAGTTTAAGGTCATGCAGCTAAGACGGAGCAGAGCTGGGGCTTCACCCTGGTTTTCTCCGTCATCTTCCCCTCACACTTGTCATTAGAAAAAATGCAAAGAGCCCGCGGGCCGCGCCAGTCTCAGTGGCTCTCGGGGCCTGGCAGGGACCGCTTCACCCGTCCACTCTCAGCACCGCTGTCCAGCCCCCGCTCCCGCTGCTCCCTCCGGCCGGTCCAGTCAGCACTGACCAGTCCACGGGGCCCCTGGGAGGTCCTTGGTCACCATGTCCCTGTCCCTGAAGTGCTGCTTCTTGTCCATCTGGAGAGTATTTTCACCCTGCATCCCAAGCATCGTCTCACCTCCTTACGGCCCCCCGGGGCACCCAAGCACTTTCCCTCTGCGCCCACGGCTGCTCTGTGCCTTGTAGGAACATCCCCCAAGTCCGCTCCCTGTTCATCACGTGACTGGTGGCGGGGCCTGGGCAGCTCTCGCCCCCGCGTCTCCTTTGTCACTGTGGGGTGGCGTCCCCAAGTGCCTCTGTCTGGCGCGGGGCTCCAGTGGGGGCCAACAGCGTGGTCCTGGAGAGCAGAGGCCGGGGTCCTAGACAGGACAGGCTACCCAGTGGCCGCTGCCTGCGCTGCTTCCCCAGGACCCCGAAGGGCCAGAGTCTCGCCTGTCCAGCAGGTCGCCAGGTGGTGTGTTGTGTGTGTGTGGACCAAAGGGAGAGACGGGGCATAGCGGCCATTCTAGGAGAAAAGCTGAAAAAATTCTGCCGGTGAGAACACCCTCCGGGCAGAGAAAACATGCAGACATGTTTCTCCTCTGCCCGCCTTTCCTTTCCTGTTGTGGCGCTGGTCTGTCAGCGAAGTGGGTCTGCAGACTGAGAGCAGCAGCTCCCGGGAGGGATAATTGTCCTTCAGTCCCCAGCCTCGGGCTTGGGGCTTCTGACCACAGGCAGGGGCTCCTGGCGCGTCAGATATGTCGCGCGGGCACAGCAGAGATGCCACAGGTGTGGATTTGGGGAGCCAGTGGGGAACACAGGACTCAGCCTGTCATGAGAGCCTCTGACTTGCCTTTGTTTTGTTTTTCCCTTTTACCTTTTCTCCACGTACAGCGGGCTGTGCTGTGAGGATGTCCAGGCGTTTGGTTTCTGTCCATTGCTAACTTAGTTGATTTGGTGGTGAGAGTCACAACACCTGCCTGTGCCCGTGGCACACACCTGAGGCCCGGCCGAGTGCCCAAGCCAACCTTCTCTGCCCTTTCTCTTAGGCAGATAGAGTGCTGCGAGACAGCAGACGAGTTCTACGGCACCATGGGGCGCCTCACGCAGGAGATGCTGGAGAACGACCTTCTGGAAAGCCAGGAGCTCATGCAGGTGAGTGGGCGACAGCCCCGCCTCGCTCGGGGACCCAGGTAGTGTTTCTGGAGAAAGCTTGCATCACTCACAGATCATCTATGACTCAGTTTCATGCAGAATAATATCCTGGCATTCAATGGCTCTAAAAATTGTCCAAAATCTTTGAAAAACAAGCGCTGCGTGTGAGTAACACCGATGAGGTCTTTGTTCCAGGAGTAACGGAGCTCTGCAAAAGTCCGAGTTAGCCCGTCCCTCCTGTGGGCAGCTGCCCCATGTGCCCCCTGCGTGCTCACTCGCTGGGGTAACCAGCCGCAGTTGCATTGGTTTGAGGACTCAGTTTTTGTTCATCCATATTTTGTTTTCCTCGAAGCAGATACTGGAGGGTTCTCTCTACAGCCACGCATGGGCAATGCCGGCTTCTTCACGCAAACTGATAAAACTTTCACGTCTTTCCAGGAGCATAAAAGCTGTTTAAGGCCACATTTCAGACTCGGCATTTTGCTTTGCTTTTCAGACGGTGTATTCTATGGCTCCATTCCCTTTCCCACAGTTGGCGGAGTTGAGGGAAAAATACACCTACAACATTACACCGTTCCCAGCCGCGGTTAGACCCGCCTCGGGTTCTGGGTAAGGTCTTTCATTCCTCGTCGTTGTCTCCGTGGAAGGTTTAATACCTTCATTTGCTACTGGAACTTGCTACGTATTTAGTCCCAGAAATATATTCAGAATTCAGTTGCCCCGTGAACAACATGGGTTTGAATTGTGCTGCTCCACTTACACACAGGCTTCCTCTCCCCGTGGGTTCCTCATCCACAAATCCAGCCGCCTGCCGTGTTGGCTGGTTGACTCCGTGGAGGGCAGCTCGTGTATACAGAGGGCTGACTCTAAGTTACTTGCAGACTTTTGACTGCGAAAGAGGGTTATGCCCCCAACCCCTACATTGTTCAAGGGTCACTGTAGTTTGGTACTTAAAATCTGAATGTCTCTTTATCAAGAATTTTGATTTACATTCAAGAGAGTGTTCAAAGGCTTATTTTACCAATAAATTTGGCACAAAACTGAAGGGTATTTAGCAATCCCACAACTCATGTAAAAAATAATAAAGTAGCAGGGCCTCTCTGGTGGCGCAGCGGTTGAGCGCTGGGTTGCGAAGCTGCCCGCAACCTCTGCAGCGCCAGTTCGATCCCCGGCTGCTCCCCGGCCGCCAGGCGAGGGTCCCACATGGCGCGCAGACCTCTCCTGCCGCCCGCTGCTCCCCTCAGCAGTGTCCTTCGGTCCTTCTGCCTGCTCTGCTCCCTGCTCTGGCTCTGGTGAATTCTCTCACCCTCCTGCGCTTCTGACTGTGCCCAGTGCTTGTATAAACAAACAAATAAATAAATAAATAAATAAATAAAACATGCCTCTATTTAAAAAAAAAAAAAACTAGATTGAGATTGTGTTTGTTCCTTTATTTATTTATTTATTTATTTTGCCAGTCGGATTGACAGATTCAAAAGTTTGCTGCACCTTCTGTTGATCAGGCGATGGGAAAACATACTACTGCGTGGCTTGTGCGAGCCTGGTGACGGCAGGTTTTGTGACCGGCCGCGTGGTAGTATTTGCCGAAGTTATAACGCCTGTGTCCTCGGCCTGGGAGTTCTCGCTGACAGAGGCATTTGTACACTTACAAAACACAATGTGTCTAGGTTACTGCGTCGTCGTTTACGATAGTGTGACACTGGAGACCACTGAGCGTGTGCCAGCCATGACCTCCTTGCTCAGCCTGGACTTCCCACGTCCACGGCAGCGCGGCTGTGAGGAAAGGGTGCGGAAGCTCTGTGTATGAGTGTGGAAAGATTTCTTAGGTGAATGAAAGCAAGGCCGGAAGTACGCTGAAATAGAAAGTACGCTGAAATTTGTGCAGCAAGAGAAAAGTAAGACTGTAGTCGTGTCTGCTTAGACATCTATTAAGTTGTTGCAGAATGCAGAAGAAATTAGTAACGGTGGCCCCTTGTGGGAGTTAAGGGGGGACAGAAGTGGGCAAAAGTTGGACAGGGACAGAATGGAGGCTTTAAAATGTATGCTAAGAATTACAGGTGTGTGTAATTACACACCCACACACACTTCTCATCGGTGTCCGTAGCCGCGGGACGTATTCTGTGGTAAAACGCCACTGTGTTCTGTGACTATTTCCTTTTCTTCCCGTCTGCCCCCAGGCGGCAGGGCAGGGGCAGAGACAGCGATGAAGACAATGACGCGGATGACGAGGACGCCGTTGCCGATGCAGTGGGGTGTCTTGGGCCCCTCAGTGGCCTCCTGGCCCCCGAGCTGCAGAAGGCCCAAAAGCAAATGAAAGGTAAAGAGGAGGCTGCCGTTCGGGTCACCGCACCTTGCTCCCCGTGCCAGTGACCCCGCTGCGCCCGCGGGTGTCTGTGGTTTCCTGGCCTGGTCACTGCACCTCGAGGTCCTTGTGGGCAGCATCGCCTGGGCACTGTCCTCTTTGCAGGCGCTCTCTGTCCGCTGTCGTGCGCGTAACAGATCCCCGTTGCTTTCTGGTGACTTGCTGCCCCCTCGTCTGGGTCACCTGGGGGTGCCCGTTTGCTTAGCGCGGAGCCTGGCGTGTAGTAGATGCCGTTGCAGCCTGTTTGATTTTAATTAGATTTATTCTCAATTGGCTTCTCTTCCATAGAAATGCCCTCTAAATCTAAACTATGACGGTGGCCTCTACTTGAGGTTGAGCGACAAGGAGCTCATTCTCTCGTAGGCGTTCTCTGGATTCCTCTGTTCAGCCTGTGGTTCTAGTTACTAGAGATGAGAACCTCCACGAGCCAGCGTGACTACAGGCTTCTCTTTGGGACGAGTCACAGTGCATCTCCTCTGCTCTGTGCTTCTCCAGGGCCCACGTTCAGACCGTCTTTAAGCCTTTAAGACCTGACTTCTAGAAATTTCAGTATTCTTGAAATTCACCTCTGAATGTCCAGCACTTTGCTGTTTCCCCCTTAAACTGTGCTGCTCTGAGTTGAGCGCCCTGCTGTGTTCTTCTTGCTGCGGGTAGACTCCCCTGGCCTGGACGCCATGACGTCATGGTGCTGTGAAGCAGTTTGTGCTCTTCATGTCATGGGTGGCAGCTCTTTCTTTAGGGTGTTTATCCCACACCTGCTAGTCCAGAGAGCATTTTCCTCAGCGAAAGAACATAGAACAGCCGGAAGAAACGCAATCGAGGTCAGGCACCTTTGCGCTCCCCAGGTCCTCTGGGCCTCTGCACCTCTGTGCCAGATGGCAGTCAAGGGCTGGTCCTCATTTGTGTTCTTCTTGCTTAAAAGTCTTCCTTTTTTTTTTAAAAAAAAAAAAAGTAGTTTTGAGTGTTTTCCCTAAGTCTTGGCTTGTTTTGAGTTTTAACCTGCTGAACGGTTGACTTCACATTGCATCGTGTTTGTCCTTCATACAGACTTTCTCCTCACAGCTCTTTACATAGCTTTTAGATTTGAATCTTACCAGAGTCCTGTAGATTTCCCAATGCCCCCCCACTTTAGTGCCTGAATTCTAGCTTTGAAGTCCAGGTCTATGTCCTGTTTTGTTTGTTTTTTTAGCCTGGAAATTGGTACAATGACTTTAGACTTTCTGGATTTATGTTTTCTAGGGAATTTTAGAAAACAGCAGTAATTTTCCTCTGGAAACAGTCTTAGGTTTACACAGTGCACAAAGGGGTGATGCAACCAAATAATGCACCCACACAGCCCATTAAAGAACACAGTTAGACTATGAGAAAATGCAGAAATATTTTCAGGACAAACTCTCATGTGTGTTTTTTGTGGCTTAACATCTCCTGGGGGCTCAGCTGCTCTGCCAGCCTATTGTGTGGTCAGTTCCGGGGTCCCGCTCCCCTCCAGTGTCTCCCTGTCTCCCCCTGAGCACAGAGCCCCAGGAAGAGCAGACCCTGCGGGCTGGCAACATCGGGGAGCTGAGCCCGGGGGCCATCACCTCCTGCCGCAGCGAGCACCACGCGGCCCTCAGCAGCATGATGCTGGAGCGCATGACCACCGACATCGGCGCGCTGCAGCGGCAGTACTCGCGGATTAAGAAGAAGCAGCAGCAGCAAGTTCACCAGGTGTACATCCGGGCAGGTAGGCGGCTCGGCTGGAGTCGGTGTCGGCTCCATCAGCCTTGAAAGGGAGAACAGACGTTCCTGGGACAGCCTTGGAATCTCTGCTGGCTGCAGCTCCGCATTCACCAGCACACTGGCGTGAGATAGCGGCGTTCTTAGCTGTTCATTTTTAATTTTATTTTATCAGGCTTTAAGGAAGAAAATGACCAGAGATTCCTTCTAGGCCCCAAGGACGCCAGACTGGACGGTACTAAATGAGTCCTCACTGTGTGCCCTCTAGGGAGGCTTCTAAGTGATCCAAATACTGCCATGCTGAGCAATCCTTGGACTTGAGAAATCTGTAGTGTTGCCTCCTAAATTTTAAGCATTTGAACATAGAATTCAGCCATCTGGGCACTAGTGAATCAAGCTGTGCACTGGTCATTTAATAAAACAGGTGGTGTGGTCAGACAAAAAGGAAGAAGCCCCTGCTGTGCCTCCCTGATGCCAGGGCGTCCTGGGGGCTGCTGACCCAGGCAAGTGTAATGCAGCCGGGTGCTCTTTTCCAAGGATTGTCAAGCTCACTTCTTTATAAATTCCCCAAATCAGCAAACAATCTGCTTTACTGTTTAATTTATGGTGATCTGGAAATCGGTTTGTCTTGTTCTAAGTGAAATCCAATGAAAGTGATGCCTGTCCAGAATTAAGCAACTTTGACGTGTTCCCAAAAGAGGTTTGTGGGATGTGACGGGCCTGACACGGGAACTGAACTTGCCCTCCACTTGCCCCGGAGGAGCAGGCAGTGCTTGGGTTCCTCTTTTATCCTGAGTCGCTCAGAAAACGGCACACAGAGACTGGCGCGGAGAGCGCTTTCGTGTTCAGTGTGGGCTCACGCGCCTCGGGCTCTGTCCTTAGCACAGTTGGGAGGGGGGTGCGGGGAGACGCTCAGGCCCTTCTGGAGGGCGAGCGGACGCGGCTCGGGAGGGCTGCGCGCGTCAGGCCCCGCGAGGTCCCCGCTCCGCTGCCGGCCCCGCTGCCGGGCGCGCCTTCGGCGGCGCCGAGTGTCCCCTGGCCTGGCCCGCCCGAGGGTCACGGCTGTGGGCCAGCGAGGCCCTGCCTGGTCTGTGACGCTCCCCGGGAACTGGGCGGGGCCGCGTGGAGACGCCGTGACCGCTGCCCCCGCCGGGTCCTCGCGGGGAGGCGGCCGCCCGGCGCTGGCCGCGGCCCGGGGTGGGGGGCGCGGGCGGGATGGGGGCTCCGCGGCGCGCGCGTAACCCCCCCCCCCTCCTTGCAGACCAGGGCCCGGCGACCAGCCTGCTGCCGTCGCAGGTGAACAGCGCTCCGGTCGTCAACCACCTGCTCCTGGGCAAGAGGACCAAGGCGCCCGGCAGGGCCAGGGCGGCCCTCGCGCCCCCCGCGCCCCCCGCGCCCGGCGAGGACCTGCGCGCGAGGCTCAACTCGCCGTGGCGCGCGCACCTGCGCGTGCACAGGAGGGCGGCGGCGCGCGCGCGGGGCCCGGGCTGCGGGGACACCGAGGGGCTCATCGCCGAGCCGGGCGGGCCGGGCGGGCCGGGGCCGGGGCCGGGGCCGGGGCCGGGGCCGGGCCCGGGGCGCGCGGACGGCGGCGCCGACGTGTCCGCGGCGCGGGCGCGGCTGGAGCGCCTGGACCTGAGCCCGGGGGACGCCCCGGGGGACGCGGGGCCCGGCCCGCGCCCGCCCCCCGAGCCCCCCGGCGAGAGCTTGGCCGGCGGCGCCCCGCGGACGCCCGCGTTCAGCCCGTTCCCCAGCGTGAAGCCGCTGCGCAAGTCGGCGGCCGCGCGGAGCCTCGGGCTGTACGGGCCCAGCGAGCGGACGCCCAGCGTGCGCTTCCCGCGCCTGAGCCGCGGCCTCGGCCAGCCCGGCGGGGCCGGCAAGAAGCGGTGACCGCCCTGCCCGGGGGCGCCCTGCCCGGGGGACATCCTGCCCGGGGACGCCCCAGCCCTGGGGACGCCCTGCCCGGGGACGCCCTGCCCGGGGGGACATCCTGCCCCGGGGACGCCCTGCCCGGGGGACGCCCTGCCCGGGGGACGCCCTGCCCGGGGGACCCCTGCCCGGGGGACATCCTGCCCGGGACGCCCCAGCCCTGGGGACGCCCTGCCCGGGGGACGCCCTGCCCGGGGACATCCTGCCCGGGGACGCCCTGCCCCGGGGACGCCCCAGCCCTGGGGACGCCCTGCCCGGGGACACCCTGCCCGGGGGACGCCCTGCCCGGGGGGACGCCCTGCCCTGGGGACGCCCTGCCCCGGGGACGCCCTGCCCGGGGGGGACGCCCTGCCCTGGGGACGCCCTGCCCTGGGGACGCCCTGCCCGGGGGCGCCCTGCCCGGGGGGACGCCCTGCCCTGGGGACGCCCTGCCCGGGGACACCCTGCCCTGGGGACGCCCTGCCCGGGGGACGCCCTGCCCGGGGGACGCCCTGCCCGGGGGACGCCCTGCCCGGGGGACGCCCTGCCCTGGGGACGCCCTGCCCGGGGGCGCCCTGCCCGGGGGACGCCCTGCCCTGGGGACGCCCTGCCCCGGGGACGCCCCAGCCCTGGGGACGCCCTGCCCGGGGACACCCTGCCCTGGGGACGCCCTGCCCGGGGGACGCCCTGCCCGGGGACACCCTGCCCTGGGGACGCCCTGCCCGGGGGCGCCCTGCCCGGGGACACCCTGCCCGGGGGACGCCCTGCCCGGGGGGACGCCCTGCCCTGGGGACGCCCTGCCCCGGGGACGCCCTGCCCGGGGGGGACGCCCTGCCCTGGGGACGCCCTGCCCTGGGGACGCCCTGCCCGGGGGCGCCCTGCCCGGGGGACGCCCTGCCCTGGGGACGCCCTGCCCCGGGGACGCCCCAGCCCTGGGGACGCCCTGCCCGGGGACACCCTGCCCTGGGGACGCCCTGCCCTGGGGACGCCCTGCCCGGGGGACGCCCTGCCCGGGGGACGCCCTGCCCGGGGGACACCCTGCCCTGGGGACGCCCTGCCGGGGGCGCCCTGCCCGGGGACACCCTGCCCGGGGGGACGCCCTGCCCGGGGGCGCCCTGCCCGGGGGACCCACCTGCCCGGTGAACTTGGACGGATCCAGACGCGCCTCAGTCCTGAAACTGGGGCGGGAAGTTGCGCGGGGAGCGGAGCGGGCCCCGCCGGCCCTCGGAGCTGGGGTTCGCGGGGCAAATAAATGTGGCTTTTAATGTGACGTTTTCCAGATTCCCACCGCGGCTCCTTCGGAGATGGCCCCGCGTCGCCTCGCCCCGCCTCGGTCCGGGGCCCCGGGCTCCCCTCTCGCGCGGGGCGGCAGGATCTTTCGGGGCTCCCTCAGCCGGTCTGAGTTGTCTGTTCCCGCGGGCGGCGCGGCGGGGGCGCCTGGGGTCTCTGCTCCCCCCGCCCCCCCCCGCCGTGAAGGAAATGAAGGAAACTTCCATCTGCGCAGCCCTGGCGGGGCACAGCGGACGCGGCCAGTGCGCGGCCAGCAGCCCCTGCGGGGGGCCTGCCTCGAGCGCTCCCGGCTCCCCCTCCTCCGGCGGGCGCTGCCCCCCCGGAGCTCCCCGCGCCCTGCCCGCGGGGGGTGCCCCCCCAGACGCAGCCGGGCTCCGCGGGCAGCTCCGCCACTGGGAGTCCAGCGGCCCCGGACCAGAGCGGCTCCCCTGAGCCCCGCCTTGCTCGGACTCCGCCGGCCTGCAGCGGCCCGCTCCCCGCTCCCCGCTCCCCCGCGGCCAGGGCGGCCCCGTCTGTCCACGGTGCGGACCGGACTCCGGCCCGCAGAGGTGAGCGCGAGGCAGAGGCCCCGGAGCGATGACCCGGCCCGGCCCTGGAGCTTAGGCTGCCCGCGGGCCCACGCGCCCCAGGCCGGGGCTGGAAAGCCGCTGCTGCGCGCGCCTTTCCAGGGGCAGCAGGTCCTGGACGGGCACTTCACAAAACCGGCGCTGACCTCCTTCCCCGCGAAGGCCGCTCATTTTAAAAAGGCTTCCTAAGCTGCCCCTCGGTGGACGCGGGCTCCGGCCTCCCGCCTTCGCCCGCCGTCGCGCGCGGAAGATTCGGCCCCTGTCTTTCTGGGAAGGCCGAGGCCACCCTCCCGGCCGGCTGCCCCTCCCGGCCACTAACCCTCCCGGCCGGCTGACCCTCCCAGCCGGCTGTCCCTCTCAGCCGGCTGCCCCTCCCGGCCACTAACCCTCCCGGCCGGCTGACCCTCTCAGCCACTAACCCTCCCGGCCGGCTGTCCCTCTCAGCCGGCTGCCCCTCCCGGCCACTAACCCTCCCGGCCGGCTGACCCTCTCAGCCGGCTGCCCCTCCCAGCCACTGCCCCTCCCGGCCACTGACCCTCCCGGCCGGCTGACCCTCCCAGCCGGCTGCCCCTCCCGGCCACTAACCCTCCCGGCCGGCTGCCCCTCTCAGCCGGCTGCCCCTCCCGGCCACTGCCCCTCCCGGCCACTGCCCCTCCCGGCCGGCTGTCCCTCCCGCCGCTGTTGATTAGCGCCAAGCAGCTGCTCGCCCCGGCGCCCAAGCCGCCATCCAGGGAAGGCTTTCCCCGCGAGAGGCCCTGGTTTTCGCGGCGGGATGGTGGCCCGAGATTTTTTGAACAGAAAACACGAGACTGACAGATAAAGCAAGAAAAGCCATTTTATCCCTTTGTGGTGTTTTTACCCCCGAGGAACCGAAGCTGGAAACTGAGCCGGGCTTTGGTCTTGAACTCTGAGCCGCCCGGAGTCAGCAGGTGGCGTCGTGCGCAGCAGCCGCGCCCGCAGCCGGTGCTGCAAGGGGGTGTGGGGGTCAGGCTGGCTTTGCCGTCCACCCCAGGACAAGACCAGGCTCTCCCCGCAGGTGCGCAAACGACACCATTTCTTCCAGCTGTTGAGCTTGACAGGTGAGGATGACTCCGCCTCGTCTTCTCCCCAGCCACGCGGGTCAGGATGGCCGTGTCCTCCCCCCGGGCCTGATCTGCCCCTTGGCAGCCCAGGCCCAGGCTGTGGGGGAGGCGCTGCTGCCCTTTGGGGCTGCCCACCGCCTGCCTTCCTCCTGCCGCTGGTTTTCCTGAGACGGGTGGACGAGGTGGCCCAGGGGTGGGCTGAGTATTTATTGAATGAGTAACTGAGCGGTTGATGGTCATTTCAGGTGACCACGACCACGGGAGATTTAAAGCCGACAGATTCCCATTAAAACTGCTGGTGATGCAGGTGCTGCCCCAGGCAAGCGCAGCGTGAGCCGGGCCTGTGCGGCCTCATCTGCTGTAGAAAGTTGAGGAATTGGCACCGCCGCCGCCACGCAGCAGGCAGAGGCCGCTGTGGCCTTCCCGCTGCCCCCGGACACTGCCCGGCCCAGAAGTCCTGGGAGGGGGGACCCTTCAGTCCTCCATGTGCGGCTCCCGCCCGCCCTTAGGCTGCGGTCGGCTCCGCCCGAGACCTGTGCCCCTCCGTCTGCTGAGAAGAGGGGGTAACCGTGGCGAGTCCGCCCTGGTGGGACCGTGAGGGGTGCTCTGTCCCTCCCCTCATCCCTTGTTATCCCCGGAAGCTGCGCTGATGTCCGAGATGTGCATAAAGGTCCCGCTGCGGCTGTGCCGTGTCTCTCTGGGCTCTGTCCCCACAGCCTCTCCCTTGTCCTTTCTCCAACCAGGGGGCGCCCCCCCTTCAGTCTAATTACTGGGTCACTGGATAGCCTGTGCCCTGCTGAGAACCTGGCGGACTAGCCTGTCCTCAATGACTAAGCAGAAAGCTGGGCGTGGCCGTGTGTGCACGTGTGTGTGCACGTGTGTGTGCGCGCATGAAGTTAACCTGTGGTCCTGCCATTTTCCTTTTTTTAATAAGACAGGACTATCGGGAATGCAACTGAGTCCCCTGGTCTATGGATTCTAAACGCTAGAGAGCGGGGGTCAGCGCTCAGCTGCCCCCCCACAACCTCCATCACTCTCCAGCCTCCTTCTCTGCTGCCCCAGCATCACCTGAGACAGCAATTAAAATGTAGTGTTTTTCTTTTTTTTTTTTTAAAGATTTATTTATGCTACAAGAGCTGGGGTGCAGGCCAGAGGTGTGGGGTGAGAGGACTCCCCAGAGACAGAGTGGGGAGCAGAACAGGGGGATCCACTGAAACCCACTGCTGAGGGGAGCAGCGGGGAGACAGGAGGGGTCTGCTGCGCCCTGTGGGTAGCTCCCTGGCCGGGATGGAACTCGCGCTGCAGAGGCTGCGGGCAGCTTCATAGTGCTGCATCTTAACTTCTTGCGCCACCAGGGAGGCCCCAGTCTAAAATGTAGTATTTTTCTAATGAGAAAAGTGACTCCTTTTAAGGATCAGGAAACTGGACACAGGGAGCCATCAGTACTCCGATGGGGCTTTTCCAGCATTTTCTCGTGTGGGTCTGTGCACACGGCACCATCCGGGGCCGGCCGTCTCCCGGGCAGCCCCCCAGTCTGCATCACTCGGGCTTGTGGCCGTGGTCAGCCTGGAGCGAGCGGCCGGCACCGCAGCACCTTGTGTCTGTCTGCAGCAGCGAGAGCCGGAGGCGGTGCCGCAGGGCTGGAAGCCCGAGCATTTTTCAGGCGGACCCCTGAGCCTCTGGCCTGAGAGGCTGAGCTCACCCACGTGGTGAGTGTGCAGTTGTTCTTCCCCATCCCCAGGGAGTCGCAGTTTCTCGTCGCCCCCCAGGGCCCCGTGACAGCAGCGCAGAGAGGTGCGCCCAGACCTGGCGCCTGACGCTGCAGGGAGCAGCAGCAGGTGTTTGTTCCGCACCTGGCAGGTTGCTCTTGTCAGGTCAACGCAAGAGCTTTCCTTTGTGCTTGCGAAGAGCTTGAAGTCAACAAGTGGGAGTTTTATGGAATGACCCTCCTTGCACCCCTTGATAAGGGAGCAGTGCTTTAGACTGGGCATCTTGAGCTTGAGAAAATAACCAAGTTCCATCAGAGAACATTAGCCATTTTACCGTTGAAAGTGGTCACGTAAACGTTCTACGTGCAGGTGTTCTCGGAGGCGGGGATTGGGACTTACCTGGCTTGACTGGGGAGGCCGCTCTGAGCCCACCACCTGTCCAGATGGATTTCACGCCACAGCCACCTGGGCGAGCTGCTGGTCAGCCGCCGTGTTCCAATCCATCTGCATTAAACTTGGAAAAGCCCCACTTCCTGGAGACGTGGCTCGGGAACTGGAACGTGGCCCGCTCAGGTCGCACGTCCTCTGCAGCGGAGCCGCCGGCATGGTGATTTGGCCAGCGTGGGCCCTGGCCACTGTGGCCTGGGCCTTTCCAAAGGCAGCTGGCCCCTGTGTCTGGAGCGCGAGATTGGGACAGCATGAGGCCAGGCCTGGACTCCCTGGGGGAGGTCCCCTGGGGCAGCCCATACAAGCAGCAGACTGTGCGACGGAGGAGGCTGCTGCACACGGAGCCCGGTGGGGCGTGCAGGGGCTCACGGCTGTACCAGATGTACTGCCAGAGTTTCGGAAAGTGAGCATCTGAGAGTAGGGAAGACGTCTGGGGGAGGCACGGCGCGTCCACCGTTGGCAGAGCAACGGCGCAGGAGTGCTGAGCCTGAGATGGTCACCTGGCAGCCACGGGCAGCGGGGGCCAGTCTCCAGGGTACAGCCCAGGGCGGGAGGCCGGGACGGGAGGGGGGCTCTTTCGAAAAGGGGGGTCTGTGCTTGGTCACTGTGCCGGGCCACCTGTGCCGGGCCGCCTGTGCGTCGTCAGGGGGCCTGAAGAAGCGGATGGCCAGGGCTGGGCCAGTCCCCACTGTCCCCTGCAGAGGCTGAGTCCACTTGTCTCCTGGAGCCCCGGTCCGGGAAGAGACACCTCCTGCAAAGCCAGCTCCCCCCACCCCCCGTGCCCTCCTGACTGCACCCCAGAGGCCCCGATGGCCTTTTTGGTCACGTTTTCCTTGGGAGAACAGGTTGGAACGAGGACTCTGAGCCGCAGAGGGTGGCAGGGAGGTCCAGGGAGGAAGCGCGGGTCCCGCCGCGGGGCTGGGCAGGGGGCACTGCGGGGAGGGGCGGAGAGAGAAGGTGCCCAGGGGGGTGAGGTGTGACTTAAACAGGAGCTCGGAAGGAGTCAGCGCGGGAGAAACACCGGGCAAAGGAAGGCCCCGCGTCTCCATGAAACCCGCGATGAAGGCGTGTGCTGGGAGGTCCAGCCACTGAAAGGCGAACAGGAAGCCACTGGGTAAGAGATGAGAAGCAACTAAGGGGAAAACCCACAAAAAGCAGCCAAGGGGCCGGTCCCCCGGGTCTCAGGGTAGGTGGAGACGGTCCCCGCCCCACTGCAGCCCTGCGGAGCTGTGTTGGGAGCCGGACGCCCCCTCGGGAGGGCCCGTGCACCGAGCGCCTCTGGGTCTGGGGCGGGGCAGGCCTGGTGTGGGTCCTGCTGACGTGGGGCTCCGGCGGGTGGGGGGGGCAGGGGGAGGGTCTTGCTGTTGCCACCCCCATTGGCCCCCGCGTACATTTTTTGGGGGTGAGTGAACTCACCAGAGACAGTGGGGAGCAGAACAGGCAGACTGACTGAAACCCACTGCTGAGGGGAGCAGCGGGGAGACAGGAGGGGTCTGCTGCGCCCTGTGGGTCGCTCCCTGGCTGGCCGGGGACGGAACTCGCGCTGCAGAGTCCCTGGACAGCTCAACAGCGCTGGGACTAACCCGAGTCCCCAGGGAGGCCCAGGGCATTATTTCTTGAAGTGATTTAAAAAAGAATCCACCTTCCTTGAGCTGGGGTCCCTCTCCGGCCCCGCCATCCTGCACTGGGGCGAGGGGCACAGAGCCCCTGGATGGGCAGACCAACAGGTGAGGGCGCCTCGCACGCCTCTTCCCTGACACCCCTGGCCCTTCCCAGGATGCGCATCTCCCGTGGCTGAGGTGAGGCCGGGAGGTGGGGGCCGCGTGGCCTGCAGGCCCAGGGGCTGGTGAGGACCAGGCTCAGGGGGGCAAAGGCGCCGGGAAGGAGAAGCCGGGTCCCTGCGGCTCTTAGGACGGCCCTAGCCGGTCAGGAGACGCGGGACAAGCCCCAAGAGGCCAGGAGGGCGCGTCGCTGGGGGACAGCCGCTGGGGCTGTTGCCCTTGGGCACATCTCTGGCCTTCACCCGTGCAAACCCCCCTCCGTCCCCGTTTCCAGGCCACAAGGCCCCCAGCCTGGCCCCAGCGCAATGACCCACCCGTGTTCTGGTGCTGGGCTGCGTGTGCTGGCGTGGGCACCTGCGTCCATCCCCTGCCCCTCCACGCCCTCAGGACACCCCTGACTTTCCAACGACTCCTGAGAGTGCGTTTATTCATCAGAACCCCCCAAAGTCTCAGTGACCTTCATGGGATGACTGCCTGGAAGCCGCGCAGCTCAGATCAGGGTCAGGGCCGCGACGGGTGCCCAGAACCATCCGGCTCTCGCACAAGAGGGGGGTGACGGCAGACACGACGTTCGGGGAGAAGCGCCAGGACCGCAGGCAGCGCTGACCCCGCAGCCGCCCCCCGGGGCTGTCTGCGCGGTCGGCCTGGACAGCCGGGAGCGCATTAACAGCCGAAACATGTTTACTCGGATCCTGGCGTGTGCGCTCGGCGTGGCGGTGCGGGGCTGGGGTGGGGGCCGTGGGGCCGGAGCCCACTCGCGGGCCAGCGTCGGGGCGACGGGGCCCACGCGCCCAAGCTCTGCGGGGAAAGCGCGTTGCGGTCACCACGCCCTCGGCGTCCGGGACAGAGCCCCCGCGGCCCCGCGGGACGGTCTCGCGCGCACAGCGGGCGGCCGCCTCGGAGAAAGCTCTCCACAGCCTTGTGTCCGCGGCCCCCCGGCGAGCTCCTGCTGTCCAGCGCCTACATCCTCTGCACACACGGGGTCTCCTTGCCGTGCAGCCTGCGGTGCTTGGTGAGGGCCGACTTGCAGGAGAAACGCTTCCCGCACTGCGCGCACGCGTAGGGCCTCTCCCCGGTGTGCGTCCTCCGGTGGACGACGAGCGACGTCTTCCAGTGGAACGCCCTGCTGCACTCCGGGCACGCGTAGGGCCTCTCCCCGGTGTGCGTCCTCTGGTGCTGAGCCAGCGCCGATTTCTGGTAGAAAATCTTCCTGCACTGCAGACACTCGTAGGGGTTCTCCCCCGTGTGAGTCCTCTGGTGCTTCCTGAAGGTTGACTTCCAGGAGAAGGTTTTCCCGCACTCTTGACACGCGTACGGCTTCTCTCCGCGGTGCTTTCTCTGGTGTGCGGCGAAGGCCGACTTGCAGTAGAAGGTCTTCCTGCACTCCTGACACGCGTAGAGGCTCTCCCCGGTGTGAGTTCTCTGGTGCACGGTGAGGGAAGACTTCCAGTAGAAGGTTTTCCTGCACTCTTGACACTCATAGGGCTTCTCTCCGGTGTGAGTGCGCCGGTGTTTAGCGAGGGCTGCTTTCCACAAGAATCCCTTCCCACACTCTTGACACTCGTAAGGTTTCTCTTCCGTGTGGATCCTCTGATGTTTCGTGAGGTCTGACTTGCAGGAGAAAGTCTTCCTGCACACTTCACATTCATAGGGTTTCTCACCTGTGTGTGTCCTCTGATGGATGATGAGGGACGCCTTCCGCAAGAAAGCTCTCCCGCACTCTTGGCATTCGTAAGGCCTCTCTCCTGTGTGTGTTCCCTGATGTTTCGTGAGGGCCGAGTTGCAGGAGAAGTATTTCCTGCAGAGTTTGCACACATAGGGCGTCTCTCCGCTATGCGTCCTCTGATGTGTGATGAGGGATGTCTTCCACAAGAAAGCCTTCCTGCACTCCTGACACTCGTAGGGTTTCTCTCCGGTGTGAGTGCGCTGGTGTTTGGTGAGGGATGACTTCCAGTAGAAAGCCTTCCTACACTCCTGACACGCATAGGGTTTCTCCGCTGTGCGAGACTGCTGGTGTGCAGTGAGGGCCGCAGTCCAGGAGAAAATTCTCACGCATTCTTTATTCTCAAAGGGTTTCTCCGAAGTGACGGTGTCCTGGTATCTTCTGAGTGTTGATTTCTCAGACGTTTTCCCATAATCAGAGGGTTTACCACCTGTTTGTGTTTCCTGACGGTCACTAAGAACAGAGACTTCATAGACAGGATTAGTACGTGTATTAGATTCAAAACTTTTTTCTTCTAAAGGAATTCTCTGGAGCTGAGTGAAGTGGAGTTCCTCGCTGAAATAATTCTCACTTTGATTATATTTCTGGTGTTCATCTTCAAAATCTTTATGAAGATTCAAAGATTTCTGATTCCCCAAAGCAGGACTCCCCCGCCCCTGACACGCACAGTGAATCTGCCCCATCCGAGTTCCATCCTGGACAGCGAGAGCTGCCTCACGGCAAACTTCCCGACACACGCCTGTACAAGGGCCGTCCCCGCGAAGGGCCGTCCCGCGGGGAACGGAGGCGGCCTCTTTGCTGACGGTGTCCCCTCGTGCGCTGAATCCTAAAGGCCGCCGGTGAGCCTGGCCCTGACGCAGCCCGGGATACTCCGCAGCCCTGACAGCTACCCGGGCCGGTTCAGGGCCCCCGGCTTCCTCCTCGGCGCCTGCCGCGCCAGGATCCCCGGGGGGACACGCGTTCTCACACGCATGCACACCCGCAGGCCTCCCTGAGCAGCCGCCCTTCGTCACAGTCGGGGTGCAATGATCAGCGGAGCTCAAGGGCGCACGTTCTCCTGAGGCAGCGGCCTCCCCCGCTGGGGTTCTGCTCTTGGAGACGCGCCACGGCCGCTGGCGCTCTTCCCGGGGGGTCTCCACCAGGCCGCCCACGGCGGGGACATCTGCAGGGGGGAAAAGACAGCCGTGTCCGTGGGCGACACCTGAGCCACGCCCGTGCGGGCCACGGCACAGGGGAGGGTCCGCCGCATAAGGACGATTTTGAAAAACCGGGTATCGAGTGGATGCCGCGTCTCCCTCCCGCATCACTCAGGGTAACCGACTTCAGGAGCAGGTTTTCGCGGGTCAGACACGCCGACAGCCAACAGCAAAAAACTCTCTTCGCCGTCGTCTCGCCGCTGAACGCGGGCGGGAGGCCCGGCCGGACCGTCACTGGGCTCCAGACGCAGAGTCCAGCTCAGGGCTCGGCCACGGCCGGGGCCGGGGGTGGCGACCCCTCGGGGCCAAGGGCACGAGGGCTCCCCCGACCGGCGTTCCCGTTCTTGAGGGAACTGCGGGGCCGCGGCCTCCACCCCGGGCTCCGGCCGTGCGTGTCCACCCCGCGTGGCACAGACGCGTCCACGCTGCGCAGCCCGCCCCGCACCCGGCTCCCACCCGGCGCCGCCCGGGGACGCGTGTTCTCTCGGGCGCCCTCGCTCTCCGGGCGGGCTCCGCGGGCTCTGCGCCGCAGCCCGTGTCTCTCCGGCGTGTCTGCCTCAGCAGAACGCGGGCTCCGCAAGGGGCAGGGCGCCCAGCTGAGAGCGACGCCGTCTACACCCGCCGCGAGCCCACCGCGCGGGGGAAGTGGAGGCGCCAGAGGACGCCCCGGCAGCGGCGCGGGCCTGGATCTGCCGCGTCCAGATCGGACGGCCCCGGGAAGGGGAGACGGGCCGCGAGGCCGGTTCGGGGCCGGAGCCTGACCGAGCCTGACCGAGCCTGACGCTCGCGGCCCGGGGGTGGCTGGTCTGGCCAGCGAGCGCCGCTCTCCCCCCAGGCCCCGCCCGCGCCCCCGACTGACCCGAGAGGCTCCGGCCCGGGGGTTCCGCCGCAGCCCACGGCTCCGCCGCCTGCTCCAGCCTGACGATCACCTCCGGCTTGTTCCCGCAGCGCCCTGCGGACGAGAGCAGCGGCCCGTCCCCAACCCGCCCTCCTCCGGGCCGGGAGAGGGACGGCGCCCGGGGCCCGGCAGGGAGGGGCGCGTGGCCGCGGGTGGGACGTGCGGACTCCCCGGCGCCCCAGCCCACGGCGCGGCCCGCAGAGGCGCGTCTCCCCGCGAGGCCAGGAGCCGCGGGCTGGGCGGGCCGGCCGCTCACCCAGGGACGCCAGGCTGCCGTAGGTCTCCAGCATCACGTCGCGGTACAGGGTCCTCTGCGCGGCGTCCAGGGCCCGCCACTCCTCCCCCGTGAAGGTCACGGCCACGTCCTCGAACGACACCATCCCCTGCAACGACACGTCCCACCCGGTTCGGGGACTCGGACCGGCGCCTCCGGCTCCTCCGGGCCACTGCCCTCGGCGGGGCGCGCCGACCCTCCCCGAGCGGGGGACAGGCTCCGCGGCGGCCGTGCGGGCGCGTCCGTGCCGAGCAGCAGCCTCGCGGGCCCTGGCGCTGCCGTCCCGGAGGCCCGGAGTCCGTGCGGAGTGAGGCTCCGCTCCCGGGGGCGGACACTCGGCTTCCGGACTTGGGCTGGCCACGGCCGGGGCGTCGGGACATGTCCCGTGGGCTGCGGACAGGAGAGAGAGCGCCGCTCTCTGCGCTGCGGGAGGGGTGGGGGCTTCACTGGAGACCCAGACGCTCCGCGTCCACGCAGACGCCGCCTTCCCGGGCCGGGCCACAGCAGCAGGAGGCGAGGTGTGAGGACGCCAGAGGCCTGCGGGAGCACCCTGCCCGGGGCGCCCGGGGGACGGAGCCCAGCCCCACGGGCCTGGGCATGACGCTCTTCTGTCCTGAGGAGGACGGGCCAGCGGGCGTCGCTGGCGGCCAGGGGTGTGGGTAAGACAGCAGCGGCGGTCGCCTCACACCGAGGGTGACAAAGGGGGGCGGTGAGGCAAAGCGGGGCCGTGGGAAAGCACCCCAGAGCAGAAAAGAGCCCGGGGGGCGCTTAGGAAGAGGGGCGAGTCCCCACACCCCACAGAACGGGAGCCTCCCCTCGGTGCCGGCCCCGGCCCGCTGCCGGCGTCTCCAGGAACCTGGCTCAGGCCTGCCGTGTGTCTCTGTCCTTGCGCCACCACAGCAAAAGCCTGAGACCACGTGCACCCCCTGGACAACCTGCATGTCAGCTTGGTGATGTCGTCCTTGAGCAAAACTATCCTGATTCTACTTTTCCATGTAACCTTATCGATGCTCTCAAGCCTCGTAAGGCACAATGCAAAGCAAGTTACAGAAAAATTACTAAAAGACTCACTAGAGATTTACTCAGTGTTGATCTTAGAGGTGCAGAAAGGACTCTGGGAGCAGAGCTGGCACAGAAGGAGATGGGGAGACATGAAAAGCCCTGGAGGGGCTGGTCCCAGATCGTGGATCTTCTGTCTCCAGCACACGACACCAGCCTGGAGAAGACAGAGAGACGGAATTCTACACCTTACACTGTGAGGAGGGGCAGGGAAGAACCCACGAGTCCATTCAATTTAGACTTACAATTTTTTTAATTAAAGATTTATTTATTTATGCATGCAAGAGCTGGCGTACAGGCCAGAGGTGCGAGGAGTGAGAGGATTCCCCGGAGACAGAGTGGGGAGCAGAACAGGCAGACGGACTGAAACCCACTGCTGAGGGGAGCAGCGGGGAGGCAGGAGAGGTCTGCTGCGCCCTGTGGGTCTCTCCCTGGCCAGCTGGGAATCAAACCCGCGCTGCAGAGGCTGTGGACAGCTTCACAGCGCTGCGCTCAACCGCCTGCACCACAGCGCTGCGCTCAACCGCCTGCACCACCGGGGAGGCCCTGGACTTATCTTTTAGTTCATGAAAACACCTATTTCCTCATCAACTGTTAATGCCAGGAATTATTAAATTATCAAAGATGCTAATTCACACACAACCTACTGGAGCTCAGTTGATAGGAAACGAGTCCCATATCTGGTGGCTCACTGTCCTGGTGAGGGGCCCCCGGCACACCTCTCCGGTGAACCCCCTTTGGCAACAGCCCGGGTTTTGCTCTGGACGGGGCTGGGACTGCGGGGCGGCAGGAGGACGCTGCTCGGGATGGCGCGCACACCCCCGCGGGCCCGCTCCCGGTCAGCCGTCCTGTGGGGACACGGGCCGGGGAACAGTCGCTGACGCGCAGCGAAAAGCAGGGGAAGTTCCCAAGCCACCCGGCCTCGCCTACGCCCCAGAGGCCCGGCCTCGCGTCGCGGGCCGCGGGCAGCGGAACGGCAGGGCCTGGAAGCGGGGCCGTTGCTTTTTCACAAACCAGGGCGGCCGGAGGACCCGCGCGCGAAGGTGCCCCGGAGCCTCCGCGCCCCCACGCCGCGCCGGGGACCGGCTGGCAGCCACCCGCCGCCGCGCCGCGAGGGCAGGGCGCGCCCCGAGTGCAGAGACCCCACCGGGCCCGCCGCCGCCCAGGGAGCCCCCCGCCTCCCCCGGGGCTCCCGGGCCCGCCGCGCCCCTCGGCCCGTCCCCGGCGCTCGCCCGCTGCACCCCACCCGGTGCTCGGCCTCCCGCCGCCGCCCTCGCCGTCCCCCGCGGGGCTCGCGGCCCGCCCCGCCGCCCCGCGCCGCCCCGCCCCCCCCCGCGGCCCCGATCGCTCCGGCTCTCACCCGCACCCGCCCGCCGGGCGCCGTCCACGTGGAGCGCGGCCTGCCCCAAACTTCCGGGACGCCGGGGGCGGGGCCGCGCCTGCGCAGAGGGACCCGGAAGCCCCTTCCCAGAGTCCCTTGCGGAGCCTCCGAGTGTCCATTTCCCACAGGCCTGGGCGCCCGGCCACGGGGCGGGCCGAGGGGCGGGGCCGGCCGAGGGGGCCGAGGGGGCGGGGCGGGCCGAGGGGCGGGGCGGGCCGAGGGGGGTCGGGGGCGGCCGGGGGCGGGCCGAGGGGGGCCGAGGGGCGGGGCGGGCCGAGGGGGGTCGGGGCCGGCCGAGGGGGGCCGAGGGGCGGGGCCGGCCGAGGGGGGCCGAGGGGCGGGGCGGGCCGAGGGGGGTCGGGGCCGGCCGAGCGGGGCCGAGGGGCGGGGCCGGCCGAGGGGGGGCCGAGGGGCGGGCCGAGGGGGGCCGAGGGGCGGGGCCCGCGCGCGCGTCGCAGTCCCCTGCGTGAGGCGCCGCCGCGGCGGGCGGGTGAGTCCGCGGGGGCGCGGGGGCGCGGGGCGCGGGGCGCGGCCGTGGGGGCGGCGCGGGCGGGCGCGCGGGGAGCTCGGGGGACGCGGCCCTGCGGCCGGCGCGGCGGCCGCGGTGTGGGGGGCCTGCGCCTCGCGGCCGCCGGGCACGCCCGCTGCGCACCCCCCCCGGCCCTGCGGGAGTCGGGGCTGCGGCGGGTCCCCGGCTCGGGGCTCCTCGGCCCGCGCCCCCGCCGCCCGCCCGCCGCGGGGCGGCCTCGCGGGCGGGAGCGGACGCGGCGGCGGTCCCGGCCCCTGGGGCGAGGGGTGCGGGGCGCTCAGCTGCGGGCCCGCGCGCCGGGGGGGGGGAAGCCGGGAAGCCGGGGTGCGCCCCGCGCGCCCCAACACCCAGACAAAGCCCGCGGAGCCGGCGTGCGAGTCTACCCGGGGCCCAGTCGGGGGCGCGCCTGCTCCCGGCCCTGCGGGACCCTCCCCGCCCCCCAACCCCCCGAACCCCCACCCCCCACGTTGCCCTTTTTCCCCCCCTCCCGCCCCCCATCAGTCCTGCCCTAAACCCGGCGTTTGCGATCGGTCTGGTGGGAGGGCACCCCCTTCCCGCACCCCTTCCCGCTCCCCTTCCCGCACCCGCTCCCTGCACGCCCTCCCGACGCGCCTCGTCTTCCTGTCCCCGACACCGCGAGCCGGAGCCCCAACTCCCGGGCCCCCTGCCCGAGGCTCTGGCCGCGCTGGACGCACCTCGCCGGGCCGCCTGGCCTCGGCCGCTCCCTGGGCATCCTCGCCCCGCCCCGCCCCGCCCCTCCGTCCGCCTGACTCCCGGGCGCTCCGGGGGGCGGGACCCACGGGCTCAGGACTGGGCACGCCGCCCTCCCGCGCCGCTGCCCCGCTCACCCACCCGCGCGGGGTCTCCGCGGCCTGCCGTGGGCAGTGGCCCGGCCACTCCTTCCTCTCTGAAGGGGCCCCTCGCGGAGTCTCCCTAGAACTGGCCGCTCCCAGGTCCTGGAAACCCTGCTGGGGAGCCAGCTCCCTGGAGGGGGACCCGGCCGGGGCCCAGCACCCGCGAGGGGGACCGGCTGCCTGTGCAGCTGCATGTGCGCGCGAGGGGGCTGCCGGCCGCCTTCCTTGCTGGGCTCCGCGTACACACCGAGGACGGGCCTGCGTGACCAGCAGGTAGTGGCGGAAGGGATGGGCAGACGCCTGGGAGGCCGGCAGCCCGCAGACGCTGCGGAGGCAGGAAGGCCTTCTGCCCTGCAGCCCCAGGGGAGCCTGACCCCAGCCGCACTGCGCTTGGACTCTGTCCCCCGGCATCAGAGGTTTCAGGCCTCGGTGTTGGGTCAGGGTGTCTAGTACTTTTTTTTTTTAGGATTTATTTTATTTATGCACACAAGAGCTGGGGTGCAGGCCAGAGAGGCAGGGGTGAGGGGAGTCACCAGAGACAGAGTGGGGAGCAGAACAGGCAGACTGACTGAAACACACTGCAGGGGGAGCAGCAGGGAGTCAGGTCTGCTGCTCCATGCGGGCTGCTCCCTGGATGCTGGGAATCAAACTCCCGCTGCAGAGGCTGCGGACGCCTTCACAGTGCTGCGCTCAACCGCCTGCGCCACCGGGGAGGCCCTGTCCTGATTTTTAAAGACCGAACAGCCAAAGGTTTTATTCCCCGCAAGTTCTGTTCCTGCATCGGCCTGCGCTCGTCCCTGGCTTCCTGCGCTGCTGGTGCCCGGATGACATGAGGATGCGTCCTCCAGGGCTAACGCTGAGGCCGGGTGGCTTGGGAACTTCCCCTGCTTTTCGCTGCTTGTCAGCGACTGTTCCCCGGCCGGTGTCCCCACAGGACGACTGACCAGGAGCGGGCCCGCCGGGGGTGTGCGCTCCATCCCGAGCAGCGTCCTCCTGCCGTCCCTCAGTCCCAGCCCCGTCCAGAACAAAACCCGGCTTGTTGCCAAAGGGGGTTCACCAGGGAAGGAGCCAGGGAGGCAGGTCTGGGAGCCATCGTGGACGGCGATGTCCCGAGGGACAGGGACATTGTCTGGGTGTTTTTCTACAAAATTGATACAAAGGATTTCATTGTGTGAACTGGCATGTTTGATAATTTGTTTTTAAAAGGTGTATTTTTTTATGCATGCAAGAACTGCAGTGTAGTCCAGATGTCCAAGGGGTTTAGAGGATTCACCAGAGACAAGTGGGGAGCAGAATAGGCAATTCTGCGGAGGGGACCAGCAGGAGGGGTCTGCTGTGCCATGTGGGTCAGGTCACTGAGGGGGGGAGTTGGGGGGGTGTCCAGCTCAGGCCTCAGTGGCTGCCCTTAGCTTGATAGCTCTGAGACTAACCCCTGCACCACCAGGGAGGGCAATCTTTGATAACTTTAATAAACATCAGCATTTACTTTTATGGCTAAGTAGGAAAAACCTTGGTGAACGTGAAGGTCAGTTATAACCATTCCAGTCCGCGGATGGACTTGCGGGTCCTTTCCTGCCCTGCGCAGGGCTGATGAAGAAAGAATTCTTTCTCTGTGTTCTGTGTTCCCCAGGTGACATGAGGGGAGCTCCACGCGGGAGCATCTGGGTCTAGCCGCAGCCCCCCCGGGCTTTCCCAGTCCCTGCCGCATCCCCAGCTCTGCTCTCAGGGTCCGCGTCCCTCTGTGGTGGCAGCAGGCGATGGCCGAGTCTCTCGTGAGTCACTTTTTTTCTGGAGCTTGTCTTGCGTTGTGCCTTACAAGGGTTATGGGCTTCGAGGCAGTTACCTGGGAAGGCAGAGCAAGGGGCAGTTCAAGGAACGACGACAAGGTGAAGCTGTCCTGCGGGCGGCCTGGGCGGGGCGCGTGGCCTTGGGCTTTTGCTGCGGTGGCGCCAGGACAGGGATGCGCGGCCTAATCAGCCAGGCCCTCCAGCCAGGGGTGCCTCCCCCGGCTCAGAGCACGGCCGACGGCCCCAGACGGGGTCTCTGCTGGTCACCTGAGGGTGACGGGGACAGAGAGTCCCCGTTCATTTCAATCTGGAAATGAACACCGCCTGCCCGGGGAGGTGGTGATGGTTCCCTTGTGCTAAGGGTTGATAAGGGTTCTCTGGAGTTGGAAAACAGTGTGGTTCCAGACACTGGAATACCCTTGGAGATGTGGGATCAGTCTGGAGCATCTGAGGACCGAGTCAACTGTGGGTCCTTCAGTAACTGCCCGCGCGTCCCCTCAGCTGGTCTGTAGCAGGTTACACAGCAGCCTAGTCAGTGTTTCTTTTTTATTTTTAAGGTGTATTTATTTATGCATACAAGAGCTGGGGTGCAGGCCAGAGGTGTGGGGGTGAGAAGATTCCCCAGAGACAGAGTGGGGAGCAGAACAGGCGGATCCACTGAAATACAGTGCTGAGGGGAGCAGCGGGAGATGGGAGAGGTCTGCCGCGCCGCGTGGGTCACTCACTGGCCAGGGATCACACTCAGGCTCTAGCGGTGACAGCACGGAGACTTAATCCCTAAGCCATCAGTGAGGCCAGGAATTACTCTTTGTGATGCATAATCTTGTTCCCCACAGACATCATATATCTTTCCTTTCGTTTAGTTCTTTTTTATTTCCAGGCTTTTCATTCCTGCTCAGACAGTTTTACATTCTTTTAAAAATTGCACTGCAAGGTGTTTTGTGTCTGCACGTTGTGTGAGTCTCTTGGCCTGCAGTCCAGCAGCTCTCACCTGGAGCGCGTGCCCGCTGCAGCCTGGTCAGCATGGCAGGGGCCTGGAGTGCCTCCGACCTGGCTTTGCTACTGCATCGTGTTCCTGAGCACACGCGGCTCCTGTGGAATTGCCAAACACCTCTAGTTCCTCCATGATCACTGAGGAGCTAGCCTCCAGGGTTGTTTTTCTCTCGCGTCTACACTGAACAAGCTCTTGCATAGTCCGTTTGCACGTTCTGGGCATATGCATGTGTTTATGGCCGTGAATCCCGTTGTAAAGTCCTTCGAGGAGAATAATTTCATTCATACTTGTGTTCTTAGCATCAAGGACAACGCCATATATATATAAAGGTAGTTCTTAGTTCTTTTAACACTAATGAGCTGATGCAGTAGAATAGAGTAATTCCACTGTGAAGTCTCTCGAATTGCAGCGAAGGCACAAGTAACGGTTGCGTCGTGTACAAGATGGAAATCACGGAGGAACAAGCTCCCGGCCTCCCCGTTACTCTGGCCAGGGCTGGTCCTTGACTGAGGCGACGTGTGCCATTACAGGGGCCAGTGTCATTTGAGGACGTGGCCGTGAGCTTCACCTGGGAGGAGTGGCAGGCCCTGGACGAGGCCCAGAGGACCCTCTACAGGGACGTGATGCTGGAGACCTACAGTCACCTCGTGTCTTTGGGTGAGTGGGACTCCCTGTGGCAGCTGAGGGCCGGCACTGGCTTCTGTATTGGTAAGTATGTGAGTGTCTCTGAAATCAGGGCTATCTAGGGTTTAAGTTTCCAAGCAAAGAAGAAAGTGGGTTGTCAGCCCTCCAGTCAGAGGCTCATGTTGGCTCTCATCGCACACCCCTTAGAGGTGGCCTGCTGGCGTTCTTCAGAGCCTGAAACCTGAACAGTTTGGCTAACGGCAGTTTCCTCTCTCACCAGCAGGGCATCGCGTTAGCAAAGCTGAGGTGACCATCAGGCTGGAACAGCGAGCAGAGCCCTGGACCGTAGATGCACCCCCAGGCAAGAGCCTCCCGGGTGAGTTGGTGCTCACTCGGCAGAGGCCAGAGAACCCCGGGAGCGTGTTGGCCACACTGTTCTGTGTCCCATGTCCAGACCTTAGGACGCTTAGTCTGCATTTGTCAGACTCATTCGATGTTTGTTCTCCAAATGTGACCCTCACTTGTAAATCCCCTCTGGCTTTTTTTTTCTCTTTAAAGATTTATTTTTACTTATTTATGCATACCAGAGCTGGGGTGCAGGCCAGACATCCGGTAGGTGAGAGGATTCACCAGAGACAGAGCAGGGGGATATAATGAAATCCACTGCTGGGGGGAGCAGCAGGGAGACAGGCGAGGTCTGCTGTGCCCTGTGGGTTAGCTCCCTGGCCGGGGATCAAACCCATGCTGCAGTGCCTGGCAATAGCTCAACAGTGCCAAGACTTACCCCCTTGTGCCGCCAGGGAGGCCCCATCTCTTCTGACTTTTTAATGGCTGTAAATTTTCTTAGATTGAATCAACATCTAATCCCTAACTGCTTGCTCATATAACTGTTTCTTGATTAGTTGCTTTCTCCATTTTACTGCATCCTCATGGGCTATTTTCCTCTGGGCATTTATTCATGCACTTGCTCGTGCTTTCAACATATTACTGGAACTTTTGGGCACTGGTAAATTTTGTAGTTGTGGGGTAAGAGCAATAATCAAAGAAATACCCTTTGTTTTATGGGGCTTATATTCTGTGAGAAAGGAAAGTGAAGCAATCAGACATGTTAAATAGTGAGAAGAGCCACAAAGAATGTCTAACCAGATGAGAGAGAAGGAACCAGGGGTCTGTGTTAGAGCATGTGCCCCGAGGGCACTCTTAGGGGATTGTTTGCGTTGTTGAGCTGTGTTGGCGGAGGCTCTCGTATGTGGGTATGTGCAGTCTGGATTAGAGGTCGGATAACACTTGCAGATGCAGATTATTATGTTGTTATCCCAAAGCTCGTGGGATGGAGGTTACTTAGGGAGTTACTGCGACCGTGAGTGATGACGTCTGGGGTGAAGCCTTCTGCCCACAGTGACAGAAGCTGGGAGATGGAGGAGACCCAGCAAATGTTCAGCGTAGATGGGAATGCTCTGAGACATTGGAGTTGTTACTATGGATTGTGGGTCCAGACCCATGGAACCAAAAATTTCAGGTCGGGGACCCAAGCCATACGACTGGAGGTTGAACTTTGTAATTTCACCTTCTCTCGTGGAAGTCACTGCAAAGGGAAAACAAAAGGCTAAGAAACCTACATGGGATTCCAGTTTCATTTTGTCTTGGAGACAGTGAAACTCAAACATGAGATAATGATCTTTCAGATGCAGTGAGTTATCAAGTAGGAACGCCTGTTCCATGAAATGCAGTGAGAATACCAGGGGTCTTGGCACTAGAGCAATGTGGGAAAATGCTTTTTAAAGATGGTGAGTACAATCTGGGTTGCAGCATCCGAATCCTTTAGCTCAGCGGGCAGCGGATGCACAGAGTGATGAGCCAGAGTTTGCTGTTCCTGCTCAGGTCCCGGGACGGGAACGACGGTGTATTTAATTAGGGATTTACTGAAAACTGATTTGTCTTTTGTATAGAAAAGCGATTTTTCTTTGAAAAACACAGGTGCCTGTAGCCTTTCTCCTCAGAGAAGTAAACACTAAACAAATGCAGATGCAAAATCCTTGCCTCTAAGTAATACTCCCGTTTAAGTGACAGAGAAGTGGCCCAGGCCTTCCACCAGTAACTGCGCCAGGAAAGTCATGCATCGACTAAACATGGCTGTTCAGAAAAGGGCCCCATACAATTTCAACAAAAAGCCAAGAAAGAACCAGGATGAAAATGCAGCCGGTTAGAAGCGCCCAGCTAAAATTTACAACTAGAGTGTAAATGAATATATCAACAAGCTTACTTTATTATGAATTTAAAAAGTAAAACAATATTAAAGAAGTAATTCTACTTTTTTGTCAACATGGCTTGACGTTAGAAAAATATTGATGTAAAGTTTGTTAATTTATTCGAGAGCAAAATCATGCGTCAGAAAATCAACATCCCTTTTTAGATTTTTTTTTTAAAGATTTATTTATTTATTTATACAAGCACTGGGTACAGTCAGAAGCGCAGGAGGGTGAGAGAATTCACCAGAGCCAGAGCGGGGAGCAGAGCAGGCAGAAGGACCGAAGTACACTGCTGAGGGGAGCAGCGGGTGGCAGGAGAGGTCTGCGCGCCATGTGGGACCCTCCTCCGGTGGCCGGGGAGCAGCCGGGGATTGAACGGGCGCTGCAGAGGCTGCGGGCAGCTTCGCAACCCAGCGCTCAACCACTGCGCCACCGGGGAGGCCCCATTTTTAGATTTTTTTTAAACTGTTGTTCTACTAGTGTAAAAAGAACTTCTTTACTTTTATAACAGTTCTTTATGAAATGCTTAAATGATGTTCATACAGATGGTTGTTTTGTCTCATTTTAAGATGTGCATACTGTGGATGCCCTTACAAAGATACTCCAAGAAAACCAGGGCAGACATTTGTGGCAAATTCTACTCAATAGGAAAACATCAGTTAAGGAGAGAACTGACCTTGGAAGAACATTTAATAGTGTGACCCTGACTATAAATAATGGAAGCTATTCTGGAATAACGTCTGATGATTTATGTAAGAACACAGATTACCCTGGTGAGCCTGTTAAAATCCATGCTCTAGAGAAAAGTAAGGGCCTACATATAACCAGAAAATCTCTCCACTATATGGAACATCCTTTTTTTCATCAGATGATTCAAACTTTGCAGCTGCCTTTTGATCTCAGTGGACTAGGGAAAGCTTTTAGCAAAGAAACAATATTCTTTACACATCCAATGCCCCTTACGGAAGAGTCTGCTTGTAGATACAGTCAGTGTGAGGAAGCCTACGATGCAGCCGCTTTCATTGTTGAAGCTAGAACCCAAATAGGGCGGGCTCGCTATACATGGGATGAAAGGGGAAAACCTCTTTTTGATAGGCACATGCATTTGAATTTTCATAGAGATTTTCAAGTTAGGCATCACGAATGCTGTCAACATGGGGATTATTTTAGCAGGAAATTAGATGTCACTCAGCCCCAGAGAGCTCCATCAGGAGTGAAAACCTTTGATAATACATGTGGTAAAACTTTACATAAAAAATCTGTTCTTACTAAGCATCAAAAAAAAGAAACAGCGAAGCCTTATGCATGTTGCAAAACCACTGAGAATTCAAATATCAAACGATATAGGAGAACGATCACTGCAGAGAAAATTGTTGAATATGAAAAAGATGGGACTCTCTACCAGAAGTCAGCCCACCATGTACACCAGAGAACTCACACAGGAGAGAAACCTCATGAGTGTCAAGAGTGTGGGAAGACTTTCCAAAAGAGGTCAAACCTTACCGAACATCAAAGAACTCACACAGGAGAGAAACCCTATGAGTGTCAAGAATGTAGGAAAACGTTTCCCCAGATGTCAACCCTCACTAAACATCGGAGAATTCACACAGGAGAGAAACCCTTTGAATGTCTGCAGTGTAGAAAAATGTTCTCCCGGAAGTCAGACCTCACTGTGCATCAGAGAACGCACACAGGAATGAAACCCCATGAATGTCAAGAGTGTGGGAAGACTTTCTGCCAGAAATCATACCTTGTTAAACATCAAAGAACTCATAAAGGAGAGAAACCCTATGAATGCCGAGAGTGTGGAAAAGCTTTCTCCTGGAGGTCAGCTCTCACTACACATCAGAGGACTCACACAGGAGAGAAACCTTATGAATGTCAAGACTGCAGGAAAGCTTTCCCCTGGAAGTCAAACCTCACTGAACACCAGAGAATACACACAGGAGAGAAACCCTATGAATGTCAAGAGTGTAGAAAAACTTTCTCCTGGAAATCCGCCCTCAGTATACATCAGAGAATGCACACAGGAATGAAACCCTATGAGTGTCAAGAGTGTGGGAAGACTTTCCGCCAGAAGTCACACCTTACCGAACATCAAAGAACTCACACAGGAGAGAAACCCTATGAATGTCAAGAGTGTAAGAAAACGTTTCCCCAGATGTCAACCCTCACTAAACACCAGAAAATTCACACAGGAGAGAAACCCTATGAATGTCTGCAGTGTAGAAAAATGTTCTCCCGGAAGTCAGACCTCACTGTGCATCAGAGAACGCACACAGGAATGAAACCCTATGAGTGTCAAGAGTGTGGGAAGACTTTCTGCAGAAAGTCATACCTTACTGAACATCAGAGAACTCATAAAGGAGAGAAACCCTATGAATGTCAAGAGTGTGGGAAAGCTTTCTCCTGGAAGTCAGCCCTCACTACACATCAGAGGACTCACACAGGGGAAAAACCCTATGAATGTCAGGAGTGTAGGAAAACATTTTCCTCAAAATGTAGCCTCACTGCACATCAGAGAACTCACACAGGAGAAAAGCCCTATGAATGTCAAGACTGTAGGAAAGCTTTCCCCTCAAAATCATGGCTCACTGTACATCAAAGAATTCACACAGGAGAGAAACCCTACGAATGTCAAGAGTGTGGGAAAAGTTTCCCCTCAAAATCCAGGCTCACTGCACACCAGGGAACTCACACAGGACAGAGACCCTATGAATGTCAAGAGTGTAGGAAGACTTTCTGCAGAAAGTCACACCTTAATGAACATCAAAGAACTCACAAAGGAGAGAAACCCTATGAATGTCAAGAGTGTAGGAAAATGTTCCCCCACATGTCAACCCTCACTAAACATCAGAGAATTCACACAGGAGAAAAACCATATGAATGTCAAGAGTGTAGAAAGACTTTCTCCTGGAAGTCATCCCTCACTAAACACCAGAGAATCCACACAGGCGTGAAGCCGTATGAATGTCAAGAGTGTCGGAAAGCATTCTCCTGGAAGTCAGCCCTCACTACACATCAGAGAACTCACACCAGAGAGAAGCTCTTTCAGTGTCACGAATGTAGGAAAACGTTCCTCTGGAAGTCGCATCTCACTATACATGAGAGAACTCACACAAAAGTCCCACGAATGTCAAGACTGTAGGGAAAGTTTCTCCCAGAATCCAGCCTTCTCTAGTTCAGAGAACACATACAGGATAGAAATATTATGAATGTAAAGAGTGTAAACTGTCACAAAAGCTCTTTTTGAAAACAACATAATCAAAAAATCAAACAGGAAAGTAATAACGTTTGGAAGAGACTGAAGCATGTTTACCAGAATACATTTTCATTCTGTTGGGGAAATCCCCTGCATCCTGGCCTCCTCTTACTCTTGAGCTTTGAACAGGCACTCGTGAACACAAGCAGTGAACATTGTTTCCAGAATGGGTCACTAAAGTTAAGTGAGTTCTTCCCAGATCTTTTATGCCCTGTGTTCCTACCTGCAAATGGGCCTCCATGGTTGGCTTTGGAGCCATAAAGTGAAAATGGCATCGTGATCGATGGGCGTGTGGAGTTTCCCAAACTACCTCGACTGTCTCCATTGGTCTTTTTGACTGAGAAGTCCTTGCTGCTTTTGGTTCTTTTTTTTTTTTTTTTTAATGTGTTATCTGTTTATAACATTGTCAGTCCACTGTAGCCAGTTCAGTTTTTGAATTTGCCATATGTAAAAAGTTACCAATGCTTGTGTTCAAAATCACACTGGAAAGAACTGGGTTGTCATCTTAAGTCAATTGTAGGTAAAGTCAAAGAAATAATAGGAAGGGAAGAATGAAACAAATGTGAACACACCTTTATGATACACAAACTGCTTATTGAATGCTGATAAATTAAAAAATTGAAATTTTTTAAACTGTTTAGTTACAATAGAAAAAAAATTACTATGTGCCTGTAACAGGAATATCGTTGCAAAATGCCCTGTTGTGGGGTAAATTTCACTCCCAGTGGAGAAACACTGGCCTGTGGTCAGTATTTCCGAAACCTTTGAACACAGTATTTAGTATTTCTACCAAGAACCTGACTTGTACTCAGAGTACAATGGTTGTATGAAGTGTTGACAGCTTTGAAACCATTTATAAAACGAAGCTGGGCAGTCGTTATGAAAAAATGACTTTAACCTTCTAATTGGAAACCAGTCTGAAGACCATTGAACTGGACCAAGATCTTTGCACTGAACCACATGCAACTGTACTAAGAAAACATGTTTGAGAAGTTCTGAGATTTATGAGTACTGAGAAGCCTGGACTTCTTCCCAGGGGATGGCAGCATCATCCATTTTCATCCTTTCTAGACAGTAAGTGACCAGTTATGTCAAGCCACGAATAGTCCAGCTTGTTGACGATAACTCTTTAACAACCACTTACCTTGTCTTATGTTTTGTTTTCCCATAAAAGCCGTCACCTTTAGCCTTGGGGCTCAATTTCAGTTACTGCTGAATTGGTGCACCCTGACTAGACGTCTTTGAACCTAAATAAACATGTTTTGGCTTTTAACGGTCACCTGAATTTTTATGTTGACAGCACAGAAATAGACTAAGAAACCAGCATTCTTGAGAGAGGTGTTGAGAAACATTTGATACTACTGCCTTGGAAGTTCTGAAGTGTAGCAGGGCATACCATCTGTTCCTTGGTTAGCTTGCAGCGCTTCTGGGAGTTAGTGCCACAGTTCTGGATTATGTGGTCTTGTCATGTTTCTTTTTGCTCAGATGTGGTCAGATTTTCTAACCAGCAACATTTGACTTTTGAAAAGTGTGGGTTTGGACCACAGGTCCACTTATGTGGAGATGGCTTTCAGTCCCTTTTTTTCTTTTTTTTTTTTTGCAGATTTGTGATAATGTTTAAAAACTCGGCCAAGTGTAGACTGGAAAATTCAAAAATATTTTAGAAAGTCATCAGGAATGCAGAGTGTATATATTTCTATATGTGTATACACACACACACAGTTCATTTACTGTCACAAAATGTACTCAAATCTATTATGAAAGGCAAAGTTCATTAATGCTCATGCACACAAATTGCACACACTGCACCAGAGTCCAGAGAAATGTACACAGTGATGCAGTTTACATCCGAACTCAGTCCAACTCAAGTGTTGGGCATTGCACTGTGTCAGCGTGACGTGTTGTCTCTATGCTGCTGCAGCAGCTCTAGCCCTGAGTGTCCAGTCATGCGCTGTTGACACTATAACCATCCCACGAAACTGCCTGTGGTAGAGTACGTGAACACTCATTGTTCTTGCATGTTTTTCTTTGTTTTTGTGATTCTGTAAACCCTGCGTTATCCAGGAGACCCACAGAAGTATTACTAGTGGTGCTGGAAGTGCTCCTATGGGCCAGTCATAATTTTGCAAGAAAGAGATGAATTCCTTGGCCCACGCCCTAATGTGGGGTCTGCATCTGGGGCGCCCACATTTCCAGATCCAAGGGCTTACTGTCGAGACCACCATGAAAGAGGAAAAGGCCTCCGAGCTACTGCTGTCACAGGTGCACTGACTGGAGCCAGGAATTCCTGCCGTGCGGGAAGCAGGGATGCCGCGCAGAGGTCTTGTCAGGATGGCCGGCCCGGGTGGATGCGGGCAGCGCCCGGCAGATGTGTGTTCCTGATGCCGGTCTCTTCCCCAGTGGCTTCCCTGATACAGGGGAGAGGAAAGCGCCTGTTCTCAGTCAACAGACCTGACTGTAACCGTTTTTTGTGGGCGCCGAGGCTCCCTCCCATCTGCACGTCAGTTCACGGGGCGTCCTGCGTGCGCACTGCCCCTCCGCCGCGGCCCCGGAGGCCCTCGGTGCGCCGGGCCCTGTGCCCTCCGCTCGGCCGGCCACCCTGCAGCTTCCCGCCGGAGCGGACGCCGCCTGTCCCGGGCCTCGCGGGGACGAGCACCGCGGGCTCCGGGCGCGGGAGCCTCGGCCCAGGGCGCGGCAGCCCTCCTGGGGCGCCGCCTCCCGGGCTCAGAGCCGGCGCCTTGGGCTCGGCGGGGAGGCCCCGGGCTGCGGGCGCGGCGCGGAGGGCGGCGAGGCGGCGCCCCCGGCGGAGACGGGCCGCGCCCGGGAGCGGGGCGGGCCGCGGGCCGGGCCCTCGGGGCAGCGCGCGGGCGGGGGGCGCCGGCTGCGCGACCAGGCCGGCCGGGCCCTCGGGGGCTCAGGGCGACGGGCACCAGCGCGGGGGGCGCCTCCCCGCCCGGCCCGGCCCGCCTCGGCGCTGTCCCCGCGCTCCGGGCGCCGACGCCTCCTCGCGGCCCCGCACGTCCCGCCCGCGCACCGCGGCGGGCCTCAGCCCCGCCCCCCGTGACGTCACGCCCCGGCTCCCCTCCCCCACCCGGCAGGAGCAGGGCCGCGCGCGCAGGCGCAGTGAGAACCGAAGGCGCCTGACGCCCTCGCGCGGAGGCCTGTGGGAAACGTAGTCCCGCGAGCCCGGCAACGTCCGCAAGAATTCTGGGACGGGCTTTCCGGCCGTTTCTGCGCAGGCGCGACCGCGCTAGCTGGCCCGCCTCCCGGAAGTGCCGAGCGGCGCTGGCGTCCACGCGGTCGGCTTGCGGGGTGCGTCTGGGAGGCCGGGCGCGGGCGGGAGCGGGGGAGCGGGAGGGGCCACGCCGGCTGGCGACGGGGTCCGGGCGCGGGGAGTTGGGGGGCGGGGCGGCCCGGGGGCCCGGCACCTCCGGGACGGCCGCCCCTCGGCGCCGGGCTGGGGTCCCTGCGGTCGGGGCCTCCGTCCTGCGCCTGTCCCGGTGGGGAGGTGAGGGGGTGGGGGGGCTGGGGGGCGGGAGGACGCCGCGGGGGGGGCGGCGGGCGGGACGGCGGCCGGAAGGCGCGGGCTCTCGTCCCTGCCGGCCCTCTGCCGGGCGGGATCGGGGCCGCCCTTTCCCCGAGCTGTCCCGGCGCTGCCCCCCCGCGCGGGGTCCCGGGCATCCGCCGGGCCGGTTCCCGCAGGGGCCTTGGCCCTCACCAGGCCTCCCAGGCCTTCGTGCCGGGGGTTGCGGGGGCTCAGATGTGAGCCTTGTTAAAGGACACCCCGCGGGAGCCCGTCGGGCCGTCGTCGTTTCACGGAGTAAACGGCCCCAGTTCTAGGCCCTGCCGGCCCGCGGCCCGCGACGCGAGGCCGGCCCTCTGGGGTGTAGGCGAGGCCGGGTGGCTTGGGAACTTCCCCTGCTTTTCGCTGCGTGTCAGCGACTGTTCCCCGGCCGGTGTCCCCACAGGACGACTGACCAGGAGCGGGCCCGCCGGGGGTGTGCGCTCCATCCCGAGCAGCGTCCTCCTGCCGCCCCGCAGTCCCAGCCCCGTCCAGAGCAAAACCCGGCTTGTTGCCAAAGGGGGTTCACCAGGGAAGGAGCCAGGGAGGCAGGTCTGGGAGCCATCGTGGACGGCGATGTCCCGAGGGACAGGGACATTGTCTGGGTGTTTTTCTACAAAATTGATACAAAGGATTTCATTGTGTGAACTGGCATGTTTGATAATTTGTTTTTAAAAGGTGTATTTTTTTATGCATGCAAGAACTGCAGTGTAGTCCAGATGTCCAAGGGGTTTAGAGGATTCACCAGAGACAAGTGGGGAGCAGAATAGGCAATTCTGCGGAGGGGACCAGCAGGAGGGGTCTGCTGTGCCATGTGGGTCAGGTCACTGGCGGGGGGGGGGTACAGCTCAGGCCTCAGTGGCTGCTCTTAGCTTGATAGCTCTGAGACTAACCCCTGCACCACCAGGGAGGGCAATCTTTGATAACTTTAATAAACATCAGCATTTACTTTTATGGCTAAGTAGGAAAAACCTTGGTGAACGTGAAGGTCAGTTATAACCATTCCAGTCCGCGGATGGACTTGCGGGTCCTTTCCTGCCCTGCGCAGGGCTGATGAAGAAAGAATTCTTTCTCTGTGTTCTGTGTTCCCCAGGTGGCATCTGGGTCTAGCCGCAGCCCCCCCGGGCTTTCCCAGTCCCTGCCGCATCCCCAGCTCTGCTCTCAGGGTCCGCGTCCCTCTGTGGTGGCAGCAGGCGATGGCCGAGTCTCTCGTGAGTCACTTTTTTTCTGGAGCTTGTCTTGCGTTGTGCCTTACAAGGGTTATGGGCTTCGAGGCAGTTACCTGGGAAGGCAGAGCAAGGGGCAGTTCAAGGAACGACGACAAGGTGAAGCTGTCCTGCGGGCGGCCTGGGCGGGGCGCGTGGCCTTGGGCTTTTGCTGCGGTGGCGCCAGGACAGGGATGCGCGGCCTGATCAGCCAGGCCCTCCAGCCAGGGGTGCCTCCCCCGGCTCAGAGCACGGCCGACGGCCCCAGACGGGGTCTTTGCTGGTCACCCGAGGGTGACGGGGACGGTTTGCGTCACCAGCTTGGCCACGGGCACTGCCCGCATGCTGGGTGCGGTCGGCACCCTGGGGTGGACGCATTCAGGGCCCTGTGAGTGCCCAGACAGGCGTGTCCTCACGGTGCAGGACCTTCCCAGCTCAGGGTGGGCTGTGGTGTGTCGGAGGGCTAGGGGACTGTGGGTCCTTCTGGAACTGCCCGCGCGTCCCCTCAGCCGGTCTGTGCCCGCAGCCGTGTTGGGTGTTCAGTCTGGCGGCGTGTGCGGCTCCTTCCTCTTCCGCCCAGTGACGTCTCAGCTCATTTCCACGCCGCGATCCCACGGCCTCAGTCAATCCAGTGACCGTTCCGCGGCCTTTGCCTTCGTGGAGTCTTGGGCCATGTTTGCCAGTCCCGTCCGCGACCTTCCGGCAGTTCCCGTCTGACAGGTTCTGAGTGGCTGTGTGGAGGGTCTTGTCTGTCTACCTCAGCTCTTAGCTTCTCCCGCCCTGCGTGTCGCTCATCCTCGTGCTGGATCCCGGCCCGGCCGCCCGTGTGGTGCGACGGCCCCGGCTCTTTCCCTGCGGCCTGGATGCCACCTCCAGCCTTTCCGTGCTGTCGGGTCCGAACTGCAGCCCTGTCGCCTCGGCCCCCCCCCACTGCCCCCGGCCTGTCACTGCCCCCTGTTCTCGCTGTCCCCCTGGCTGCGAGCTGAGCTCCGCGATCCCGGAGACGCGTCCTGAGTGTCCTCGCGTGACTGGTCCTGTCTGGCAGGGTGCTCAGGCCCTCCCTGGGGTGCGCGTGTTCGTCATTCCTGTCCACGTGTCATTGACTCTCCCTGGTGTTCCTCTCATTTGTTATTTCCTCTTGCCCTGGGGGCATCTTTGCACATGCTGGTTCCACTTGAGTTCGTAGAATGTGTCTTTTTAATCTGACTTTAGCCTCCTACCGTACACCACTCCACTTGGTCAATCCCTTGAAAAGTAAAGTGGTCATGTACTGTGATCCCTCACGTTTTTGTTTCTTGGGGTGTTTTTTTTTGCGTAGAACTGGGGTGCAGGCCAGAGGTGTGGGCGGTGAGAGGATTCACCAGAGACAGAGTGGGGAGCAGAACAAGCGGATCCACAAATTCACTGCCGAGGGGAGCAGCGGGGAGACGGGAGAGGTCTCCTGCGCCCTGTAGGTCAGCCCCTGTCGGGGATCTGCTCAGGCCATAGTGGTAACAGCGCTGAGATTGAACCCCTCGGCCAGCAGGGAACCCTGTAAGTTTGATGTCATCCCAGATGTATATTCTGGTTTTGTGCCACTTGCTGCGGGGCTCACGCTGACTCAGTCTCTGTGGCTGAGATCCTGTGTGTGTCCCTGTGTTTCCTGCAGTGACCTTGGGCTTTCGCTCATCTAGCCAGATGTTTAATCCATTTTGAATTATTTTGTGCATGTAGTTAATTCCGGGTATTGTTTATTCTTTGCAAGGGGCGCCACATTTCCCCACCCACTAGAGGTTTGTGTTTGTTTTCTCCTTTGCGCGACTTCGCGCCTTTGCCAGAGATGAGCTGGTGCTTCTGCGTGGGTTAGTCTGGGTCTCGGCTGTGGCCCCTTGGTCTCGTGTTTCTGTTTTGTGTGCTTTTCCCCCAGCAACATGCTGTGGAGCCATTTGCTTGGAATTTAATTTGAAATGAGGAAGTGACTTCATTTTCCTCCTTTTTTTTTTTTTTAAGATTTTATTTATTTATTCATTTATTTATTTACACAAGCACTGGGTACAGTCAGAAGCACGGGAGGGTGAGAGAATTCACCAGAGCCAGAGCGGGGAGCAGAGCAGGCAGAAGGACCGAAGGACACTGCTGAGGGGAGCAGCGGGCGGCAGGAGAGGTCTGCGCGCCATGCGGGACCCTCCTCGGGTGGCCGGGGAGCAGCCGGGGATCGAACCGGCGCTGCAGAGGCTGCGGGCAGCTTCGCAACCCAGCGCTCAACCGCTGCGCCCTGGGGAGGCCCCATTTTCCTCCTTTTAACCCAGGATTTCTTTTTCTTTTTCAGTCTGTTTGGGGTTTTGTGGTTCCGCGTAAACGTTATACTTGTTCTGTTTCCTTAGTAAAAGCCTTTTGTACGGACAGTCTTGCGCGTCACTCTGTAAATTCCTTGCAGTTATGCAGCCCTCTCAGTGACGCCAACCCTCCAAGCCCCCGGCACGCACGGTCCTCGCCGCTCTCGGTGAGTTTCCTGCCAGGGATTTCCTTTTTGGCCTAGCTGTAAATGGAATTGTTGCCCGGTTTCCACTGTCTTCTCATGCCTCGTTTGCGTGTGGAAATGCAACTCATTTTTGTCTGTTTATTTTGTATCTTGCCACTTCCTTGTATTCAGTTACTGTCTCGCTTCCCGAGGAGACTGCTGTGTCATCTGAGCACAGTGGCAGTCTCGCTGCTTCTTGCTGGGAAGTTTTCTTTCTTTTTCTTCCTTCAGGTCTTCCGCGGTGATTTCCTTTACTGCGTTGCGCAGCAGTGGGGACAGCGGATGGCCTTGCGCCGGGCCTGCTCCCGAGGGAGCGCGGGCGCCTCTCCTCCGCGGAGTGTTGTGGGCTGCAGGTTGTCCGCGCGAGTTGTGGAGTGTTTTCATAAGTCATTTATTCTCCTTTGTTTGAGCATTTTTTTTGAATGAAGAGATGTTGGAGGCGTTGAATGGTTTTTCAGAATCTGTGGAGCTGACCTTGTCTTCTTGGTCTTCCTTTCTCTTGTTCTTGTGAACAATCCCGCCTGCGGCCCTGGATGCCGTCTGATTTATCCAGGTGGATGATTCTCTTGATACATGGCTGTGGGCTTTTTTCCTCATGTTTGGTTGAGGATTTTGAGGTGAGTTTTTCATAGATGCTTTTTTTTGTTTTGCTTTTTGATTAGGGTGATGCTGGCCACATACAAATGTGTTGGGGAGATTTCCTCCCCTTTTGAGTTTGGGGAATATTTTCATTCGGATAAGCGGCAGAACTAATTTGAAAGTTTTTGTAAAATTCACTGGAGAGGCCATTTGGTCCCGGGCTTTTGTTTTTTATTCCTCTGTCCATTTCAGCCCTTGTGATGGGACTGAGTTGTCTGTTTCATCCTAATTCAGTCTTGAGAGAGCGTATGAATGTAAGCATTAGGCTGATCTTCTGTATTTCTGTCTCATCTGTTGTAATTTTACATCTTTCATTACTGAATCTGTTAATTTGGCTGTCATTTCCTTGTCGGATTCTCTAGTGGCTGGTAATTTTATTTTTGTTCAAAGAATGAACACCTGGTTTCAGTATTGCTTTGGGTGGAATTTTTGCTTTCTGTTTCATTGATTTCTGTTCCTTTTCCATATTCTCTCTGATTTTTGGCTGCTTGTCTGTCTTCTTTTTTTAGTTCCTTCATGTGCAGAGTTCGATTGTTAACTCAAGGCAGTCCATGCTCGTGTGGGTCTGTGCTGCTGTCTGCTGCCCACAGATCCTGTATTCCGAGCATCCCATGTGGGCTGGCCACAGTGGGAGACACTAGTGCTGTTTTATCTGTGATCTCTACGGTGGCCCAGAAGTTGTTCACAGCAATTTTGATTAGACTCTAGATGCTTCGATTTGTTCCTGGATCCTGTTTCTGGTTAACTCCAGCTGTCAAGTATTTTTGTCTGAGAAGAACCTTGACATACTTCCTGTTTGTGTATCTTTCTGAGACCTGGCTGGGCCTCAAGTAACGACCAACGTGCCATTTCAGGGGATGGTGGCATTTGAGGACGTGGCTGTGACCTTCCTTCCGGAGGAGTGGCAGAACCTGGGGGCCGCCCAGAGGACCCTGTACCGGGACGTGATGCTGGAGACCTATGGCAGCCTGGCGTCCCTGGGTGCGTATGACTCCGGTAGCAGGAGGCTCTGGATCTGGGCGTTCCTGGTCAGTGCACGGCGTGCCTGAAGCTGGTGCTGTGGAGGCTCCAGTTGCAGCTGCGGTGCAAGTGGGGGTCATCTCCTGTGTACAGATGTTCACTGCTTTCCATGCTGCTGTTCTGCAGTGTGGGACTGTAAGTAATATGGCTGAGAGTGGTGCTCTTTCACCCACAGGGCACTGCATGGCCAAGCCTGAGGTGATCGCCAGGTTGGAGCAGGGAGCAGAGCCGTGGGCTGTGGAGGAACCCCTTGCCACGAGCCCTCCAGGTGGGTCTGCGACACCGTGCAGGGAGGCTGGGGGCCCAGCACGCGGCGGCTGTGCTTTCTGTTCCTCCAGGGCCCAGCCCTGAGGCTGGGTCACTTCCGAGTCTCGAGATGTGCCTTTCAGGGTGGATAGGAATGAACGAGGTAGCTTTGCCTTAGTGCCTGCCGTGGGCCTCCTCCAGTCAGTCACCGTCTCTGGGCAGATCTGCTCCGTTCTTGTGGGCTGTTTGCTTCAGGCTCTAGTTCATGCAGTAGTTTATTCACTCGAGGCACTATTGGGAGGTTTCAGCCACTAATAATTTGTAGTTCTGGACACGAGAACGGTAATTAAAAGCACACCCTTATTTTATGGAGTTTTTGTTCTGAGGTAAAGGACAGAGAACCATGAGAAATCCTGAGGGGCGCCAGGGACTTGAACCGGAGTGAGAGAAAGGGAGAGTTGTATGTTAGAGCACCCAGCGCACACCTGCTAGAGCGGAAGGTGGCCGTGTCTGTTGAACACGTGCACCTGCAGTCTGGGTTAGTGGGTAGGTTTCGCTATTGCTCACGTCCGTCAGGTGTTGTTCGTTCACAGCTGCTGCGGTGAGGGGGAGCCTGGGCGACTCCAGTGGAGAGTGCTGGCCTGTGACACGGGAGGGAAACCAGAGATTGCTGGGCCCACAGCCGTGGATCCCAGACTGTCCGCTGGGGGTGAGGGCGTCAGAGTCTGGGAATGGAGGCGGAACGTTGTGGTTTCACATTTTGTCGTTGAAATCACCAGAGGAGAAAGAGCATGAGAGGCGCACATGGCTCCAGCGGCAGGGCAGCGAGGGCACAGCTGGGACGTGACCCAAGAGGAAGGTCTTTGATGCCGTGAGATGTCAAGGAGGAGCCCGAGCTCCCAGCAATAGCGCGAGAATCCCGTGGGCCTGGGTGTCAGGGAATGTGCAAAGTGTTTTGAAAGGCCGCCGCTCGCGGGCTGCCCTGCAGCCCCTCTGTCCGCTAGGGCCGCGGGGAAGGGTCCCCAAGTGCTGAGCAGTGTCCTGCAGCTGCCGAGGCTCTGGGCAGGCAGTGCTGTCGGGTCAGCTAGGGGCTCACTGAGAGCAGATTCTGTCTGTTGTGAGGAAAGACATTTTCCTGTGACGTGACCCATAGGTGCCCGTAGCGTTTCCCCACAGCGAAGCAAACACCAAACACAAGTCGGTGCAAAATCCTTGGCCGCAATTAACAATCCTGCTTTTGTGCCAGAGAAATGCCCGCCCCTCCACACAGCACGTCAGAGGCTCGAAGCTCACCTTTAGAGCCGGAGTCTCAGTCTGTGAGCCAACCGAGTTGTGCATCGTGAGGTAAAGATAAGACTAGTAAGCAAGCAGTGCATTCGTTTTGTCGGCATGGTTTGACATTCTTCTGTGTTCATGTCATTTCTAACCTGAGCAGTGAGAACAGTCAAGCTCCTCTTAGAGTCAGCGTCTGTTCTTCGTTACATCATCTACTACTGCTCGATTTTAACTTATCGCCTGCATGCCGGTACTCATGGGACCTGCTTAGATGACGGTCACCCGCTCGACTTTTCTCATTTTAAGTTGTCTGTGCTGCACATAACCTGACACAGACCTACCAGGAACACCAGAGCAGACTCTTGTGGTAAACTTGACTCTCCACCATCAAAGAGCCGAGGGGGGAGAGAGAACCGGCTTTGGAAAAACATTTAGTTTGAGCTCAATGAATAGTCTGAGCCTGACTAGACACTGGAAGCTGTTCGGGAATGAGGCCTCTGGAATGGCATCTCTGAGGGAAACCGCTCCGTGGTGACATGATGAAGGGTGTTCGGTGGAGAGAGCAGATGGTCCTGATGCGAGAAGAAACCCCTGACGCTCGAGCGTGTCCTCGTGACCGTCTGCGGCTCAGAGTGCAGCGGCCTTCTCAGGTAGTGGCCGCGGGGGAACCTCCCATGAAGAAAGAACATTCTTTACGCATGCATGAGCAGCTCGTGGAGAGCCGTGCATGGACACGGCGAGTGTGGGAACGCCTGCGTCAGCCCCTGCCCTCCTCATGCTGGGCCTCAGGAGCGCTGCCTCACTGTGTGTGCAGTCGGGGGGGGGGTGGGGGGAACACGCAAATACAGTTTTTTTGACTCGCAAATACATTTGAAACTTCAAGGTGCTACTGCAGATGTGCACCAGAAATACAGCTAGAGTGGGGGTTACTGCAGGAAGCTGTTGTGCCTCAGTCAGCTTCATAGAATCCTATTAGAAGAGAAATTTTTTAAAAAGATTTGTTTATTTTCTAAGATTTTCTTTATTTTTTTATACAAACGAGAGCTGGGGTGTAAGTTAGAGGTATTGGGGTGGGGAGAAGATTCACCAGAGACAGAGTGGGGAGCAGAGCAGGCGGATCTGCTGGAATCTGCTGCTGAGGGGAGCAGCGGGGAACAGGAGAGGCCTGCTGTGTGGTGAATCCTCTACACCCCGCAACTCTGCCCTACACCCCAGCTCGCATCTGCATAAATAATTAAATCTTTAAAACAGTTTTTTAAAAATCTATTTTCAGCACACACATTGAAAAATATAAAGAGGAAAATCTTCAGAATGTTGGAAAGCCTCTTACTATTCAAATACCAAAAGTTATCTGGTACCAGTCTTGGAGAGTAAACCTTTAAGTCTAGAGGATTTGGGGTTGGGGTCTGCGTGCCTGACCCAAAGGGGCTGGTCCTGGTTCTTGCTGGGTGATGAGAGAACGAAGCTTCGAAACCAGAGTTTGTCAGAACAGCGGGAGTCAGATGAGGAGGACTGGGAAGCGCCCTGGCAGGGGTTGGCAGTGTGTTGCTCCTGAGGGGCAGGGAGCCGGTGTGTAGATGGGCATCGCGGGCAGGGATTGGGGGTTCGGCTGTGCATGGCTCAGCTCTGTGTCTCTGCTGATGGGCCACGGCCCGCTGGGCCCTGTAGGTGAGTGAGACCCAGGAGTCTTGGGATCCTGTGTCCCCAGACGGGCTTGGTCTGTGGTCCTGCTGTTGTGTTGTGCCGATGTTGTGAACATTCACCTTTCGCTGGTTTGGGGCCCCTGGACTCCAGCCACCTGTTGTTCATTCAGTTTGATAAATGGGCTTGGGGCTTGGCAGGGGGCATCCTGGCCCTGACTTACCACTTGTACCCATTTCCTCCCTTCCTCATAAAGCTCACAGGAGAACTTTCTGCCAGAACTCAGCCCTGAGTGTATATCAGAGAACTCAGACCACAGAGAAACCCTATGAATGTGAAGAGTGTAGGAAAACTTTCTCCAGCAAGTCAAACCTCATTGTACACTACAAAACTCACACAGGCGAGAGACCCTACGAATGTCAAGAGTGTGGGAAAGCTTTCGCTTCAAAATCAGGTGTCATGAGACATATGAGAACGCACACAGGAGAGAAACCTTACGAATGTCAAGAATGTGCGAAAACTTTCTCCTTGAAGTCAACCCTCAGCAGGCATCAGAGGATTCACACAGGAGAGAAACCCTATGAATGTCAAGAGTGTAGGAAGACTTTCCTCCTGAAGTCAGGCCTTACCAAACACCAACGAATTCATTTGGGAGAAGAGCCCTATGAGTGCCAAGAGTGTGGGAAAACTTTCTCTGTGAAGTCAGCTCTCACTGAGCATTACAGAACTCACACAGGAGAGCAGCCTTACGAATGTCAAGAGTGTGCAAAAACTTTCTCCTTGAAATCAACCCTCAGGAAACATCAGAGTGTTCACAATGGAGAGAACATCTATGAGTGTCAAGAGTGCAGGCAGATTTTCTCCTCCGAGTCACTCCTGGTAATACATCAGAGAACTTGCAGAGGAGAGAAGCCCTACCAATGTGAAGAGTGCAGGAAAGCTTTCTCAACGAAGCCAGCCCTCATTGTGCATTACAGAACTCACACGGGCGAGAGACCCTACGAATGTCAAGAGTGTGGGAAGGCTTACACTTTAAAATCAGGTGTCATGAGACATATGAGAACGCACACAGGAGAGAAACCTTACGAATGTCAAGAATGTGCGAAAACTTTCTCCTTGAAGTCAACCCTCAGCAGGCATCAGAGGATTCACACAGGAGAGAAACCCTATGAATGTCAAGAGTGTAGGAAGACTTTCCGCCTGAAGTCAGGCCTTACCAAACATCAAAGAATTCACACAGGAGAGGAGCCCTATGAGTGCCAAGAGTGTGGGAAAACTTTCTCTGTGAAGTCAGCTCTCACTGAGCATTACAGAACTCACACAGGAGAGAAGCCTTATGAATGTCAAGAGTGTGCAAAAACTTTCTCCTTGAAATCAACCCTCAGGAAACATCAGAGAACTCACAAAGGAGAGAAAACCTATGGGTGTCAAGAGTGTAGGCAGGTTTTCTCCTCCAGGTCACTCCTGATAATACATCAGAGAACTTGCATAGGAAAGAAACCCTATGAATGTGAAGAGTGCAGGAAAGCTTTCTCCCTCAAGGGAAACCTCATTGTGCATTACAGAACTCACACAGGAGAGAGACCCTTTGAATGTCAAGAGTGTGGGAAAACTTTCTCCCTCAAGGCAACGCTGATTGTGCATTACAGAACTCACACTGGAGAGAAACCCTATGAGTGTCAAGAGTGTGGGAAAACGTTCTCCAGCAAGTCAACCCTCATTATCCATTACAGAACTCACACAGGATACAAACCCTATGAATGTGAAGAGTGCAGGAAAGCTTTCTCCACGAAGTCAGGCCTCACTGGGCATTACAGAACTCACAGGAGACAAACTATGAACGTCGAGAGTGTGGGAAGGCTCTCTCCAAGTCAGGTGCCAGGGCACATACTAGAACGCACACAAGAGAGAAACCTTATGAGTGTCACAACTACGAAAACTTTCTCCTGGAAGTCCAGTTTTAGTGATCATTAAAGGGTTCACACAGGAGAGAAACCCTATGAATGTGAAGAGTACAGGAAAGCTTTCTCAAACAAGTCAACCCTCATTGAGTGTTACAGACTCACACGGGAGAGGAACCCTAGGAAGGACAGGAATTTGAGAAAACTTGCGCGTCAGAGTCAGGTGCCAAGGAGACAAGGGGGACATCAGGGTATCCACACAGGAGAGAAACCCTGTGAATGTCAAGAGTGTCGGGAACCTTTCTTCTGGATGTCAGCCCTCACCGCACATCAGAGGACTCACACCAGAGAGAAGCTCTGTCACGCATGTAGGGAAACTTTCTCTCTGTAAGTCGCATCTCACTATACATGAGAGAACTCACACAAAAGTCCCACGAATGTCAAGACTGTAGGGAAAGTTTCTCCCAGAATCCAGCCTTCTCTAGTTCAGAGAACACATACAGGATAGAAATATTATGAATGTAAAGAGTGTAAACTGTCACAAAAGCTCTTTTTGAAAACAACATAAAACATCAAACAGGAAAGTAATAACGTTTGGAAGAGACTGAAGCATGTTTACCAGAACACATTTTCATTCTGTTGGGGAAATCCCCTGCGTCCTGGCCTCCTCTTACTCTTGAGCTTTGAACAGGCGCTCATGAACACAAGCAGTGAACATTGTTTCCAGAATGGGTCACTAAAGTTAAGTGAGTTCTTCCCAGATCTTTTATGCCCTGTGTTCCTACCTGCAAATGAGCCTCCATGGTTGGCTTTGGAGCCATAAAGTGAAAATGGCATCGTGATCGAGGGGCGTGTGGAGTTTCCCAAACTACCTCAACTGTCTCCATTGGTCCTTTTTTTGACTGAGAAGTCTTTGCTGGATTTTTGGTTTTTGTGGGGTTTTTTGATGTGTTACCTGTTTACAACATTGTCAGTCCACTGTAGCCAGTTCAGTTTTTGAATTTGCCATATGTGTAAGTTACTAATCCTTGTGTACAAAATCACTAGAAAGAACTGGATTGTCATAAAATCAAAGAAATAACAGGCAGTGAAGAATGGAACAAATATAAAAACACCTTTATGATACTGCTTATTGAACATTGATAAAAAATTAGTCTTTGACATCCTGAACATGTGGCTGTAGAATAGGGGCTGCAAATACGGGGTTTGGTAGCCTGAGAGATACTGAGGATGGTACTGACGATGGTGCAGGTTGCAGGGTAATCCTCTTCATAGCTGGGGTTGGTAATTATGTTGTGGTTCTGTAAAGATATTTTCCTTGGGCCTCCCTGGTAGCGCAGCAGGTTGAGGGCAACACTGAAGCTGTCCACAGCTTCTGCAGCGTGGGTAAGAGTCCTGGCCAGCCGGCGAGATACCCATGTGGTGCGGCAGACCTCTCCTGTCTGGCCTGCTGCTCCCTTCAGCAGTGTGTTTCAGTGGGATGCACCTCTTCTGCTCCCTGCTCTGTCTCCGGTGAACACTCTCACCCTCCTGCACTGTGGCCTGTACCCCATTTCTTGTATAAATAAATCTTTCCAAAAAATAAAGATATTTTCCTTGTGTATTTTGTAATGTTTTCCTCCCAGCCTTTTCTGTTACAGGAATACAGCATGTACTGCAGAAACATACAGAACGTGTGTGTTGATTGTTGTCAGCCTCTTAAGGTGCCCCACCCAATCACAAGTTCTGATTGACCATTTAGCACCCATCAGCTCATTTCTCGTACCTGATTGGGCCGTTCTATGACCCAGGAGGTACGTGTGAAAGGGAGATTACGGTCCCTGAGCAACCCCAGCCAGAGCTGGCCTGGGCGGGAGCAGCAGGCGGGAGACCAGCCCTGCTACCCCCAGGCCCTGCTGCACGGGCAGGCCTGCAGCTGAGGCCGCCCAGTGCCTGCGTCAGACTGCAGCATTTGTATGTCCACACGCTTGCTGGTCGCATCGTGGATGTTCTTTATGTCCATTGTAGTCTTGTATGTGCCTGGTTTTTATTTGTGTTTACATGGAAACTCCTGGTGGGTTTTTCTGTGTGTGTGTGTGTGTGTGTGTGTTTGTGTATGTGTTTTACCGGGAGATGGTTCTGTTCGAGTCCTTTATTTAAAATTGGTGATTAGTGGTTTCTGAGTGCTGAAAGTTAGCTGTTCTGGTGACCAGACCGTTATCAGATATGTGTGTGCAAATATTTTATTCCACTCTTTGGGCTCTGTTCCCTTTCTAACACCCTTTTTTTTTTTTTATTTATTCATGCATATAAGAACTGGGGTACAGGCCAGATGTGCGGGGGTGGTGGTGGTGAGAGGATTCACCAGAAGAGTGGGGAGCAGAACAGGCAGATCCACTGAAAAACACTGCTGAGGGGAGCAGCGGGCGTGGCAGGAGAGATCTGCTGTGCCATGTGGGTTGCTCCCTGGCTGGCAGCTGTGGACAGCTTCACAGCACTGCTGCGCCCTACCAGCTGTGCCCAACACCTTCGCCACCAGGGGAGGCCCTGAGTAACATCTTTTAATGCACAAAGGTATACTTTTTAACAGAGCCAGTTTTGTTTTTCTTCTGTTGCATTGGCTTTTGGTTCCAGATATAAGTGATTCTACATCAAAGTCCTGAAGATTAGACCTCCCTGGTGGCCTAGGGGTTGAGTCTCAGCACTGTCACCACTATGGCCTAAGGTCCATCCCCGGCCAGGGAGCTACCGGCAGGGCGCGGCAGACCTCTCCGTCTCCCCGCTGCTCCCCTCAGCAGTGGATCCGCCTGTTCTGCTCCCCACTGTCTCTGGTGGGTACACACACACACACACACACACACACACACACACCCCTCTGGCCTACAACCCCATACTTCTAGGCAAAAATAAAAGCTTTCTGAAAGAAAAGTCCTGAAGATTTAGATGCCCACATTTTCTCCGACTCATTCTGATGCACCAGGTCTTTGCTCTCCTGTTTCATGGGCCAAAATCCGGGTGCGCGTGGACTGCGCAAGTGTCGTGGGGAGTGTCCAGGGCGCCGGGCGGGGTCTGGACCTCAGCCCGTGCGGGGCGGCGGCGGGTGGTGGCCGGGAGGCGCGGGTGTGGGCTCTGCGGCCGTCGGGGCCGCTGGCCGGGCCAAAGGGAAACGCGAGCTCGTTTCTTTCAGCCGCTCTGCAGACGCCCTACCCGCCGCCGGCCTGCTGCGCCCGCAGGAGCCCGCGGAGCCGGGGCTGTGGAGGACGCGCCCAGGGCTGCGACGGGCCGGGTGTCCGGCGGAGCGCGGCCCCTGCGGCGGGTCCCCGTGCGCGCGCTGCGCGGGAGCGGCCGCGGGCCGCGAGCCCCAAGGGAAGGCGAATGTGGCCGAGCAGCCCGCAGGGAGACGGCCCGGCGGGGCGGGCACCGGCAGCGCAGCGTTGCTTCCGGGTAGGCGGGGCTGCGTCCGCTGACGCGCGGTCGTTCAAAGGCCTGAACGCGGCCGTCCGCGTCGGAGCGCGAGGCGCACCCGCACGTTCGAGCCCGGCCGTCTTGGCTCCCAGCGGGCGCACAGGCTTGTGGGAAATGTACTCTCGGCGGCCTGGAAGCCACGCAAGGGTTTGGGGGGCGGTTTCTCCCGTGTCTTCTACGCATGTGCCGCGCCGCCCCTCTGTAACGTCACCTCCCGGTCCGTTCGGCGGAGTACAGACCCGGCGCCTGGGCGGCTCACGGGGCCCGCGTGCTTGTGGGAAATGTAGTCCTTTTAGGATTCCGCTTCCGAACCCCCCTGCGTCCGAACGGCACATTTGGCCGCACAGACTTGTGGGAAGTGTAGTTTCGCAAGGCCCCGAAGGCGTCGCTATCGACACGACGCTTAAAGCACTGGGGACTAGGGGGCGACACCCGAGCCCCACACAACTCAGCACAGCCCGTCTGTCACCGCACCCTCTTCGTCGGCTCTCGGGGTCACAGCGTGCCCGGAACGGAGGAGCGTCCTGTCGGCGTCTGGCGGGCGCACGGGCCTGTGGGAAATGTAGTCTCGCGAGTCGCGGCCGGGTCCGCGCGGGGATCTGGGAAGGGGACCCCGCGTCCACGGTACGTGCAGCTGCGCCCGCGGCCCGCCTCTCCCGACAGGTCGCCTCGCAGGGCGCGGGCCGGCGCCGCGACCCTGTGCGTACCGCGCGCCCGCGCAGGGGCCTCCGGGAAGTGTAGTCCGCGGCCGCGCCGGTCTCCGCAGGGGGTGGGGGGGGACTCCGGCTTCGGCGCGTCGGGCCCGGCCCCGCGCTTCTCCCGCGGCTCCGGGCGGCCGGCGGGGACTCGCGGGTCTGTGGGCGCGGAGGGGCGGGGCGGGGGCGGCGGGGCGGGCCCGGGGCGGGCGGGGCTGCGCGGCCCGCTGACGTGCGCTGTCCGGCGCGTCGCCCGCGTCAGGCGCTGCGGGTCGGCGAGCGGCTGCCCCGGGCGGGAGGCTCCGGGCGCCGGTGGACGCGGGGCGGAGACGGGCGGCGGCTGGAGACGCCCCCTCCTCGCGGCGTTGACCGCCCCGCGCGCTGCCCTGCTGCCCGAGCCGCCCGGCGGGAGCCCCAGGGGCCGACGCGCCGCCCCCGGGCCGGGCCGGGCCTCGCGGGAGCGCGGGCGGGGGGAGCCCGGGCCGGGCGCGGCGAGGGTGTCGTGTTCCCTCTGCGGTAACGTGTCTTCCTGGCCCCGAAGCTGACGAACTCTGGATGCCGCCCGCGGCCGCCCGCCCGGAGGACGCCGGTGTCCTGCCAGCGAGGGGGGTCCCCGCGCCATCCCTGCCCCGTCGCCCGCGTGCGGTGTGAGGCCTGACGGGACAGCGCGTGGGGAGGAGCACGCGGGCCCTTCCTCCGCGGCCAGCTGGCGCCGAGGCCGGAGCAGAGAGAGAGCAGCGCCGCGTCCGTCCGCTGTGAGTAGTTGCCCGTTTTTTCCTTTAGCTTGTTTTGTGTTTTACCTCCGAGCCCGTGAGCGCCCATCCCGCTGCGCGCAGAGCGGGCTGTGTGGTCACGGCCTCAGCAAGGGGAAGCTGTCCTGCGGGCGGCCGGGGCGGGGCCGTGGCCTTGGGCTTTTGCTGCGGTGGCGCCAGGACAGGGATGCCCGGCCTGATCACCGGGCCCTCCAGCCAGAGGCGCCTCCCCCGGCTTAGAGCTCGGCCGACGGCCCCAGACGGGGTCTTTGCTGGTCACCCGAGGGTGACGGGGACGGTTTGCGTCACCAGCTTGGCCACGGGCACGGCCCGCATGCTGGGTGCGGTCGGCACCCTGGGGTGGACGCATTCAGGGCCCTGTGAGTGCCCAGACAGGCGTGTCCTCACGGTGCAGGACCTTCCCAGCTCAGGGTGGGCTGTGGTGTGTCGGAGGGCTAGGGGACCGTGGGTCCTTCCGGAACTGCCCACGCGTCCCCTCAGCCGGTCTGTGCCCGCAGCCGTGTTGGGTGTTCAGTCTGGCGGCGTGTGCGGCTCCTTCCTCTTCCGCCCAGTGACGTCTCAGCTCATTTCCGCCCCGCGATCCCACGGCCTCAGTCAATCCAGTGACCGTTCCGCGGCCTTTGCCTTCGTGGAGTCTTGGGCCATGTTTGCCAGTCCCGTCCGCGACCTTCCGGCAGTTCCCGTCTGACAGGTTCTGAGTGGCTGTGTGGAGGGTCTTGTCTGTCTACCTCAGCTCTTAGCTTCTCCCGCCCTGCGTGTCGCTCATCCTCGTGCTGGATCCCGGCCCGGCCGCCCGTGTGGTGCGACGGCCCCGGCTCTTTCCCTGCGGCCTGGATGCCACCTCCAGCCTTTCCGTGCTGTCGGGTCCGAACTGCAGCCCTGTCGCCTCGGCCCCCCCCCACTGCCCCCGGCCTGTCACTGCCCCCTGTTCTCGCTGTCCCCCTGGCTGCGAGCTGAGCTCCGCGATCCCGGAGACGCGTCCTGAGTGTCCTCGCGTGACTGGTCCTGTCTGGCAGGGTGCTCAGGCCCTCCCTGGGGGCCTCCTGCTCGCCCCCTCTGTGTCCCTATCTGTTGCCCACATCTGAGCGCCCCGGTGGCTCATGAGCAAAACTGCAGGGATGCGCAGCCCCGGGTCTGTCTGGGTCCTGCTCTCACTTGTGCGCCCAGCAGTGGGTTGGGGCTCCTGTGGTGAGTGTTTGGTGCCGTCCGTCTCCTGCACTAGTGTGCTGTATGGGTCCTACCCGTCCTGCCATCCCCGGTGTCCCGGGTCCTCTGAGCTGGGCGTGCTTGGCTGGTCGACCTCACATGCGAGCGCTGCACCCGGTGTGTTCCCCCCCGCACCCCTGCTCACGTCCGACACCTCTGGGGTCTTCCATCCGCTGCCTGGGCTGGGTCCCGGCACAGGCCCCTCAGGACAGTGGGTCCCTGCGCCGTCGTGGCGCCACTGCCTCCTGTCTCGTTTCCGCAGGGGTCCAGCACCGGATCCTGCCACCTCAGTTTCCTTCTTCGCCTCTCGTCCGTCTCAGGCACACAGGAGAGCCTGGCGGACTCAGTCTCTCTGGTTTCCCACGCGGTCACGTGCTCGGGACCCCAATTCCTCTCCCGCCAGCCCCCGGGGTCGGGTTTCCCTGGTGGCCACAAGCACTGAGCTGTTGCTCTCCGCGGCCTTGTAAGGGTCTGCATCGGGTGAACCTCTCCCCTCCTGTTCCTGCAGCCCAGCTTCCTGGACCGGAGTCCCTGAGTGGAGAGGGCGCCCTAGGCCTTTGAGGCGTCTCCTGGGTGGGGCCCTCCCTGCGGCTCGCCCTGTGCCCTACTGGGCCTGTCGTGCTGCCAGGGTGGTGGCCCTGAGCGCTGACAGGGCGCGGGCCCGTGGCTCCGGGTGAGTGGACAGGCCTGCCTGGGTGCGCTCCAGCCCCTGCCCCAGGGCGTGATCTGTGCTCGCGGCCGCTCGGGCCGCCAGGCCCGCGGAGGCTCCACGTTCTCCGTGAGGCTCTCTTTTCTCCCAAGGGCTTGTCATCGGCCTCCCGGGGTCTCTCCCTGTCCCCTCGGCCCAGCCTGGTCGCGGCTTTTTCTCTCGTCTCCTGTCCCCACAGCTGCCCCCGGCCAGCACCGTCCGTTTCTCTCACTCTCTGGAGAGCACAGTGCTGGCTCCAGGGCCCCGGCGTTGGGCCTGGGTTTCGTTCACCCCGGGTGGAGAAAAGGAAGCGCGGGGGACGGAGAATGCGCGCAGAGGGTGCACGGCCGGTGGTCACTGCGAGTGCTCGCGGCAGTGTCGTCCTGCTGGGAGGACCGCGCCAAGGGCGTGGTGTGGCCCCTGGCCCGCAGGAGGATGGTACAGGGCAGCCCCGCTCTAACACGGGGTGCCTGCCTGTGGGTCCTCCCCGCGCGCTTCAGAGGGACTCGCGCTGCCGGCGCGGAAGGGCACCAGGAGGAGTATTTACAGGGGAAGGGGAATGAGGAGACGTACAGCTCAGGGAGAAAGGGGGGAGATAAAGCCTGACACGCGTCCTACCCCTCCATCGGCCTGGAATCCCAAATGACCCGCCGAGGCCGAACTTGCCTGGCCAAGAGCAGGAGCCGAGGGCCCGAGACCCCGCGAGCCCGCGGACGGGGCTGGTTATATTTAGAGAAAACTCGCCCTCAGGCCCTCGCAACCTCCCTTTGGGGAGCCTGGGATTTGTCTGGCTGGAGTGGGGGTGGCGTCCCCAAAGCCTGCATGGAATTCGCTCAGGACATCCTTTCCCCCTAACGGATCCACCGCACGGCAGGCCCGAGCCAGGTTCCTGGAGACGCCGGCAGCGGGCCGGGGCCGGCACCGAGGGGAGGCTCCCGTTCTGTGGGGTGTGGGGACTCGCCCCTCTTCCTAAGCGCCCCCCGGGCTCTTTTCTGCTCTGGGGTGCTTTCCCACGGCCCCGCTTTGCCTCACCGCCCCCCTTTGTCACCCTCGGTGTGAGGCGACCGCCGCTGCTGTCTTACCCACACCCCTGGCCGCCAGCGACGCCCGCTGGCCCCGTCCTCCTCAGGACAGAAGAGCGTCATGCCCAGGCCCGTGGGGCTGGGCTCCGTCCCCCGGGCGCCCCGGGCAGGGTGCTCCCGCAGGCCTCTGGCGTCCTCACACCTCGCCTCCTGCTGCTGTGGCCCGGCCCGGGAAGGCGGCGTCTGCGTGGACGCGGAGCGTCTGGGTCTCCAGTGAAGCCCCCACCCCTCCCGCAGCGCAGAGAGCGGCGCTCTCTCTCCTGTCCGCAGCCCACGGGACATGTCCCGACGCCCCGGCCGTGGCCAGCCCAAGTCCGGAAGCCGAGTGTCCGCCCCCGGGAGCGGAGCCTCACTCCGCGCGCGGACTCCGGGCCTCCGGGACGGCAGCGCCAGGGCCCGCGAGGCTGCTGCTCGGCACGGACGCGCCCGCACGGCCGCCGCGGAGCCTGTCCCCCGCTCGGGGAGGGTCGGCGCGCCCCGCCGAGGGCAGTGGCCCGGAGGAGCCAGAGGCGCCGGTCCGAGTCCCCGAACCGGGTGGGACGTGTCGTTGCAGGGGATGGTGTCGTTCGAGGACGTGGCCGTGACCTTCACGGGGGAGGAGTGGCGGGCCCTGGACGCCGCGCAGAGGACCCTGTACCGCGACGTGATGCTGGAGACCTACGGCAGCCTGGCGTCCCTGGGTGAGCGGCCGGCCCGCCCAGCCCGCGGCTCCTGGCCTCGCGGGGAGACGCGCCTCTGCGGGCCGCGCCGTGGGCTGGGGCGCCGGGGAGTCCGCACGTCCCACCCGCGGCCACGCGCCCCTCCCTGCCGGGCCCCGGGCGCCGTCCCTCTCCCGGCCCGGAGGAGGGCGGGTTGGGGACGGGCCGCTGCTCTCGTCCGCAGGGCGCTGCGGGAACAAGCCGGAGGTGATCGTCAGGCTGGAGCAGGCGGCGGAGCCGTGGGCTGCGGCGGAACCCCCGGGCCGGAGCCTCTCGGGTCAGTCGGGGGCGCGGGCGGGGCCTGGGGGGAGAGCGGCGCTCGCTGGCCAGACCAGCCACCCCCGGGCCGCGAGCGTCAGGCTCGGTCAGGCTCGGTCAGGCTCCGGCCCCGAACCGGCCTCGCGGCCCGTCTCCCCTTCCCGGGGCCGTCCGATCTGGACGCGGCAGATCCAGGCCCGCGCCGCTGCCGGGGCGTCCTCTGGCGCCTCCACTTCCCCCGCGCGGTGGGCTCGCGGCGGGTGTAGACGGCGTCGCTCTCAGCTGGGCGCCCTGCCCCTTGCGGAGCCCGCGTTCTGCTGAGGCGGACACGCCAGAGAGACACGGGCTGCGGCGCGGAGCCCGCCCGGAGAGCGAGGGCGCCCGAGAGAACACGCGTCCCCCGGCGGCGCCCGGTGGGAGCCGGGTGCGGGGCGGGCTGCGCAGCGTGGACGCGTCTGTGCCACGCGGGGTGGACACGCACGGCCGGAGCCCGGGGTGGAGGCCGCGGCCCCGCAGTTCCCTCAAGAACGGGAACGCCGGTCGGGGGAGCCCTCGTGCCCTTGGCCCCGAGGGGTCGCCACCCCCGGCCCCGGCCGTGGCCGAGCCCTGAGCTGGACTCTGCGTCTGGAGCCCAGTGACGGTCCGGCCGGGCCTCCCGCCCGCGTTCAGCGGCGAGACGACGGCGAAGAGAGTTTTTTGCTGTTGGCTGTCGGCGTGTCTGACCCGCGAAAACCTGCTCCTGAAGTCGGTTACCCTGAGTGATGCGGGAGGGAGACGCGGCATCCACTCGATACCCGGTTTTTCAAAATCGTCCTTATGCGGCGGACCCTCCCCTGTGCCGTGGCCCGCACGGGCGTGGCTCAGGTGTCGCCCACGGACACGGCTGTCTTTTCCCCCCTGCAGATGTCCCCGCCGTGGGCGGCCTGGTGGAGACCCCCCGGGAAGAGCGCCAGCGGCCGTGGCGCGTCTCCAAGAGCAGAACCCCAGCGGGGGAGGCCGCTGCCTCAGGAGAACGTGCGCCCTTGAGCTCCGCTGATCATTGCACCCCGACTGTGACGAAGGGCGGCTGCTCAGGGAGGCCTGCGGGTGTGCATGCGTGTGAGAACGCGTGTCCCCCCGGGGATCCTGGCGCGGCAGGCGCCGGGGAGGAAGCCGGGGGCCCTGAACCGGCCCGGGTAGCTGTCAGGGCTGCGGAGTATCCCGGGCTGCGTCAGGGCCAGGCTCACCGGCGGCCTTTAGGATTCAGCGCACGAGGGGACACCGTCAGCAAAGAGGCCGCCTCCGTTCCCCGCGGGACGGCCCTTCGCGGGGACGGCCCTTGTACAGGCGTGTGTCGGGAAGTTTGCCGTGAGGCAGCTCTCGCTGTCCAGGATGGAACTCGGATGGGGCAGATTCACTGTGCGTGTCAGGGGCGGGGGAGTCCTGCTTTGGGGAAACAAATTCATTCATATCTTCACAGAGATCTTAATCAAAATGGGAGTTACCTCAATGAGGAATTTCATGTCACTCAGTTTCAGAGAATTCCATTGGAAGAGAACATTCGCGAATCTAATGCATGTGATAAAACTTTATATGAAATCTCTGTTCTCTGTAATTATCAGAAATTACAAACAGGTGGTAAACCTTATGAATTTGGGGAAATCTCTGAGAATCCAACAATCAAAAAGTACCAGAACACTCTGACTGCAGAGAAACAGTTTGATAATAAAGACTGTACGGGAATTTTCTCCTGTAATTCATCCTTCACTGATCAGCAGTCTCATGCAGGAGAGAAATCCTGTGACCATCAAAAGTGTACAAAAATGTTTGTCCAGACATCATCCCTCCCTGAACAGAAAACCCTCCCAGGAGAGAAACGCTATGAATGTCAGGAGTGTAAGAAAATTTTCAGCCGGAAGTCACACCTCACTAGACATCAGAGGACGCACACCGGAGAGAAACCCTATGAATGTCAAGCGTGTAGAAAAGCATTTTCCTCTATTTCTACCCTCACTAAACATAAGAGAACTCACACAGGAGAGAAACCTTATGAATGTCAGGTTTGCAAGAGAGCTTTCATGTGGAAGACGTCTCTCTCTAAACATGAGAGTGTACACACAGGCGAGAAACCCTTTACCTGTCAGGAGTGTGGGAAAGCTTTCTTGTGTAAAGCGTATCTCACTAAACATCAGAGAACTCACTCAGGAGCGAAACCGTATGAATGTCAAGAGTGTGGGAAGTCCTTCTACTGGAAAACATCTCTCAGGATACATCAGAGAAATCACAATGGACAGAAACCCTATGAATGTCAAGAGTGTAGGAAAACTTTCAACTGGAAGATCGACCTCACTTTACATCAGAGAACCCACACTGGTGAAAAGCCCTATGAATGTCCAGAGTGTGGCAAAACTTTCTCCTGGAAGTCAGCCCTCACTGCTCACCAGAGAACTCACACAGGAGAGAGCCTCTATGAATGTCCAGAGTGTGGGAAGCATTTCTCCCATATGTCATACCTCAGCAAACATCAGAGGCGGCACACAGGAGAGAAACCTTATGAATGTATACAATGTAGAAAAAAATTCTCCGAGATATCATACCTTATTAGACATGAGAAAATTCACACAGGAGAGAAGCATTATGAATGCCAAGAGTGTGGGAAAAGTTACCGCTGTAAGTTAGGCCTCATTGTACATGACAGAACTCACACAGGGGAAAGGCCTTATGAATGTCAAGTGTGTAGGAAAACTTTCACCTGGAGGTCAGCCCTCAGCTCACATCAGAGGACCCACACCGGTGAGAAGCCCTATGAATGTCAAGCGTGTGGGAAAACTTTCTCCTGGAAGTCAGCCCTCAGCTCACACCAGAGGACTCACACAGGAGAGAAGCCCTATGAATGTCAAGTGTGCAGGAAAACTTTCTCCTGGAAGTCAGCCCTCACTACACATCAGAGAATTCACACTGGAGAGAAACCCTATGAATGTCAAGAGTGTCAGGAAAGTTTCTACTGTATGTCAGCCCTCAATTCCCATCAGAGATGGCACACAGAAGAGAAGCCTTATGAATGTCAAGAGTGTGGGAAATGTTTCTTTTGGAAGTCGGACCTCACTAGACATCAGAGAACTCACACAAGAGCGAGGCCATATGAATGTAAAGAGTGTAGGAAAACTTTCTTGCAGAAGGAATATCTCACCAAGCATCAGAAATCTCATAGGAGGAAAACCCTATGAATGTCGAGAGGGTAGGAAAATGTTCTTGGAGTCAATCTTTACATTGCAGATCTCACATGGGAGAACATCCTGTGACCGTCCGGAGTGGAGGACGCTTCGGCGAGGCCGACATCCCAGCCGCGTCAGGGAGCGCACGCAGGAGAGGGTCACTCGCATGTAAACAATGTGGTAAAATTTCTTCTTCAATCCTCAGTAAATGTCAAGGGAATTCACAGCAGAGGATCCCTTTGTATACAAAGAACATAAGAAAACGGTCTTCCTGAAGTAGGGCCACCTTGCGCATCAGGAGTTGGCACTGGGGCAAAGGAGAGGTGTAAGTAATTTAGGGAACCTTCTTCCCGGATTCTGGGCTCACAGCACAGCGGCACATGCTCGGGTGTGTTGTCGGGCGGTTGCACGACGCTGAGGCACAGGCGCAGCCCTCCGCGGTATCGTTGGGAGCGTATGGGAGCAGTGTGAGCCTGGGAGAAGTTTTTATTTTTATTTTCTCCACCATCCCGCGGTTAAGCAAGGGGGGGTAGTCTCTGGGGTTCCCCAGGCCAGGAAGGAGGGAAGGAGCCGGGTGTGTGCCGGAGTGAAGGGCAAAGCCCCACGCCGTTGGCAACGGGACCCCGCGACTGTCTGAGGCGCCAGCTCCTCTGTCCCTGTGTTGGGTCATTTCTCGTCCCATGCGGGCTGCCCGCGCCCTGGGCCTTGCCTGCCCGCTGCTGCCTAGCCGGGCTCCGTTTCTCCCCTGGCGCTGGGGGCGCCTGGACCCTGAGCGTTCACGGCCTTGCCCGTGGAATGGACGCCTGCGCTGCCGTGTTGCGTTTCGTTTTCCCTCCACCGCCCGTCCTCCCACAGGGCCAGTGCTTGCTTGTCCCGTCCTTCCTCCCGCAGGGCCAGTGCTTGTCCTGCCCTTCCTGCCGCTGGGCCAGTGCTTGTCCTGCTCTTCCTGCTGCAGGGCCAGTGCTGGTCCCGTCCTTCCTGCCGCCGCAGCCCTGCGTCTCCTGCCCCTCGCCCTCCCGCGCGCCGGACCCGCAGAGCTCTGAGGACGTGTGCTGGTGTGCAGAGGGTTTTGTGTTTTTTGTTTTCAAAACGTGTTATGTGAATGTCCAATATTGTCTTCATCGGTCTGACTTAGTTTTCTGCAATTCCCTCGATTTTGGTGAAAAGGGCTGGATTTTTCTCTCCTAGTGGTTAACTCTGCGGGGTCCATGTCCTGCATCTTCTTGATCCGGGCATCTGCTAAGGAGGTAGAAGTTCCATGTCCCAGAATGTGTCTTCTTGATGTGGTTTCAGAGCCTTTGGCGTGCTGGGCCATACAGCATTTCCATTTTTTAACATTTTTCAGGTACATCCAGATGGTTCCGCATAGTGAGTTCGCCAGTTGGCCGTCCTCGCGGCAGCGGGAGAAGGCTGCCCGTGTCTTCTCCAGCATTTGTTTCTGGGGCTCTTCTTGGTAGGTGAGAGGTAGTAGCTGATTGTATTTTTCATCTGTGTCTCACTTGCTAGCAGACAGACTTTTTTTAATAAGTATTTGGCCTTCTGGATGTCTCTGGTGAGTTCTTAATATCTGCTGACAATCTTTTTGTTGTTAACTGGTTGGTTTTTCTGTTGTTTAATTGTATGATTTTAAAAAAACATTGTCAATTTAATGCCTCATCAGGTATATTTTGTGTTTTCTCCCATCATCGGGGTGTGTATTTGTCTTACATTTTTCCTGGCTGTACAGGTAAGTTGACATAATACCAGTTGTTTTTTTAATTCCCGTGCCATGGTTGGAGCCATGCCAAATCTCTCTATTGTTGATACCATGGAATATTTCACCAGTGTGTCCTCCTGTGTAATTGTTGTGTGGCCTACACCTGAAATTTAATCCACATGGTGTTTATTTTTGTGCAAGGTATTAGGGAGTTGCCCAGCCGCAGTCCTTCGGGTCTGGACACCCAGTTCCAGCACAGTTTGGTAAAGACACTCTCTGTTCCCATGTCATGTTCGCAGTTGGTTGTCACGTTGGATGTTGATACACGTGTGGATTTTTTCTGGACTTTGTTTTGCTCCATTGATCCATGTGTCCAGTTTGGTATCAGTAACATGGCTTTTAATAGTGTTTCCAGTGAAGTTTGGAATCAGAATCACCTACCTCCATTTCTCTCTTCTTTCTTAAAATTACTTTTGCAATTTGAGGCCTTTTGTGGTTCCATATGAATTTCAATATTTTCTTGAAACGTATTGCTGGGATTTTGTCGGTGATGGCAATAAACTGGTCTGCCATTTAGTCAGCTTCATCACATTGATCATGTTGATTCTCCCCCATACCTCTGCACCTGCAGAGGTTGTCCTACTCTCTAATCCAGTCACTGTCAAAGTTCTTTAGTAAGATTTGTAATTCCTGTGTTAGTCTTTTACCTCCTTTATCAGGTTTATTTTTAGTATCCCTTTGGAAGCAATTATAAGTGGAGTTGTCTTAATTTCTTTTGCTTCTTATTTATTGTTTGTACTTCACTATCTCTTAATATTTATTTATTTATCTTGAAGAAGAACTGGGGTGCAGAGCAGAAGAGCGGGAGGTGAGAGGATTCACCAGAGAGAGAATGGGGAGCAGAGCAGGTGGATCAACTGAAACCCACTGCTGAGGGGAGCAGCGGGGAGACGGGAGAGGTCTGCTGCGCCCTGTGGGTCGCTCCCTGGCTGGGATGAACTCAGACCATAGGGGTGACAGCGCTGAGACTCAACCGCTAGGCCACCAGGGAGGCCTCCATTGCTCTTTAAAAAGCCTCATACTTTGCTGAGTTTGTTTTTGAGAACTTTTTGATGGCCTGTATAGCGCTATGTGACTGACATAGTGTCTATAGATAGTGATTGTTTCCCTTCTTTTTTCTTACTTGGGTTCTCTTTATTTCCCGACAGCTTTTGCCCAAACCTCTCGCACTAAGTTCAGCAGAAGTGGTGGCACTGGACGTCCTTATCCTGCCTGGAGCACACAGGGAGAGCTTTCAGATGCTCACCCTTGGCTGTTACGTCAACTCTGGTGTGCCTTAGATGATCTTTTTTATATTGAGATAGATTTATTCTCTTGCCATCTTATCAGAAATGGCTGCTGAATCTAATCACATGCTTTCTCTGCACCTGTGTGATTTTTATCCTTTGTTGATAGAATTTTTTTACATGGATGGTTTTATATAAAAGCTTGCTTCTCTGGATTAAATGCCCCTTGGGAATATGATGCATGACCCTTGTAATGTGTTCCTGAGTTCCATGTGCTGTTATTTTGTGGATTTTGCAGCAGTGTTCCTCATGAGTTCTGCATGTACTTTTCTTTCATGGAGCTATTTTTTGTCTCTTTCAATATTAGTCTTGGCACCATAAAATATACTGGCATCATTTACTGTTCTTTGGGGTTTTGGAAATAAATCTGAGCAAGATAACCGTAAGATTTACTTTAAAGATTTGATATAAGTCAGTAGTAAAGTCATCTGACCCTGCTCTGTTTCTTATGGGGAGGTTTTAGTTTGCTGTTTCAATCTCTGTGGTTTTGGCCAGTTTTCTCAGCTCTTTATCCTTGTTGTTTAGTCTCGGTAAGCTGTCATCTGCAAATGTTTCCATTTCTCGGTGTTGGCGGAATTATTGGTCCGTCACTGTCCATAGTCATGTCCTGTGATCCTTTGTATTTCTTTGCCATCTGGTAATTTTCCCCTTTCATTTACTAATTCTGTGTATTAGTGCTTTTTCTGATTCAGAATTGATAGTGTTTCTAAGAATTTGCATGTTCTCTTCTAATTTGTCATGTATGAGGTCATGGTCTTATGTATTTTTGTAGTATGATTTGTAATGTTGAGTTTTCTCTCCTTTTTGCTTTGCTTACATTGGCTAAAGGTTTGTCACCTTGGTTTGTCTTTTCAAAGAACTGTCTTTAATTTTTCTTCATGCTTTATTTTGCTCTCTCTCTCATTTGTTTTCCCTCATCTTTGTTATTTCTTTCCTTCTGAAAACTTCAGTCTTAATTTATTCATCTTTTTCTAGTTCCTAGCAATGCAAAGTTATATTGTTGTCTCTCTTTTGGAGAACAGTCATGGGGGATTTACTAAAATGCGTGGCTGAAAGGAGCAGGGGGTGAAAATCCTTGTGTGTTCTGTGAAACAATGTGTGTTTTGCTGTTGGGTGCAGTGAACTGTATGTCCCTTAAGTCTGTTTGTTCTAGATTGTGGTTCAATTCCAACATTTCTTTGTTTATTTTCTGTCTGGATAATCCAGCCGTTGCTGACAGTGTGGTACTGCAGTCCCTCCAGTTGTTGTATGTTGTATGTTCTGCCTTGGGTCAGAAGCATTATGCTCAAAGAGGGCAGAATCCTGGATCTTAGGATACGCTTGGCTCACTTTCCACGTTTTCTTCCCAGAAACACTTGTTTTATGCAGGCCCCCCATGCCCCCCCTTCACCAGGAGCAGCCAATGGCCCTGTCGCCCCGTGATGCGTTCGAGAGCCCGGCATGGGGGAGGAGCGCGGGCGTGACCGCACAGCACCGCCTCCTGGAGGGAGCCGCCTGCAGGCGGAGTGAATCGTCTGGTGTTTAATTGATGGGAACCTGGAAGACACTGTTCATGTTCTGTGGGCCCCGGACTGTGTTGTCTATGATGATGTCACGCTGCCCCGTAAATCCCCAGGTCACTGGACGGGTCCTGCCTCAGCGGCGGGAGGGGAGGGCACAGCAGGACAGTCCATTCATGGTGGGGGGCTGGGTGCCCTGAGACCAGCTCCCCCGCCCAGGGCTGACTTGGCTGTCTCCGGGGTGGTGGGGTGTGGGCCATGTGAGAGCAGCCGAGTGTTGGTCTTCGCTGCGAGTTGTGAGTTACGTGCACGTGTATGTTTTATGCACGTGTGTTAGATGTACATACATGTTTTATGCACGCGTATGTGCACCGAGATTTGTATTAGACATGCGTGTTCACACGTGTGCACATATCAACGTAGAATAGGGAGATACTTCACATACTACCTATTCTGTAGTATGCGTGTTTCATGTGAGTGGGCTATGTATTGTGTGTATGTGTGTGGCGTGTGTGGTATGATTTCACACCATGTCAGGGGGCCTGGCCGCCCCCCGGTGTATCACCCTGTGCGAACGAGAACATGAATGTGTCCTCAGTCGATTTATCACAAATGTTACCTCCTCTGGTTGCATTAGGCGCGGGGGATTGCTTCGGCCAAAGTGATTGCCTCAGCCTCGTAAACTTTGAGTGTAATTGTCTAATATAATAACACTGTTATTTTCATCTTCTAGTTAAAGGGTGTTTTTTAAGGAGGAAAAAGTCTCCAACTGCCAAAGATTTTGTTTCTAAAATTTGTTAACTCAAAAATTACCATATAATTAAACATAATTGCAGCTGATGTTGCCTTATTTGATGTTCTTACATAGACTCCGACTCTCCACTCGGAATTTTTGATGTTTCAAAAACAATTTATTTTCTTCCTGGCATTAACCCATTTTCATGTATCTAAAAAGCAGCCAATTTGGGGGCCATATAAAGCGAGTAGTGAAATGTTGACTTGTGTTGTAGAATTCCTTTATATTTTTAAAAAATTCTTAACCACTTGTGTGTCCACTTTTGCTCGGGGCTGACCACGATCTTTGCTGAGGGCCGAGTTAGTCCGTGGGGCGGCTTCACGTGGTAGAAGGGGCAGAAGCGAAACCTGAGGCGGCCCAGGTTTGCTCCAGTGTGGCGGCGCCCACGGTCCAGCGCGCCGGGCCCCTCCCAGACCCTCCTGTGGGCCCGGAGCCCCCCTCGGGAGAGGAGCCGGCGGGAGCCCCGCGCCAAGCTTCACTGGGGGCTTATGTGTGACTCACTCACTCACGTGACCCTGGGTCAGCTGCCAGGAGCTGGGAACGCCGTAGGAGGCCGGAGCCTGCTGCTAGGGGCGCCTGTCCAGGCCGCGCTCCCGCTGGTGGAGTCACCTGAGCAACTGCCCTGTGGCCGCTCCCAAGGGCATGGCCCCGGGGCCTAGCCTCCTGCGCTTACCTGTGCAGCAGGTAGGGCTGAAGTCCGTGCTCCCTTCCCCTGTAAAAGCCTAAACCAACTCCCTGTACCTCCCTGTCCCAGCTCAGCGTGAAGATGGCGTCTGATGCCGTGGGCCGGACAGCCCGGCTGGTGGTCACGGGACGAGGGCGCGCTGCTGGGAATGTCCTTTTGACCGTTTCTCTGCAATCGGCGCGATGCTTGCGTGGTTACTCGCCGGCCTAGAGGAACCTGGGAGTGGAGTTGCCACACAGTCTGTGAGGGGGGCGCCATTTCCTCTCCCCACTGACACGCAGGTCCCAGGTACAAGTCCCCCACTGTGGAGGGACAGTGGCCTTGCACCTGCAGGCCTTGGTGTCGGAGACTGGGGCGACTGCCTCCCCTTCCTCGTCTCTCATCCGAGCAGGGGGGCCTTCCGCGGGAGCGGGGTTCCAGCGCCAGGACTGTGGCGCCTCCCTGCACCAATCCCTGCTCCGCTCTCATCAAGGCCTCTCTTCTGCTTTGCTCCGGCTTTGCTTTCCTTGTTGGCCAAAGGCCACCAGAGCCGCAGGGACAAACAGCCGGGCGTGGCCTCTGGGCGGGGGGGGGGGGGGGGGGGGGGGCCGGGCGCCTGTCAGTGCCCCGCCATGGGCCGGGGAGTTTCCACTGCGGCCTCTCCTCCTCCCGCTGACACCGGGAGCCGCAGGCCTGGCTGTGGCCTGAGCGTGTCCAGGAGGTGGCGGAGCCCAGCTCCTCCCGCCAGTGGCTGTCGTCTAGTCCCAGGGACGCTGTGGTCACCTGCCATGGTCACCCTCTGGGGCCTCAGCGTCATCCCACACCAGCCCCGTGGGGCCAGGTCTGAAGCCACCACCGACTGTGCCGTGTCCCCGATCGCGCCACCTTCCACCGCGGCTCCCGCACCCACCGTTGCCTGAGACACGGCGCAGCCGGGCAGGGGGCTCACTGCCGCAGACTTGCACAGCAGTGAACGATGAGGCCGTCTCAGGGTTGAGAGACTGCTCAGGGTGGTCAGGGATTCGGTTAAAGAAATGACACACAGACACACTTCAAGAGTGAAAATCTGAATGTGATTTTATTTGAGTTGGTGACCAGTATATATATGTTTTCTAAAGGCATAGGAAAGGCGAGCATCAGTGAAGAAATCCGCTTGCTTATAGGGTTAGCTTATCATTGACAGGGCGGTGATCTACATCTGGGCCCAGGCGCAGTCCTAAGTAGTTAGGCTATTCATTTTTCTTTTTGTTTTATATGATTACTTTTTGTTTAAACTACTCACTACCACTAAATCACTATTAATTAGCACGGGTGAATTTTACTTTTCACAATGTAATATTTTTATCATTAAGATTAATGCTAACAAGGCTAAGCACACAACAGAGAAATTAAGCTAACAGTTCTGTTAATACACAGAGTTTAGTAACGTTTCATTTGAATTAGCCTCGTTATTAGATTTCGTATGTTCTTTTTTAATCAGCGACCAATGACCTTTTTAGACAGAGAGAGAGAAAGGATTTTAGAGAGACAGTTGTATTAGAATAAAGTTTGTGGGCCTTGAGAAGGCGAGATAAGGTTCCCTGCGGACAGCATTCCCTGGGGGTCGTTATCTTTCCACAGGCTTCCATCTTATCTATGTCTTCAGGGGATTTGGCTGTTCTCCCCCTGCGCTCTGGTTCCTTGCCCAGCCGGACCTAGGGATTCCTAGAGGTCACTGCAGGGGGAGGTGCAGCAGGTATGTCTTCAGGGGGTTTTGCTGTTCTCCCCCTGCAGCCGGACCTAGGGACCGTGGCGCAAGCCATTAGCCCTAAGGGTCACTGCAGGGGGAGGTGCAGCAGCTCACGCCTGTGATCGCGGCTTCGTGGGCTCTCACATCCAGGCTCCTGCTGCAGAGAACATGGAGGGTTCCGGGGGGTGAACCCGCACGGCGCGCCTCGGGGTGCGAGCTTGGCCACCAGGGACGCCGGTGCCCTGCAGGAGACGCCCGCCCCGGCCGCCGAGGAGTGGCCGGCAAACTGTGGTCATGACAGTAAAATCACGCCTCTGGCGGAGACGGGATAATTATTTTCTTTTCAAGACTGCTTGGAGAGCAGGAGAGCGTGCCGCCAGCTCTGCCGCCGCTGGGGCTGTGCGCGCTTCCGGCTTGGAAGGGGAGACTCGTCACTGAAATAGCATCGGCCGTAGGAAGTCAAAGCAAACAACCCGGCTTTCCTAGCATCCTGATCTGCCCTCATCCTGTTACTCGTCTCAAGAAGCGCCTGCTCTTTCCTCCGCAGACGGTACAAACTGCGCGGGGCCCGCGGGGAGGACGCGGACTCCGGCTGGACGGCGCAGGGGCAGGCGCTGGGTGGCCGCCGAGGCCTCGCCCCTCCAGGCACGAGGGCGGTGTTGAAGATGCGGTCACTGGGGTTCAGCTTCCGAACAAAACCCGGCCCTGTACTTGCAGGTTGGGATTCAGGGGAGGCGGCCAGAAGGCCCCGCCGTCGGCTCGTTGCTCTGTTAGAGAAAATGGCCGCTTCTTGATCCTCGGTTCCCGAGCTCAGTGACAGGGATACCGGTAGCGCCGGCTGTCCTGGACAAGAACGGGGTGCCGGCTCCAGAAAGCACGGGAATCCCAATCGTTTGGGGCTTGTTGCCCTTGGCTGTGGCGGGGGAGCCGTGGGGAAGCGCACGGTCGTGGGCCCCGGTGGCGAGGCGGGGCTGCTCCTGGGCAGAAGCTCCTGAGCCGTTTACTGAAGCACACAGGCTGGTGACCCTGATCGCACGTCGGCAGTGTGAGGAGTGAGGTCTGGGCCAGGGGGACAGAGGTTTACGGGGAACAGAGAAGGGGGCTCTGAGCATACGTCGGGAGACGCGGGCGTCAGCACAGGACGGCGCCGGCGTTCTCGCAGGCAGAGCTGTCCCGGCAGGCGGAGCTGTCCCGGCCGCCCCCGAGAGCCACGTCAGGTTGGAGGCGGCCAAGGCGCCCACCTGCCCAGGCACGGGCTGCCCTCCGCAGGTGGTCAAGGATGTGCCGCTGGGGTTTGCAAGCAGCAAACAGGCCACCCTGCCCGTGAGCGCTGGGCTCGTGGGGACCCACCGAAGCCGCAGGAGCCGGTGCCTGTTCACGCTGGGGATCTAGGAGGTTTTGCTCCCAGATAATGAGTTTCCAGTTCTGGGGAACCAGCTGTGATTTGTCTCTTGAGAGCCGGCTCAGGCTCCTGGCTCAAGAGTTCAGGCAAGCCTCTGTGTTGTCAGTGTCCAAACCTACACCCTAAGGCACGAAGGAGACAGAGGCTCCAGGTGTTGGGCGGGTGAAGTAGGTCTCGGCGGTGGGAACCTTCCGGGGTGCCGCGTCCCGGGGGAGCTCACTGCAGCCTGGGAGCAGCACCCAGCTGCCCGAGTCACGACCCGCTCTCGCCCAGATGCACAGTCCCCTACGTAAAGAGGCGTGAAGTGTCTTAGTCAGCACTGATGTTGTACAGATGCAGTGTGCGAGTGTACGGACGCCTCCTGCAGCCCAAGTGGGTTTTATCAAAAGCAGCTGCGGTGGGTTCATGGAAGGCCACGTGAGCCCGGCCTCGGGTCTCGCTCGCGACGGCGGCACATACCACTTATCTCAACGTAAGTGCCTTCACGCAGCAGAGCATGAAACGCACTTCATCTGGAGAGCTTGCTCTCGAGAGCTCCCGCGGAGCGTGGGAGGGGAGGCCTTGGGGATGAGGTGATTCGTGCTGTTCATCTTTCTGCCTTGGGGGAGAACCGGTAGCTTTTCAGAGCCAAAATCCAACTGCTCACCTTGGATAATGCAATGTAATAAAAGTGTTACAGGGCAAACCCCGATATAAAATGGGGTTTCCTGACTGTGGGTCCTCACCTGCGCGCTTAAAGGGGACTTATGCACGCGACACTGCAGACACACACACAGGGTTGATACAAGTTCATTTACACGGGCGGGGGGAGTGGGGAAATGAGTAACTCAGGGAGACAAATTCGTACATGCATCCTACCCCTTCTGCTGACCCGGAACCCCAATGACCCGCCCAGCTGGCAAAACCTTAGCACGCCTCGAGGCCAAGCCGGCGACCCCGCCCCTGGCCACCCGGCCAGTTAAATACCCAAACCGAGACTCGCAGCCTCCCTTTGGGGATCCTGGGATTTGTAGTTCCCGGTGTGGTGGGGGTGGAGTCCACGAAGCCTACGGACTTTGCCCAGGACCTCCTTCCCCCTATCAAGGGGAGCGTCCCTCCTGCCTCTCAGAGCCGCCATCCAGAGACGAGCACGCCGGCCCCGGGCTTCAGCCCCGCTCACCCATGGGCTGAGCCCACCGCCCCCGGGGCGGCCGGAGGGGACTGTCTGCCTGGGTTTCCACCGTCCCAGGCCTTCTGGTCTGCTAAAGCTCGGGCTCCCCCACCCCTAGTCTCACTCGCGTCACACTCCCTGAACGCCCCGTCCTGACCGTCTGACTCTTCGACACCCTCAGCCTGGCCCGGCTGAGCCTCGGCTGGCCTCCGTGAGACTTAGCCACTGCTCCTGCGTCGGCTGTCTGTGTGTCCTTGGGGGCTGCCCTGGTCCACGTTGGGCACGGCAGCCTCCTCCTGCAGGTGGCTGCTCGCCTGCCCTTCCGCCCTGGCCAGCGTGTGTGGAGCGCTTGGCCGTGAGCACAGCACAGTGCTTCACAGGCGTGTGCGCGTGTGTGTAGTGCACATGCGGGGGTTCAGGCGGGCAGACCACATCTTCTCACCTCTTCATCCACATCTCCTGACTCAGCTCCCGAAAGCCTGGGAATTTCCAACAGGGAGAGTGATAAAGGGGCTATTGTTATGTTAATGAGGCGACTTTTTGGGCCCCTGAGGGCTTGGAGCTGGTTGCCAGGGGAACCAGCGCTGTGACTGGAGGGTTGGAGCTTCTGCTCCCCTTTCTCGGTCCCGGGCCGGGGCGGGGCTGGGCTGAGGCCAGGCCAGGGACTGCTCTGTCCTAAGGCGGCCTCTGTGGAGACCCAGGAAGGGCCTTCAGGAGCTTCAGGGCTGGCTGGGGGGGGGGGCCCTATGCGGCGCCTGGGGGGGCATGGAGGCTCCACCCCCCATCTTTCTGGGCCCCTCTTCCCTCTGGCTGTTCCCCAGATCGCTCCTTTGTGATCAATTGTGCTGTTGCTGATCCCTAGGGGGGGGTGCGGGGGGGTGCGGGGGGCGGGCCGCAGCTGCAGAGTGGGGCGTGATGCGTGTGGCCAGGGCTGCAAGGCCAGAAACCAGCAAGTGGGGCCCGTGGAGGCCATGTGGGGTGCTCGCCCAGCGGGGCGCCTCGGCCCCTGCCTAGACACACACCCCCCCCCACCGCGCCCTTCCTGCTTCTCCCTCCTGCCTGGGTCTGGTTCTAACTGCAAACCGGGTCAGGGCCTGCTGTGGCCTCCCTCCAGGCTGCCTCCACCGCGAGCAGCGGGAGGGCTCAGGCGGGGCTGCAGCTGCTGGACCGTGCACAGGGGTCCCCCTCTTTGGGGAGCGCCCAGGACAGCATCTGGGGGAAATTCAGCAACATAAACGTCTCAAAATCAAATCAGGAAGCGGCGTTTTCTTCAAAGACAATTTATAATCACTTTATTTTCCAAAATACATACAAAACAGCAAAATTATCTTTCAAGTGCTTCTCCATTTTCTCTACAAAAGTGACTGCAGCGGTGCTTCTGGGCAGCGTGGCGTCCCCCGTCCGGCTGCGGCTGCCCTCGCACACGCTGAGCTGGACGCGCAAGGACACTGGGGGGTCGCGACTTGCAAGGGCGGCGGCGAGACGCTGGTTCTAGGTAGTGCGGGCTGGGCTGTGGGGTCTCAGGGGCGCAGTCACCTGGCACAAAAGCCAGAAACACAAGGCCTCGGAGCTAAGGCTGCGTCCCGCGCTCAGAGCCGAGGGCCACGGCCCAGGCCGAGCTGGGCAGCTGCTGACGACCAGCGGCTGGAGGCGGCGCGAGCAGACAGGGATCCGAGTGAGGCAGCGGAGGGGGGTGCGCCCGCCGGTGGGGGTGAGTGCGCTTTCCTGCCCTGACTTGCCTATTCCTCGCTCTGAGGGCATCTCCCCGCCCGGCTTATCCACAGTCCTCAGATGAGCCCATCCGGCCCGCACTCGGGGGCTGGTGGAGTTGACCTGAATGATCTTAACTTGCAATCGATTTCTTGCTTATTAAAAACAATGTGAATGGGCCTCCCTGGTGGCGCAGCGGGTTTTGCTCAGCGCTGGGAAGCTGTCCGCAGCCTCTGCAGCGAGGGTTCGATTCCCGGCCGGCCAGGGAGATTCCCATGTGGCACGGCAGCCCTCTCCTGTCTCCCCGCTGTCCCCTCAGCAGTGGATTTCAGTCTGCCTGCTCTGCTCCCCACTCTGGCCCTGGCGAGTCCTCTCACCCTCCTGTACCTCTGGCCTGCACCCCAGCTCTCGTATAAATAAATAAATCTTTAAAAAAAAATAGTGGCCTATAATCCGTATTTTAAAAAAAACCAACGTGAATAGTTTTCCCATTAGCGTTGAGAGTTTACAAAGCTCTTTGTGCTGGGAGTTGCTTAAGTAAAAAGCTTAAAGTTTCTTTGTAAAGGGAAGTATCGTGAAATCCACCAAACCATCTAGAGAGATAAGAAATAGGGCAAATCGTGCTGTTTTGAGCGCACAATTCCGTGGCTGGTGGGTTCACGGCCTGACCGTTTGTTTTTCGGTCCCCAAACTTTATTCCACGGCAAAGGCGTGGTCAGGTGGAATCCCTTGGGGTGATGTTCAGGCTGGGAGAGTCAACAGCCTTCGAGAGAGGTGACAAAACCAACATTCCCACACGTGAGCCTCCAGCAGGAGCCGGGGGGCGGGGGGTGCAACCCGCCTCGCTCCGTGCCGTGCTTGTGGCGAGCAGGCCGCCCCGGGGACTGAGAAAACAGGCCGCCCCGGGGACTGAGATCCTGCCCCGTGAGCAGTCAGGGGCTGGGGCCCCGACGCAAGCCCAAGACAATACCCATGAAAGCACCCCTTTCCGGGCTGGCCGGGAGGCCGTGGTCTGGGGCGGCGCTCGGCGGCCGGGGCCAGGGGAGAGGGCGGCTGGTCCCAGAGAGGCGTCTGCAGAGGCCAGAGTGGCCCTTCCGCAGCCCCTGTGGCGAGACCCGCACCCCCTCCCGGTCCCCACGGCTGGGCCAGCCGGCGGCCCGCTGTGTCCTGAGGAGGGCGGGCGGCCGCAGAGCCGGCGTGGCACCGGTGGCCACTCCTTGGTGGCTGCACAAGGACACACGTGTCCTCCCCACGACGCGAGTCCCAGGGTCAGAGGACGCGTCCCGCAGGCCTGGGCTGGGGTCCGGCCCCCTCCGACTGCGAACGGGCCTCTGAGGTTCTCACTTCGCCTTCGTGCTTCTCACCGTTTTGTGGCAACGATTGTTTCCGCCCAAAACTCCAAAGACTTGAACCAGCGCAGCCCTTGGCCCAGCCCCGCCCGTGGGGACCGAGACGTGGGGCTCGGCTCGCCAGGGGGCTGGGCGCGGAGACGGGGCTGTCCCGGGCGGCGCCGGCGCGGCCTCCTCCTTTCTCCAAGAGGCAAGAAGGCGCGTGAGCCACGGTGCGGCCCCCGCCCTGGCGACCCCTGAGCTGCCGCCTCGGGTCCGGGAGCCCGTCGGGGTCAGCTGTGCTCGTCCACGGGCCGGTGATGGGGCTCAGCCCATCCACACTCGGGGGGCATCCTGGCATCCGAGAGTCCAGTGCGGGGCAGCGGCAGCCGGTCACGGGCCACATGCCCAGGCGCTCCGCGTCCAGGGCAGACCCGAGTCCGTAGGGGGGGCGCGGGGTGCCGCGAGGGGTGGGGGGGCACTGCAGGGGATGGGGGCACCGCGAGGGGTGGGGGACCCCGCGAGGGGTGGGGGGGGGCTTTGCCCCCGTGGTGACGTGCGCTGTCCGAGCCCCAGCCCAGCGCCGCCGCCAGACGCGGGTCAAGGCTCCAAATGCCTGAAGATACTCTGGAATTAGGGCTCCGCCGAAAATGGGCTTTCCCGCCACCGGCGCGGGCTTGGGAGCCGTGTCTTGCGTCCATGTCCTGTGTCCTTGTCCTGTGTCCATGTCCTCTGTCCTGCGTCCGTGTCCTGTTTCCATGTCCTGTGTCCGTGTCCTGTGTCCATATCCTGTGTCCGTGTCCAGTGTCCGTGTCCACGTCCTGTGTCCATGTCCAGTGTCCTGTGTCCATGTCCTATGTCCATGTCCTGTGTCCATGTCCTGTGTCCGTGTCGTGTGTCCTGTGTCCATGTCATGTGTCCTGTGTCTGTATCCTGTGTCCATGTCCAGTGTCCATGTCCTGTGTCCATGTCCTATGTCCATGTCCTGTGTCCACGTCCTGTGTCCATGTCCAGTGTCCGTGTCCTGTGTCCATGTCCTATGTCCATGTCCTGTGTCCATGTCCTGTGTCCGTGTCGTGTGTCCTGTGTCCATGTCATGTGTCCTGTGTCTGTATCCTGTGTCCATGTCCAGTGTCCATGTCCTGTGCCCGGGTCCGTGCATCCACGCGGGGCCCAGTGTTTCTCACTGGCGGGTCTGCGGGGCTCGCTCCTGGCGCTGGGGGTGCCCCCACCCGGGAGGCCAGGCTCTGGGCCGACCCACCGTGGTTCTCGGCAGACGAGCGGCCACCCCGGGGGGTTCCAGCTTACAGCCGGGGCATGTTTCAAAGAGGGGGTGCGAGAGACAGAGACCCCGGCGGGCAGAGGAGCCTCCAGAAGAGCTGGCTGCGGGGCAGGGGTCCCCGCGTGGCCCTGGCCAGGCGCTGCCAGCTTGGACCCCACAGCTCTGGGTGGACCCGCCGGACGACCCAGGCGCGGCCAGGCGGACTCTGTTCAGGCAAGGGGACCCGCGCAGCAGGAGGGGCCAGGCCGCCTGGGGAGCGCCGCCACTGGCCGGGCTGCAGGTGCACCTGGAGGCCCGAACTCAAAAGGCCACTGGCCCACGGTGCCCCTCGTCCCCTCGGGCGCTCCTGTTCTGGAGTCCTACGGGGTGGAAGGTGGTTTGGGGGACGGGCAGGATCCTTGACTGTCAAAGCTGGTGGCCCGGCCAGGAAGCTGAAAGGCAAGGGTTCCAGGCGTGAGATGGGGCAGGAAGGGGGTCAGGCGGCCTCATGCTGCCCCTGTGGGCACCGGCACCCACAGGCAAGTCGCAGACCACGCCCCACCCCGGCTCTCACCTGCGCAGGTGCAGGACAGGCCACACCTCCACTCACCTGCAGGCTGCACCAAGAAGCCGGCCCTCGGGCCACCTCTGCTCTGGCCTGGCCTCCCCTGTCACTGGTCAGTGCTGCTGTGTGGGGGCGGGGGCAGTGGTCACTGGGAGCTGCGGCTCTGGGCAGGGGCTGCCGCAGTCCCTTGAGGAGAGGAGGCCGGGCTGGCAAGTGGGAACAGGGGGGCTCATCCCCCGTCAAACTACACACTCTGCCTGGGAAGAGGCAGCGACCAGGGGTAAGCCTAGGGGCCGAGTCGGGGCCAGCAGGGGTGCATCAGCCTCTCCTGTCCCTCAGGTCTCGGCTCCCTGCTGCCGTGAGGGCACAATGCGCTCACCCGAGGACTCGGGGCCAGGGCGCTGCCCGGCCCCTGTGCCCCAACCCGGCAGGCGCTGCCCAGAGGCCTCAGGATTCAGGCCCATGACCAGTCCCTCCCTGACGGGGGGTCTGTGCAGGGAGTGGGTGGGTGTGGGGTGTGGCGGCTCCTGTTTTGGGGATTCTGGGGCACTTGCTGAGTTGGCATATAGGGGAGCAAAAACCGACACCCCCAAAGTACATCTTTGGCAGAAGCTTGGTTTCAGGGAGGGCCCTGGGGCGGGTGAGGGGCTTCTGGAAAGACACTGACGTGGAACCCCCCCCCCCCAAGGTCACCTGCGGGGGACACGCCCTGTCCTTCCCGGTGGAGCAGCTGCACATGGCCTGCACCTTGGACCAGGCCCTGTCCTGAGCCCCTCGCTGCCCTGCCAGAGCCCGGGTGTCCGAGCCGAGCCTTGGGGGATCTGTGGCCTGGGGCTTCCCGGTGCGCTCAGGAGTGGACGGGTCATCAGTAAGCCTCTTCCTGGCTTTCTCTTACAGCCTTTCTCAGGTCGCGTGGCTACTGGCCCACTCAGGGGGGCCCAGAGGGACAGAATCGTGTCCCCTGTGCCCCAGGGCTGTTGTCACAACAGGAAGCAGCAGCCAGCCCCCAGTCTCCAGGCACTAACAAGGGGCGCCACAGTCACCACCCACGGGTGTAAGTTTCCAAGCACCGCAAAGAAAAAGCAGGTGACAGCTTCTATGGCTTATTTCTAAACCAATCCCCGCGCACTGGACTGCACTGAGGCGCAGGGGCCTGGAGGACAGAGTCCATGTCCGGCAGGGTCTCTTAGAAAGCCAGGGGACACCCCTCCAGGGGACACCTTCAGGGGACACCCCCCATAGCACCCTTAGGGGACTCGCCCCCAGGGACACCCCCCCATAGCACCCCCAGGGGACTCGCCTCCAGGGACATGCCCCAGGGGACACCCCCAGGGGACTCGGCGCAGAGCGGGGCGGGCGGCTCACCTCCAGCAGCGGGTGCCAGTGGGTGATGGGCTTGCGGTGGTAAGCCAGCATCTCGTTCCAGTGGTCGCGCCCCAGGCCCTCGGCGTCCAGGCCCGTCCTGCACACGCCGATGACCTCGTTGTGCCCGACCCTGCGCGGGGGAACGGCCGCGGGTCTCGCACCCCCACTGGTGCCGCACACTGACCACGGGTTTCGCGTCCTCATTCGCTAGTTTCTGCTCTCCTGGTAAGCGTGACGTGCTGTCCTTTCTCTCGGCCTCGGCAGCCCCCCTTGCCCGCGCCCCGCACCTGACTCGGCATCGCCTGCGGTCAGCGTCCCTGACTGTCTCCGTCCTCCTTCCTGGTTAGCCCCGGGGGACAGGGGCTGGGGGGTGCTGGTGGGGGGCTGGGGGTGCGCTCATCTCCTGCCGACGGTGACACCCCGCTGGGCCCTGCTCCTCCCCGGAGAGGAGGAGCTCTGGGTGCAGAGCTGGGTGGAGAAGCCCCCCCACCTCCGCTCCCGCCCTGCCTGCTGGGCACACAGCCCGCGCGCGCGGGCTCCTGACGCTGCCGTGAGGCCCGGGAGAGTGTGGCTGTCAGGCCCCCCGCCCCCGCCCGTGTCCCTCGGCGTGAGAACGGCCACTTCGGGAGAAGGAAAGAGTGGGCAGCAGCCCGTCCTGCAGCGGCCCTGGGTGCCTACCTGTCGTAGTCCATGACGGCGATGGACAGGCTGACCTGGTCCACGTTCTCGGGGGGGATGTCGAAGACGACGGCCTCGTTGTACACGGGATTCAGCGTGTTCCTCTTGGTCGTGGTCTTCCTCTTCTTCAGCCGGCGGCCCTCGCACATCAGGGACACCTTGACGTAGGGGTCTAGGGGCGGGAGGGCGGCCGCGGTCACTCGCGAGTCCCGGCCTGGCGCCCTCGGCCTGCTCCATGCCCACCAGGGTCTCCTCGGAACGCGCCGGGCGTGGGTCTCGGCAAGGAGTATTCCAGAAGAAATACTCTGGCGCGGGGGACGGGCCGGTGCCACGGAGCGGCCTCTCTGCCCAGGGGACAATTTCTTGGAGCTGGGCTCGGGCCTGTGGTGCGGACGGGGCGGGTGGGGGGTCTCAAGCTAACGCCCGTGAGGAGCGTCCTGTAATCAGGGTGGCCTTGCGCGTGCCGCCTCGGGCTGCCTGTCTCACAACTCGATGGTTTTGACGCAGCCAGGAGGGGCAGGACGTGCGGTGATTTGCAGGCCGCAGGCCGCACTGTTTCACCCTAAGGCCTTACAGCTTCCTGACCCAAGGCTTCTGCACCCAAGGACACCCCGTCCCCCGAGGCTCTTGACGGCCTCGACGCCCCCCCCCCACCGCCTGTTGTGTGAGTCACCAGCGCCCGGCCCCTGCGCCGCCTGACAGCGTCCTCCCGCGCGTGGCCAGCGGGCGGCCAGTGGCCCTCGTGCAGACCCGCGCGGACCCGGGCGCTCGCACCCCAGGAGTGGAGGTTAAACCAGGGCCTAACGGGCAGGACATGACTTGAAGATTTTCCCAAAACCACGAAGCAGAATTTCCCTCGGGACTGTCTCTGGGGAGCCCAGGGAGACTTGCTCACTGTGGTATTTTTTGAGGTCCCCAGAGTGGCCCAAGTTTTGGGCTAAATGGTGGTAAAGCTGCAGTGGGGAGCGTGGCCTCGCGGCCCGGGGGTGTTCTGCAGGTCAGGTGGGGGCAGTGAACTTGGTCAGCGTGTGGTGGCCGCACAGCCCTCAGTCCTGAGCTGCCTGGGGCACGGGGTGTCCTGGAGGGCTGGGGTGTGTGGGGGGACAGGGTGTGCAGAGGGATGGGGTGGCGTGGGGGGTGGGTGCAGGGGACGGGGTGTGCGGGGGGCGAGGTGTCAGGATGGCGTGGGGGGATTGGGGCCACACAGGATGCCGGGAAGCTGGTGTCCAGGGCCTCTGGCAGGCGCCGGCCGACTGCAGGTCAGCGCTGGGCGAGGACTGAGCCCGCGGAGAAAGACAAGTCAGCGCCCGAGCCCGAGGCCCGTCTGCTGATGACACTTTCAAAAAACTCCGCCCCAGGGTGTGAGCAACGGCTGACTGGGAGCCGCGATGAAGAAACTGAGTAAGAAGCCAGGCCCGAGCAGCCAGGCCCAGGGGTGCCCGCCGGACACCCTGGCCCTGGAGGGGCCCCGCCAGGCCCGGCCCTGCCCCGCCCGCCCCCGCAGGCCCTACCTGAGGAGCCCGTGATGTCCATGGCCTTCAGGTTCCTGCACTTGATGACCGTCAGTGTCATGCGGCCGGCCGTGGGCAGGTAGCAGAGGGAGAACATGATCTCCCCCAGGTCCACGCTCTCCTGCGGGGGCAGTCAGGTCAGCGGCCTCGACTGCAGCAGCCACGCCAGGGGTTCCCAGCCGGCGACGGCACCACCCGTGCCCCAGGCCAGCGGGGCCACCCCCGCCTCAGCACCCCAGGGGCCTCCACAGGGGACTCCCTGGTCTGGCCACATGCCCGGGGACCCCGTCTGGCTTCCACCGTGCCAGTGACTTGCAGGACCCCAGTTGAGCCTGTGAGGTGTCGAGGGCTTGGCAGCCCTGCAGGGCTACACCCCAGGATTGTGCCCCCCATGGCCTGCCCCAGCCCCGCCCGGCCCCACGCACCGTGGTGGCGCAGAGAATCTCCCTCCACACGGACGCTTCCCGGGACAGGTCGGAGGCCTCGAACAGGTTGTCCAGGATCACCTCCCCAATCATGTCGTGCCGGGAGAACCTGTCGAAGTCGTACACGCTGAAGTGCAGCTTGCGGGCGCCCAGCTCGCCGTAGGGGACGGGGAACTGGAAGGTCTCGTCGAAGAGGGGGTTCAGCGTCTTCCTGTGCACGCGGGTCTGGAACTTGCGCTTCCGGTCGGGGAGCAGGTACATCTTCACGTAGGGGTCGGAGGTGCCGCTGAAGTCCTTGGCCGGCAGGTCCAGGGCCTGGATCATCCTGACCACCAGCAGCTGGCCCTCGTAGTCGTAGCGCAGCGCGAAGTTCAGCTTCCCGCAGGTCGGGGCGTCCGCGTGCCCGCCGCCCTCGGAGTCCACCGACCTCTGCTTGTAGAGCTCGGGCTTGATCCGCCCGATGCTGGTGGTGGTCTCCCCCCGCTGCAGCGCGGGCTCGGCGCCCGGCTCGAAGTCTACGCTGGACACCTGCATCTGCCGCGGCAGGTGCCGCCTGAAGGAGTTGTGGCTGCAGCGCGGACACACACACACGCACACACCGGCCGTTAGGTCAGGACGACACAGGGCCCCCGATAGCGTGAGCCGGCATCTGCAGCAGCCAGCACCACCTCACACACATACAACACGCACACACACAACCCCCACACACATGTTCACACAGACACACAAGACAACCGTGCCTGCACACATGACATGCACACACAACCGTCAGGTCGTGGGTGACACAGGAGGCCCCAGGGTCACAGGAACCCACGTCTACAGCAGCAAACATGCACACGCTCACACACACCCACGCACACACGCAGGCACACACGCACGCACGCAGGCAGGCAGCTCGCTGGTGACAGCGCTACATGGTGAGATGCTGCCCCAGGCAGGTGCCCTGAGCGTGCCATCCACGCCTGCTCTCACGCCCCGGCCTCGGCCAGCTGAGCCGCGGGTCGTGGAAGCTCGGACCCCACCCTCTTGCCCCCACTGGTGTCCTCACGTCGCCCCAATCTCGAGCAAACTAGTCCTCCCTCCCCTGGCTCTTGGGCCAGGCGCCGCTGCCCATGTCTGCCGGGGCGCTCACACCTGCACCCCGAGTTGCTCCAGGTGGCCCCCGGATGAACATCCCCACACAGGACGTTGGACAGAGGGGTGGGAGGCGCCAGCTGGGCCTGTTGGCAAACACGCGATTTCCAGGAGTCTGCAAAACCCCTGCCTCTGTGATAACCCCGCGGTCTCAGGGTTCAAGCTGTCGTCGTTACAGTTACACTGAAGTGGAACTCGTCAGGGCCAGAGTCGTAACTGAATGTGTCTCTCACATTCGAGCAGCGTCCTTCCCGGGGCTGGGCTGCCCTCCTCCTTCGGCCGCTAGTGGGTGGCAGCCCCCGGCCCGCCATCCAGCCGGCCGCGGCGCGGGAAACCGCAGCCCTCCCGCGAGCCCCCAGCTCACTGCACAGCGCAGCTCGGGCACGGCGCACGGGCACGGGGCGGGCCCCAGCCACACCCCTGTGGCATGGGGGGGCGATCTGTTTTCTGCTTGAAGGGGGCTCAGGGGTGTCGTGGAGAGTTACGTGGAAGGAGGGGACTGCAGATGAGGCCTGCGGAGTGCCGAGGCGCGCCGAGGGGCGGGACTGCGTGTGGGGTCGGTGACGGGGACCCGCGAGGCCGGAGACACAAGCACGTGTCCGCCGCGCGATCCTAGACATTGAGCTTCTGACCTTGCGGGGAGGGGGGGAGTCGCTGGCCTCCCAGGTCTCCACCTCCCGGGGCCCATCCCCTGGGAGGCCCTTCCCCGAGGGCCCCTGGCGTGGACACGGAGCCCAGCGGGGGAGAAGGGCGCCCACAGTCGCTGGGAGGTGGTGCCCGGCGTGGACTGGCCGCTTCCGCTGGGAACACCCCGCCCGCCGGTGCCGCAGGCCCCGGGCAGCGCCTCGGAGGGGGCTCCACACGCCAGCGCCGCCCCTGCCCGGGCACGCCCTGTCTCCGGCCCGGAGCCCGCTGACCAGACTCTGCACTTGGGCCCGGGTGCCTCGTCTCGCGGGGGGCGGAGAGCCCCGAGACCCTGCCGCCCCGGCTCTGCGCGGTCGCTGGCGCTGGCCGCAGAGGGGCTCGCGTGAGGTCGACGGCCCAGGCCCGGCAGGCGCGCACCTTGCAGCGAGATACTCGGATGCGTCGCCCGTGGGCGGTGCACACCTCACAGAGAGGCAAAGAGGGAAAACAGCTCTGACCAAGGCCGGGGGGCCGAGGAGCTGCCCCCGGCCTGTCCCGGCAGAGACACCCCGTCTGATTACCTTCCCCAACGCCGGTCACTCTGCTGGGCGGCCACGCAGACGAGACATTCCGTGTGCTTTCCTGTCACTCCTTGCACTTAGCGTCATGATGGATGAGAAAATCGTGTAATTCACTACGCGCCGAAGTTCCTCGTGGAAGAGCCCGAGATGTATTTTTAGATGCGCTTTTAACGGCCTCGCTGGGTCCCGAGCGCTGGGAAAGAGCAAGGCCGCTCCGTCTGTGGGACCCGATCACACAGGCACCGCGCCCCCGCGCCTCAGCCGGGCACGCGTGCCAGAGGCATGCTTGGGAGGGGCCACGCAGCCAGCTGTCCGCCGAGCCGCGGGGTCATCGCGGATCCCCGTGCGAGGCGACGAGGCTGCAGCTGGAGCCTGCCTGTGCCGCCTCCACCCTGGCGCGGGAGCAGCTCCGGCCCGTCGACTCGGGGTTTGTTCTGGTCTGAGTGGCGTGCGGGGTCTTCATGGCCTTCAAGTGTGAGGCCCGTTTCCTGGACGCCGTGGCTCCGTGGCCTGGGCAGGCTGGGAGGCCCTGACCCTGAACGCAGCAGCAGCTCCACAGGCCCAGCGGGCAGGACCCGGGCGGGCAGGGTCAGGGCGGCACCAGCATGCGAGCAGCCAGCCTGGAGGCCCGGCGGGGCCGGGCGGAGCCTGCAGGTGTGGGGGCTGGAGGAGCCGCTCCCAGGGGCCCGAGCGCCCGACATGACCTGGTTTCTGCCGGTACCACCTTCACTTGGCAAAGATTTTTGATTAAAAAAATGCGTTGTGAGTCAACCCCCCAAGAACTTAATTCCTTATTTCTTATAGACTGGACCCTTATTTCACACACTCGCTTTTCAAAATAGAAAATTGCATCTCCTGTTGTCCTCAAAACCGGGACTCCCGTCCCCTGCCCCAGACAGAGCGGGGGTTCGGGCCGAGCCTGCGCCCTCAGCACGCGGGGGGGGGGGGGGGGGGGGCGTGCTCCGAGCCAGCGCGAAGGCTAAGAGGAGCTGTAATTAGCACAGTGTTCAACCATCGCCATGACAACACACGTCTCGGCTTCCTTCTTGCTCTTTTTTCTTCTCCTTCCCTCTTTCGGGGTGACAGTGACAAGCAAGTGGCTGTTTCGACTCAGATAAATACCCCGTCAGGGTACCCGCCGCCTGCCCGTCGCTGCTCCCGCCTCCTTCCCCGGGGGCGGAGGCCCCGCAGGGCCTGAGCTGGCCGGAGCCGCCAGCAACAAGGGGCTGTGTCCCCCAGCGACTCCCAGGTTTCTGTCCGGACAGATTCTCACACCGGGCAGAGGCCGGGAGCTGCGGGCGGGTGCCTGGGACCCACCGGGAGCCCGCGTCGCCCCCGTGGAGACAGATCCCTCCAGAGGTGGGGGGGCAGGGCCAGAGGCCCCTGGGCCCTGCTTTCCTGGACAGGTCACGTACCGGCGCGGCCCTGGGGCCCCGCAGACTCCCGCCACCCCCCCTCGCTCGGCCTCAGCCTCAGCTCAGCCTCCGGCCGCCGTACTACCTCCCAGGAGCTGAGACCTGCCGCCCGGCCTCGCCCCCCACCGCGCTGTCCCTCGACCCCGGCGGCGGGTCAGCGCCCGAGGTCAGAACGCACTGAGTCACTGCTCTGCGCCGAGGACTCGCTGCCAGGTTGCTCTGGAACCGTAATTCACGAGACAAATGGCCAGTTTCTCTGAAATACTGGCCCCTGACCTTTTCCACGGTCAAAAAATGTTTCCATCACAAGAGTCAGTAACGGTTGCTCCTGCTCTTGCATATATTTCAGGGGACGCATAGGAAGTCCCTTTGGAGAACATCCCTGGTAGCTTCTGACCTACGAGGAAAGTTCTGAGGACACGGGTTGATGCTCGGAGCAGAGCTGTCGCTGGCGGATAACAGCAGGTCGAAAAAATAAATCCAAGAACACCGGTTCTTCCAGCCTGGATCATGGATTCCCGCGCTGCGCGGCGAGACCAGGCCTGGAGGGAAGCATCTCGGCTGCCCCTGGCCGGCCCGCCCGCCTGGGCCTCCGGCCGCAGCTCCGCACGAGGCGACCGTTGTGTTGGAACCCGCAGGCTCAGACCTGGCCCGGCCCGCCGCGGCCCAGACTGCGGTCTCGCGGGGGCAGCGCCTGAACTCGTCGTGCTCTGAATTTCATAAAAACCCGTGCCGGGGGGGGCCTCCCTGGCGGCCTCAGGGTTGAGTCTGAGAAGCGGGCACCACCGGTTTCCCCCAGGGACTGCGCTGGGGCCGCACTGGCCGTCCCCACCCCCACCCCCGTTTCTCCAGCAGCCGCGCAGGGCCAGACCCCCGAGCCGGCCCCCAAACTCGGTCCCGGGGGACTGGGGGGCCTCTGCCTTTGTGGGGACCCTGCACAGGTGTGGCCGCGCCCCGCTCTCCCGTGGAGTCTCCATCTCCACACGTGGCATTTGGAGAGTTTCGTTTCCCTGAGGTTTCCAAAAAGACTCTGGGCAGAGGGCGGCTCGTCGCTGGAGGGTCCCGTCTGCAGCGTGTGCTCAGAGACGCGTTCGTGTTTCCACAGCGCCCTGCGGACTCGCCAGCGCGTCACCCCGAACTGCGAGCATGGGAGGCTTCCTGAATAGTGCCGTGGCCGCAGTTTGCAGCGGTGGCTCCAGTCACTTCTAGCAGCGCATCCGATTTTGACAAGGCAGTTCGGGTGCGGCTTCAGCGAGCGGGGGCCTCGCGGCATCTCGCGCCGGCCGGCCGCTGAGCGGTGTGCACTCGCTGTCAGTCTCCACTGCTCGCTCCGCGCACTTGCTGGTGGCCGCTCGCCCTGCCTGCTCGAGGCCGCGCCACCACGCGTGTCAGAGCCAGCCCGGAGGCTGCCAGGGGCAGTCAGGAGCAGGTGCAGCCCAGCGAGCGGCCTCTCCGCCAGGTCCCGCGGGGCTTCCCTCTCTCAGGTGTGCTGCGCCCCTGCCCCGCAACAACCCGCCCCACCATGCCCCCATCTGCTTCTTCCTCACGGCTTCGCTGCTTCTTCCCGCCTCAGTTTTCTCTCAAGAAATCATACATGTTTATACACACCCACCTGCACACGCGCCTGCACTCACCTGCACATGTTCACACCTGCACATGCACCTGCACGTACACGCACCTCTATTTCCTGCACCTGCCCACTTACCTGGACACACACATACCTGTATGCACCTGCATCTGCATACGTACCCGGACACACACCTGCACCTGCACACACACCTGTATGGACCTGCACATGCTCACACCTGCACACACACCTGCACACACATGATCCAGTGGCACGTGCTCGCCAGTTCTTACCGGGAGGACGGCGTGGGGTCGGTGGTCTGCCTCTGCACGCGTGCATTCTTGGCCAGGTGCTCCCTCAGGGCGGTCTGCACGGCCGCGGGGATGTCGGGGGAGGTGTGGCTGATCTTTATCGCGGGCTCGGTGGCTCTCAGCGCGGGCTTTCCGTCCTCTGCCGCCTCCTTTTTCTCCTCGGCTTCGCACGGCTCAGCGGATGCGGAGCTAGACACGCTCTGGGGCAGCGCGGCTGCGCCGGGGACTGCGGGCTTAGTCCTCCAGCTGGGCCAGCACAGCTTCCAGAAGACGAACACGGAGACCACCAGCAGGGCCAGGCCGCAGAAGCTGACCACGACAGCCAGCAGGCTGACGGAAATGTCTGGAAGAGATCACAGAGCAGAGGAGTTCACAGCCACACACACAGACGGCAGAAGTGCAGAGATTTCATTACGATGACAAATTTTCTAGACTCAGGGTTTCAAAGTTTGCTTTGCAGGCAAGAGAGATCAGTAAGACGCCTGGAAACTCAGAGGAGATATTTTTAAAACGCCATCCCGGGGACACCTCAGTTGCACACAGGAAACCCTCAGCACACGTGACCCGTTTCCAGGCGCTTGGGCCTGAGGGGTAGAACAGGGCGGCTGCCCCGCCCCACTCCCCCCAAGCAGGAGCCCTGGAAGCCAGGGAGCCCAGCCCTGAGGTGTGTGTCAGCCACAGCGGCCACCAGGCTCTGCACCCGAGGCCCAGACGGCGCCCTTTCCAGCAGCCTCGTGTTCCTGCCTCACGTCCGCCACCTCCTGGCTCGGGTGCCACCGGCTGACGGCACGCGAGGGAATGTGCCTGCAGACCCAGGGGTTACAAGTCCACTGGAAAGAGAGACGTTTATTTTTACTTCTTTTATTATTAACAAAGAGAACACACGGTCAGCGCGCTTTCCAGCATTAACTGTGCGCGGCGACGCTGCCTGCGCGACCTCCACGCATTCCAGCTCGACCGCACCTCACCACGCGCTCCGGGGCAGCTCTACCAACGGCCGCCCCGCGTCCAGCAAGGCCTCCGCCGGGCTTCCCAGCACCTGGGCTCACTTCTTGTCGCTGCCGCATTTCATGACTGACGGTATTTCACGCGTGTTCCTGGGGACCGGTGACCCTCCTGGTCTCTGAGGTCGAGGCCGCGGCCCACACCCACCCTGAGCACCCGGGGCCCTGAGAACGGTGACGAGTGGCTCCGCCTGGGTCTGTTATGGGACAGCAAGGCCCGGGCGGCAGCACAAGTCACCACAGGGTCACCTGCCACCGCCAGTCCCTGCTCAGAACAGGCTGCCCGCTGCCCGGGGTGCCAGGGTCCGGCGGGATGGACAGAGACCAGGGCACCATGGCGCCTGCCCTGCAGCCCAGGGCGAGGCTCGTTGCACATCCCCCGTGGCCTCAGCTGCCGGGGCTGGTGACCGCTGGGGTCTAGGCCGTTGACGGGGAGCTCTAGGGGTCTCCTTGCAGCGGGACCCAGACACACAGGACAGGGCCTGGCTCGGGCGAGACCCCTGATGGTGCCCACACGCTGGGGGGGCTCTGGCACCACGGACCTTGGCGCCCCTCGTGCCCTCGCCCTGGCATCCACGGTGGTTCTCGTCTCTCTCCGTGGGGGCCCCTCATGTGGACTGTCCCCCGCTGACCGCCTGCCAGGCGGCTCTGCCTCCCATGCCACTGCCCTCTTGCCCTGGGGTGTGGCGACACCCCCCCCCAATGTGTGCGAGTGACTGGCCGCAGTTCCCCGGCAGGCGCCACGAGCAGCCGTCTGGGAAGGCAGCAGCTCCAGGCCCTGCAGGACGGCGCAGCTGCCTCTGAGAGCTGCTGAGGACGCCACACGTGCATGCAGGCGGCAGACGGGGGGGCGCGGTGCAGAGGCCGTGGTCCCGCTGAGCTGGTGAGGAGTGGGGCCCTGGGCTGGGCACAAACCCCGCCTGCGACCCCTGCTTGTGGCCTCTGACCCCTGAGCCCCGCCTGCGCCCTGAGGCTCAAGGAAAGGACCTGATGGAGCAGAGAGCCCCCAGAGGCGACTGGGAAGCCGGAGAACCAGGCCCGCGTGTGGCCACAGACTCTGGGGACGTTCTAGGGTGAGGGTGGGCGAAGCTCACTAGCTCGGGGCAGGCCTGGGGGTCCAGCAGCAGCCCCATGGCCGGGGGGACACCGCTGACCTGGGGAAGGAGAGCGAGCGGTGACCAGCTACCAGACACGCGTGGGGGCGAGGCTGCAGCCTTGGGGGCTGGATGCGCTGGGCAGGGCCCGGGGAAGTGCTGGGCAGGTGTCCAGCAGGGGTGGGCACCGAGCAGGCGCAGCCAGGTCTTTGGCGCGAGGCCAGCACTGCTCGCTTGGTGGAGTAGGACCCGAGTGACGTGAGCCCCCTGGGGCTTGGGCTGTCACAGAGGGGAGGTCTGAGGGCTGGGGCCGCATGTGGAGCGGGGAGCACGGGCTTGCGGGTGAGCGCTCCTCGGTGGGGTCCAGCAGAGACCCGCCCATCCGGCTGTGAGGCTCGGAAGCCTGGAGCCGGAGAGGCAGGGGCCGGCCCTGGGACAGGGTCTCAGCGCGGAGAGAGCGGGCTGGGTCCCCGGTGGGGGGAGATGGGCGCAGGGGCTGGGGAGGGCGGCTCCCCAGCGCACCCCTCCAGGCGGGGGAGGCGGCCAGGTCGGGCCCACGCCCCGGGCTCTGCGGTGCCCCTCCCTCCGGCAGCTCCCTGCCAAGGCCCTGGGGCCAGAGAAGGGTCCGTGAGGGGCGGGCGAGGGGCTGAGAGCGCGTTTACCTGTCCGAGGATCTGGCGTGGCCGGCACAGACCAGCCACGCAGCCCTGAAGATGGGATGAGGCCACGCCGGGCAGGAACAACATAAGCCCCAAATGCGATTTCTCAGAAGCCTGAGGGTGGCAATGGTGGGGGGGTGGTGTGGTCCTGCCCCTGCCGGAGTACCCGGGCCTGATCCGCTGCCCGCACACGCGCCCGGGTCTGGTGGACGTTCTCATCTGTGCCTTTCGGTGCCATTTTTTAATTTTAAAATTCTACTTCTTTAATTTTGAAAATGTGCAAGAATATAATTTCCCGTGGTTAATCAGCAGTTACTCGTCAGTTCCGGGTATTCCAGGCCCTGGCCGTCGGAGGCCGGGTCCGAGACCCCAGTGGCTCTCCTGGGGCAGCTCCTCGGAGCTGGAGACGCGGCTGCCCTGCCGGTGACTCATTTGCAGCCCCGTGTGGAGCCGGAGTCAGCACAGAGTGAGCCGGCGTGTCCAGGGCCCAGACCCGCAGCACCAGATAGGACGGAGCTGCTCTCTCCTCACAGCCGCTGAGCAGGCCCCACGCCCTGCTCCAAAGGGCATCTGCAGCATCTGCCCTGCCTTCAAGGCTCCGCCTTCACCAAGATGGAGCAGAGCCAGGGGCCCGTCCCTGCCGCAGGGGCACGAGGGGAGGACAGTGATGCCGCCGTACACACACTCTGCCGCCGGGGCCAGGGGTCGGGACGCGCTCAGAGCACCCGCCTGCAGGGCCAGCTGAGAAGTGCCGTCCCTTCAATGCACTTTATTTTTTTTTAAGATTTATTTTATTTTTTGTGCATACGAGAGCTGGGGTGCAGCCCGGGCCAGGGAGTGACCCGTAGGGCGCAGCAGACCTCTCCTGTCTCCCTGCTGCTCCCCTCAGCAGTGGATTTCAGCAGATCCGCCTGTTCTGCTCCCCACTCTGTCTCTGGGGGATCCTCTCGCCCCCCCCCCGCCCCCGCCCCGCCCCTCTGGCCTGCACCCCAGCTCTTGTATGCATAAATAAATAAATAAATCATTAAAAAATGCCAAACTTAAAAAATCTTTTCAGCTTTTCAAAGTCACGCTGAAGCACTGTGCGCTCACATAATTTACGGCCCCTGCCCATTTTAATGCCTGGCCCGAGAGCTGTCACATCGAAAGCCCAACAAGTACTTGTTGAATGGGGGTGCAAGCGCACGCCGCCCCGCAGCTGGGTTAATGCCTCCTACTGTCCAGATTAGAAATGGTAATAAGCTTCTTAATACTATTTTGCCCATTGTTCCTGTAAATCTGCGACAGCAGAAACAGAACCAAGGCAACAATGAAGACAGAGGAGACCTCGGCAGTCCTCGTGATCTGATCAAACAATTCTGCAATGTGGACAAATTGACATTTACGAGGTTTTAAAAATCGACCGTGATGTTCTCTGTTCCATGGTGGAATGTGAACTGGAGCCGCAGATCAGGACGCATCTCAGGACCGTCCACGCCCCAGGATGCCTCCCCAGAACCGGCCTGCGCCTGTCTCTGTGGCCCCACCTGCCTCCCCCCTGCGTCCGGAATGCAGCCGCAGGTCTGCTTGTCTCTTGTCCACACCTGCCCCGCCCCGCCCTGCAGAGCGGCTGCACCCCTGCGTGTGCCTCCACCTGTGCGTCCAGGCGTGGGGCTTTTCCGAGTCCATCTCAGAGCCCCTTGCACTCCGGACAGCTCGACTGTGAGGGAAGCAACTCTCCCGAAGGAGTAACAGAGCCAGGCCTCTGTCTCTGGACGGGGCGGTGCTGAGAGTTCCAGCGGCTGGAGAAGCTGCACCGGGCAAATGAGGAACAGCGGGACGGCCAGCCGCCCAGTTACAAGGCTCCCGGCAGCCCTGGCTTCCTCGGACCCATTCGTGCTAATCACACTTCGGGGCCCTCGAACAGTGATTCTCGGCTTTCTCCACGGTTAGATTTCGTCTCCAGTGCCTCCCAGTGCTGAATTTTAATAATAATAGGCAGCGCTAATTAACTTAGCCAAAATAGAGTAACAAGATAATGGCACCGCAGCACAATACTGTTCTCATTACAAATTAACACAAACAATCCGGCCGGTTATTTAATATCCGTCTTCATTCTCGGTTCACTTACGAGCACATGAGAAGAGCTGTGTGTGTAGGATCCGAGTTGCACACGTCACACACCGAGGACTTGCAGGATTTTACTGTAAAAACGCATGACATTTGGCAAGAATATGAGCGAGTCTCGGGCCTGCTCAGCGGCCCCTGCGGGCTCACGCCCCAGCCGAGGGGGAGACCTCGCGGCGGCTCTTGGGTGCGCGGGCACCCTGGGCCGTGGCCCTCCCCTCACACCGCGGAGCCACGGACACTGCAGCGAGCCCTGGACGGGGCAGCACAGCCTCACGGGCCCGGCCCGGCGCGCCTCCAGCTCCGAGGCCTCCTCTCTCCGCCTCTTACTGCAGCGGGGGTGGCAGCTAGGGAAATGCGGCTCCTGCTTCGTGCTCACAACTGCGAAGTGATGACTCCTCTCTCCAAGAGCAGCGCGCCTGGGGGTGCAGTCTGGAGAGCGGTGGCTGTGTCCTGCGCTCCTCTCACTTTGGCAGACGCGAATGGATGCAACAGATGGACATTCCTCGCCCAGAACCCTGGGAACCACAGTCAGGACATCACACGTGTCCAGCCCCGGCCCAGCGCCGCCCCCACTGCCCCGGAGGCAGGGCCCAGCGGCACCCAGCGGCCTCGACCCAACCTGCCACCGGCCCCGCCCCAGCCTGGCCACCCAGACCCTGGCTCCTGCCTCTGTCCCGGGCTGGACGCTGAGGCCTGACCACATGGGCCGCCGTGTTAGCCGCAGAGATACGGGCACATAAGGCTCGGTTTCATGAAGCCCAGCTCATGAAGCGGCACCCTCGTTTTACAAATACGGACGCTGAGATGTCTTGAGGATACACGCCTTAATTCAAGTATTTGGCCAACAAGTATGTACTGAGACTCCAGTAGGAGCCACAGATCTTTCCAAGTGTTAAAGGTAAACAGTGAACATAACCCGTCTGCGAGGAGCCAAGCCCTGAGCCGAGTGAGCAGGATGTGAGCCGGACAAGGTGCAGACGAGACGGGCCTCCCTGGGGCCCAGCGTCAGTCAGGCTGTCTCCACTGCAGCACGAGTTCCATCCTGGCCAGGGAGCAGCCTACAAGGCACAGCAGACCCCTCCTGTCTCCCCGCTGCTCCCCTCAGCAGTGGATTTCAGTCAGTCTGCCTGTTGTGCTCCCCACTCTGTCTCTGGGGAGTCCTCCGCACCTCTGGCCTGCACCCCAGTTCTTCCACACACACACATCTATTGATTTCATTCTGAAAAGTAAGATGCAGATCAGGAAGAAAACAATTTAGACATAAAGATCATTAAATGGCACTGAAAATTCTAGTTTGTCTTCCACCAGAATTTTCTGCCAAAAAAAAAAAAGCTTGTAAATAAATGAAGATTCACCCCAAATAACGAACTTTTCCCATGCAACAAAATTACAAAGATGACCAGGTTTTAGAGAACGTGGGCTTTGAACGAGAGGGACAGCGCACACGGTGGGTACGAAGTCTCCCAGAGGCAGATTTCAGGGAGTCGCAGTCCACGCCGAGGGAAAATACCGATCTTGTGAGAAGAAAAAAAAAAACAACCAGGCTCGGAAGCAGCGCCCAGGACTGCCAGGATGTGGATGTCGGGGAATTAAGAGAAATTGATGCTTGCTGAGGCCGCCTGACCTTTGATGGTAACTGCCCTCCCGTCGGGAGGGACCTCGGGACATGAAACTGCTTCGGGGCGACCGGCAGGCCAAGGCCGCCAGGTCAAAGGGGAATCCAGCTCATTATCAGTTATCAGCTGTGCTTCTTCCCGAAGCCCCTGGGCTGAGGGGGGGGGGCCTGGCCAGGCAAACCACGACTAAGCTGAGCCACCATTTGCTTGGTGTCCGAGAGGCATCGACGTGGACCCCGCAGTGAGCATAAAATGTCTTCAAATCCCCGCGGGCACCTCTCAGCAGGCAGGAGCCTCGGTGGGTCTGCCGGGACCTGCTCACCTCCCAGCCAAGAGCGGAACAGAACACGGGCCTTTAGAGGAATCTGCCTCAATTTCCTTTTTGGAATTTTTAGTCCCGAATGACAAGTGTGACACCACCACCCGGAACGCCGGTGCAGTAGCTGTTTATGTAAAACGCCCACGGCTGTGCAGGGCTGTGCTTGTGAGCTGAAGTGGGGCGACTAGCTGTGACCATTGGGGTCCACCTGTCCAGCAGCTTCCACGGAACCTCGCGGGAGCGCGAGAACGCAGCAGTCAGCGGCTGTCCAGACACGATCCCAAACGAACTCAAGGTTCACTCACAGCCTGTGTCTGGGAAATAACACGTGAGGCCGGCAGGGTGTCCTGACTCCCCTGAGCACCTCCTTTTCGCTCCCCCGTGCAGCGGGAGTTCAGGGGTGACCTGTTAGGGGCGGGGGAGTCAGTGACAAGACTCTGCAAAGACGAGATGTTCTAACAGCGGCACAGGACGAACGTCCTGGGGCACAGGTCACGCCGCTGAGGAGCCATCCCCAGGGGCAGCTGCCCGGGTCTGCACAGGCTGGCAGCACGATGGGCTGGCCGGGTTCTTGGCCTGGGGCACCGGCCGGAGGTCAGGCCCTGTGACCCCTGAGCAGCTTAGTGGGGGGTGGCTTTCCCCAGCCCCCTCCTCTTCCAGAGCGAGGGATGGACACCCTTGATCTGGGAGCCATGGTCCCCGCGTCCAGGCAGTGGTGACCGATGACCACGAGGCCCGCGGGGGCACAGGCACAGGCAGGAGCGGTGAGAAAGTCTAAGGGGGGGGTGTCGGAGCGAGGAGCGGCCATGACCACACCAGGGAAAGTCTGAGCACCCCCCTGGCAGCCGCCGGCCTTGGGGGCTCATTTCCCATGAAAGCGCTCCCCGGGGGCGGCGGCGCCAACAGGCCCGCGGAAGAGGAAGCGGGTTAGTGTGGAAGCTGGTCCCGGCGACCTCCCCGCTGACCTCGGGGCTGCCCGGTCACCATCTGCCGCCGGAGGGGGCTCTGCGGAGGCCTGAGACCTCGTGCTCGCCTCTCCGCACCGCAGGCCCTGGGGGGGCCTCCACCCCACCTCGAGGGCCCAGGTCACGCCCTGGTCTCAAGCTGCGCAGCCCCGCGGGGACCGCGCGCAGGCTGGACACCTGCTGGGGCGAGCGCCTGGGCGGCAGCTGCTCAGCCCGCGGGGCCGGCGCTTCCCCGGTCCGCGAGCGACGCGAGCCCCCGGCGCCCCCGGAGCCCCCCGCGCCCCTGGAGCCCCCCGCGCCCCTGGGTCCCCCGGCGCCGCTGGAGCCCCCGCGGAGTTGGGGACCGCGGCGCGGGAAAGCGCAGGCAGCGCCGCTCCTCTCGGTCCGTGGGGTGGGGTCCCCAGCGCGCCCGCGGCCCCCCGCCTCCCCCTCCCGCGTGGACCGTCCAGGTGCGCGCCCCGCGCTCCCTCCGCGCCCACTTGTTGCCCGGGCGACCCGGGGCGCGCGCGGCGCTGACTCCCTCCCGCGGCCTCCGGCGCCGGCTCCCCCCGCGCGCCGGGCGCCCCCTGCTCGCTCCGGAGGGAGTGGGGCGCGCCGTGGAAGGGGCGCCCACCCCTCTCCGCCCCCCTTCCGCCGACCCAGATGCGCCTCGAGCCCGCGACGTGGCCCCCAATCCGGCTCCGCAGGAACCAAACCGCCTTTGGCGCCGAAGTTCGCCTGGAAGCGCGCGCCCCCCGCCCGCCCGGCGCCCCCCGGCAGCGAGGCGCACCCGAAACTTACATAATGGGAGCGCGCGCCGCTGCCTCCGCGGAGGGCGAGGCGGCCCCGCGGTGCCCGCGGCCGGGGCGGGGCCCGCCGAGCGCTCGTCCCGCGGCTCCGGGGCCGTCCGGGCGCCACAGGTGGCCGCGCGGCCCGGCTGCTCCCGGCGGCGCCGGCGCTTCTGCCCCCGCCCGGCCCGGCCCGGCCCCCCGCGCGCCCCCGCGCCCCCCCGCGCCCGCCTCTCCCCAGCGGGGCGCGCGGGGCCGGCGGGGCCGCCCGGGCCGGGCCGAGCGCGCGGGCGGGACGGGGCGGGACGCGGCGCGCGCGGTTACCTGTGCTGCCCCCGCCCCGGCGGCCGCGGCCGGGCGGGAAGAGGCCCGCGCAGCGCTCCGGGTCCACGCGGCCCGCGAGGCACAGCTCCGACACGATGCGCAGCGCCTCCTGGCACAGGCTGCCCGCGCCGTCGTCCTGGCGGGCGCCCATCGCGGCGCGGCCCGGCGGGCCCCGGCGCCTCGGGCTCGGCTCGGCTCGGCGCGGCGCGCGGGGAAGCGGCGCGCGGGCGGGCCCGCGGCTGGGACGCGGCGGGCGCCGAGGGAGCCGAGGACACGCCGGGCGCGCCGGCCCCGGCCCCGGCCCCGCGCCCGCCCGGCCCGGCCCCCCTCCCCGCGCGCGGCCAATCAGCGCCGGCCCCGCGGCGGGAGGGGCGTCCCCGCGAGGGGGGCGCGGGGGGCGCGGGGCCGGGCTCGCGCGGGGCGCTCCCGAGGAGCCGGGCGGCGGCGGCGGGAAAGTTGGGGCCGCGGGGCTGGGCCGGGGCGCGCGGGGGGCGGGCGGGCCGGGGCGCGGGGTCCTGCCGCGACAGCCGCTCGGCGCCCCCCTGCTGGGAGACGGGGGGGCGGGGGGCCACACCGAGAGCCGCGCCCGTGGGCCCCGGGGTCCCCGTGGGGGTGGGGTCGCGGCTCGGGGCCCCGACGGCCTTGGCGAGGCACAGCTGCCGCGGGGGGGGGGGGCGTCGGCATGGTTACGGGGCGCTCCGAGGACACCCTGAGTCGGCGTCGCTGAATCCTGGTGACGTGATCCCGGACAGCGGGTGGGACCCGGACTCGCGGGGACCCGCCGCCTCGCTGGCTCTTTGGTCTTTAGACGCGAGACTCGGAGCTTTTTAGATAAGACGGGCCGCGGCCATTTCCCTGCGGAGCGCCCGCGCCCCCCCCCCCCCGCGCCCCCGCGCGCCCCGCGCCCCCGCGCCCCCCGCGCCCCCCCGCGCCCCGCGCCCCCCCCGCGCCCTCCCGCGCCCCCCGCGCCTGCGGCTCCGGCTCCCCCCTCCCCGCCCCCGCCCCGCCCCCCTGTGCTCCGGCTCCCCGGCCCCTCGGGCGGGCAGCGGGGCGAGGCCCGGGCGCTCCCGCCCACTGGCCGGCCGGGCCCTGAGGCCTCCGTCCGTCCGCGGACAGCTGCTGCCCCCGCGCCGCCGGTGCGCCTGTCGGGCTCCTGGCTGTCGCCTGAGAGGAGGCCGCGGCCTGGACACTGGCCTCTTGCTCAGCTGCCCTCGCCAGCAGGTGAAGGAAGCTCCTCGGCGCCTTCTGACCCGGGTGGGATTTTGAGAAGGAAGAGTCTGGAGTCAAGGTGCCCCTGGGTGCCGAGGGGCGGAGGCCAGAACCGGCTCACGTCTCACGGATACCCAGCTGCTTCCGCTGGCCCGAGCCGGCCGCAGGCGTGTGCACCGGGGAGCCGGGGTGAGGCGCAGGGAGCCTGGCACCGCTGCCTGCCACTGGCCTCCTGGCCGTGACCCGCTGGGCGCCCTGGGCCGCTGCCCTCCCGGCCCTGCTTCCCCCCATGCAGGTCTGGAGGGTCTTCTGGGTGCAGCGCTCCCGCGGGCAGGGCCTTGGGGTCACCCTGGGGACACCATCCCAGGCCCCAGGTGGGGGCTGACGGGGGGTGAGAGGAGGGGGCAGCTGGGCTCAGCCAGGGCCGCAGTGTGACAGCCGTGCCTTCTGCTCCCGCCACCCGCTGCACCCTGGGGCCTGTACGCGTCCTGACGGGGTGACCTCCGGCCCCTGACTCGGGGGCAGGTCGGGCCTCTGCGTCCCCCCTCTGACGCGCTGCGCTGGGCTGTTTCCTCCTGTGGCTCACATGTTGGATCCAGATTCCCCACGACTGTTAGCGGGAGGGAGCTGTGCGGGACACTGTGGGGCCGGTCTGAGCTTTGCAGAGAGCAGGCACTTGGGCGAGGGCAGTCACGGCTCAGGGAGGCGCATGTTTCAGGCACCGGCACTCGCCGGCGCTGTGAAGTGGGGAGTCGCCGGTGCCGGCCTCATGGCCCAGAGGTGTGGGCTGCTCTGTCCCTCCGGCAGCTCACACGCTGGCTCTGGTCTCCTGCGCAGCCCCAAGGAGCGGCCGGAGGAGGAAGCCGCCCGGGGTGGCTGTGCTGTCTGGGGCAATCTGAGCCCCGCTCCTCAGGGGCCTTTCCTGGGGCCTGCTGTGGGGCGGGAGAGGCTGGGCCCCCTGACCCCTGGGGTGTCTGTGCAGCTGGGCCCCCCCTGGCCTCGCCCTGGCGCCCACGGGCTGCCGCAGAGCAGGTTACTCTGTCCTGTCTACACTCCCGGTCGCGGGCCTGGGCTGGGGAGGACGGGCTGAGCCGGAACACAGGTCGGGGCCAGCGAGGGTCTGCAGAGCCGTCCCCCACGGCAGGCTGAGGGCGCCGCTCCCCACAGGCCTGAGCCCACACTCCTGCCTTTTATTTGATCATCAGGTGAAACCGTTAGAGCTGGCACTAAGCTGATGTCAGTTCTTGTTCCTGCCGAGTCCCCAGGAAGGTGCTGATCAGGACTCTGCCTAACAAGACAGCCACAGGCATTTATGCAACACCCCACACGGTGAGCCCAGGCCCTGGCCGCGCCCGGAGCTCTCTGAAGTCCACTGGGTTCTGACACGGCGCCGCAGGGGGCCTAGGCCCCTGGCTGGGACCGAGAGATACAAAGGTAAGAGATTAAGGACTCTGAGGTTGTCAGTGATGGAATGGGGGCTCCCCCTTCTGCCCAGTGCCCCCACCCTGCCTTCCGGCAGCCCGACCTCCTGCCCACCGCATCCTCCTTACTCCTGGCATCTGGCTGTGTTCAAGGACGCGGGGCCCGGCATGCTCAACCCCGGCCTGCTGATGCTCTTCTTTCATTTTGAATTGATTTTTCATTCTCCTACACGCGCGGCCGGCGGGTCAGCACGCATTGCTTCCGTGAGCTCGCTTGTTCGCTGGCTTCCTTGGAGGGCGCCAGACCCGGAGGGCTCGCTCTCGTGGCAAGTCTGGGGGCCACGGGGCCACCGTGCTCAGCCCCCGGTGCTCTTGGGGTGAGCACGCATGGTTATTTTGCTTCGTGATTTTATTTCATTGTAGAAAATCACATTCAAATGTGGGTAACTTGCCTGTCGTGGGGTTGCTCTTCGTATTGATGTGAATGTTGGAACATGGACATTTGACTGTTTGTCCCGTTTTCTAACAAAGATCAGTAGAAAACAGTAACACAGAAGCAAGTCCTTACCGGGCACTAGCCTTAAACTTTAAATGTATTTTTTTAAAGATTTATTATTTATGCACACAAGAGCTGGGGTGCAGGCCAGAGGTGTGGGGGTGAGAGGACTCCCCAGAGACAGAGTGGGGAGCAGAACAGGCGGATCCACTGAAGCGCGCTGCTGAGGGAGCAGGGGAGACAGGAGGGGTCTGCTGCGCCGTGTGGGCAGCTCCCTGGCCGGGATGGAACTCGCGCTGCAGAGGCTGCGGGCAGCCCCATGGGTTGCGTCTTCACCCCTTGCGCCCCCAGGGAGGCTGAAATTTTAAGTGACCTGAACACGGATGTCAGGTGAGAGATTGGTAAAGTAGACTGGCAGGAAGCTCGTGTGACGGGAGCTGCTGCTCCAGCCAGGGAGAAAGCAGGAGGGTGGAGGGAGGGGCAGGCAGTGCCGGGCAGTTTTCACAACACAAGTGGAGTTGAAGTCAAAATGGTTCCACGCTACAAAGATGGCTTCTCCCGCTGCAGCCCCTGCCATGCGCTGCCGTCGCGCCGACCCTGTGTGCGAGCTGGCGTTGCTATTCATGTTACTGCTCGGCAGGAAATACAAGAGGGTTTCGGTGGAGGAATGACACATCCATAACTAGCACAGAATTATTTGGGGGGTAACACGCTCGCACAGGCTTCTCTGACGCCCCAGCAGTTTTAAAGCCCTGCACCACAGCCCCGGGAGCCCCTGGGGTTGCCCCAGGCCCTGCCGCCGGCGGCGTCCAGGGTCCCGTCTGGCTTGGCTGTGTCTGTTCTTTGCTTTGCGTCTGTGTCCCGCGGACGCGAGCAGCCGTCCAGCGTGCGTCTCCGCGTGACTCTGCCGGTCGGCACCAGCCCCTCCCGCTCCAGCCGCTCGCCGCTCGTGCCAGGCTTCCCCTGGTTTCTGGCCGCGTGGGGTTCCACGGCCCACAGGCCAGACCCCGTCTCCCCGGCCCCTCACGCGCGGGGGGCGCCAGGCCGGCCGGGCTCGGAGGGAGCGAATGATGCTGTGGAGAACGTGGGACGCGGGGCTTTCTCGGCGTCTTTGCTTCTTCGGAAACACTCCTGGAGCGGGTCGCGTCCGGCTGTCCTACTTGCAGTGTTCGGAGGCACGTCCATGCCGCTCCCGGGACGGCCGTGCGCCCGAGGAGAGCTGCCCGCGGCCGGGGAGAAGCCCCAGCTGGCCGTGTCAGAAACCCCCCGAGCTGAGCGCCCAGGACCCCGAAGTGAATGGCCGGGTTTTGGGGAAGCAGGAGGGCCGGGGTTTAAACATGCCAAGGGAGGACGGAGCCGGCGCCCTGCTCTGAGGCGCCTCCTCCCCCTCGGGAGCAGGGGTGCGTCCGTGGGTGGCGGCGGCTCTGCCTGGCGGGTGTCACTTTGTGGCGTGGAGTTTCCTGTCTCAACCCTGACATTTGCTGCCGGAGCCCGGCCGTCGCCCTCGTTACCCGTTTTCTCTCTGAGGCCTCCGGAGGCCGCGACGGTCAGAAGCGACCAGGGGCTGGAGCGCGGCCCCGGGGCCCAGGTGTCCCGCAGCCCGGCGGGTCCCCGGGAGGCCCCCCAGCCCACCTGGAGGCCACCCCGAGGCACCGGACCCCCGATGCCCTGGGCGGACATTCCGTGGACGTTTCTCCCGTGGGAGCCTGTGGGCTGCGGGACTCGGGGACCGAGGCTGGCGGGGGGGGGGGGGACTGTGCGCAGAAAGTGCACGGAGCAGCCGCACCTGCCGCCGCGTGTCTCCCGCGCGTCCCCTGGTGCCCCCCCCCGCCCCCCAGCGCCCTGCCGTCCCCGGCGGACTGTCCGCGTGTCCCCAGGCCCGCTCCTCCTCGGGCGCCCGCGCTCCTGGGTCCTCTGGGCCACGGCTGCGCCACACGTGGGAGCGGAAACGCCGACCCGTCTGAGGTGTCCCCGGGGTTTGCTGCGCCCGGCCGGAGGGCGACCTCACCCCCCGCTGCGGGAGCC